TCGAGATAATGTTGAAATCAAATTATAGGAAACGCTCAATTATCCTAAAAACTTACTTTCATTTAAGTTCATTTTATTGAAACGAATTAATTATTATTGTATAAATGAAATCCTTCATATCATTTCACAATCCTCTTATAAGCTCTAGTAATTGTGTTAGCTGATATGTTAAAATGAAAATTCTACGTGGAATTGTTATTTATGAAATATCTCTTTGAAAATTCTGCTATTTATTTCAATAGCAACCTCTTGTTAAGAAGCTTATAGCATGTGTATTGTTATGCTTCTGACCTGCGTATTATAAAATATACTTCACATTTATCTGTACATGTATTTTTATTATAACACTAGCTGTGCCCGCGACTTCGTTCGCGTGGAATAGTGACTATGAGCAGTTTTTTTGACATGACTTTTTTATTTATGAACCGGTTGACATGAAACAAACACTAAAGCATAACTGAAGCATACCAAAATATATTCGTGAAAACCGCATCCAACTTGGATCAGCCGTTTCTGAGATTAGCGTGAACAGACAAAAAAAATTAATTACATTTTTGAGTTCGACATAGACATAACAATAACCCCTGCTATTTTTTTATTTTTATTTTCAATGTACAAACAGCACTTTTCTACAATTTTATTATATGTATAGATTTCTCTTAATTATATGTAGAATCTTGAACTAAAACAATGAGAACTTCTTCATTCGCTGTTTGTATAATGAAATTATTATAACTTATCAATGTTAATTTGGATTTTTGGACATTTTATTTTATGTCAAAATTGACATTTTTTTATATGAAGCTATATTGTGATTTAGTTTAGATATATTGTAAACTAAGTCAAGTGGATACAATATTATGTAATCATATTACGAGTATATGGATATGAAATTGGATAGTTTTTTTTAATAAAAGAATGAAATATATTTTTACGTATAAATGATATATCTTAAGTTACAATTAAATGTATCATAAAATATTTAAGGAAATAAACAATTCAAATTTCCATCTTTTTAACAGATGCTTATAAAAATGTTTACTACGACGAATTTCTTAAAAAATAACATGTTTTGAGGAAAAAAGTGTTCTAAATTTAAAATTTAAATTTTAAAATATAGAATTAAAACACGAACGGAATTTTAAAACGCAACATGCGAATTATTTAGATGTTTATATTTAAACTTATATATTTAATGCATTATTTTAGTATTAAAAACATTATGCGCATATATAATATATACTTTTCATATAAGGAATAGGTGTTAAAATACTTATAAATATTAAAAAACAATTGCTCATTTTACATATATCTATAACTTCTTTATCTTGCTTTATAATTTCACTTCCTCGGTTAAGAAGTAATAATTTTATTGAGTTATATTTATAAAAGGATACACAAATCACTTCATCAGTTTCAGTTAGCAATTTTTCATTATTTTCCAATTCCATTGAAATACAATCAAAAAGGTTATGTACTATGAAATATTGGAACTCTTTGGAACAAATCAAATTCAGAAACATAACGAAAGCCAATCAAATTTCAATTCATTACGCATCCAGCTTTATTGGTAATAACTTTTTTGTTCTCACAAATCCGTTTCGATTAATTTATCCAAGGCTTCCCGGGACTCTCAGGCTTGATAGCCTGAGAGTCGGAAAGCCTGCCTGATGGCAGGCTTTGCAGAATCAGTGGGAGGTTCTATGCACCACGCCCACAGTAAGGCGGTTTATCCATTACAATTATTATTTTAAACGGATTTAATATAAATCTACACTAACTGATTCATTTGAAAGCATTTATATCTATTAGTTGATTAATCTGTTACGTACCTATATATTAATAATGACGAATGACTATCATGTTGCTTTGTTTGATATATGTAGGTACATATATCTCATGTCTACGATCAACATATGGTGAATTATATATTGTTATGATATCATATCCTACAAAATTTTATTGCATTATTTAAAATATCAAATTTAATTAATTGATATCTATACTCATTGTTGCTTCGACAAGAAGCAATAATTAATATTCAGTAGCATAATACAAGCAGTGAAATCGAATCGTAAATTTTTAACTACTCCGCCATAATTAAACTTCTAAGACAGTTTAATTATTCAAATGTCCACTTCTTTTTAGAAATAGGAGAAACAAACATTTACAGTATAGGTTTCCTTGCTACCTTATTACTAATAAAATTTTAACTTATTTACTAGGTGTGATCGTGTGTCTGTAAAATATTTGTTAATTTTACTTGTTACAGTAAACGAAAGTAAAATATATTACAGATTTGTAAAAGGGAATCGGGGTTGCAAAACAATCATATTCAGAGAACTTGCTTCATAAGACGATCAACATCCACAAACATTTTTAAAAATATAATTTTCATTACACTCATGCAAATAATGTTATCGACATTTATAGATCAAACTTAAACAAAATCATATAACATTACATACAATTATCAAAACACTCAAACAATGAATCGTTCTCAAAATGATTTTATTTTTGAATATATTATCCATGTCTGATTTTCATTGAGGGCACTCATCCCTACAAATCATAAATCCATGTTACTCTTTCAACCCACACACCACTCTTTGTAGCAATTAAATGAGGATTAAACATTCTTCACTTGAATGGAAAATAATATGCAGTATACAATATGCTAATTTGAGTAGATATTTCAATATTAATTAAAAAAATCTTCAAACATTTAATATATTGAAACCTTTGTAAAATTTCCGAACGATTTTATACATGTCATTCAACATCAAATTGACTGCGTCAAAAATATGTTGATAAATTTTAATACGTGCTTCCAAGTTATAAAATCATTTTTAATATAAAAATTTTCACGTTTTAATTTATGATTTTGCTGCCGGAGATATAATTTACAAGCCCCGGAGTGGTCGCCATATTGGAAATATGAGAAAAATCAAATTATTCCGACTCAATGCACCCTACGTTGCATGATCGCATGTTCCCAAAACGTTGTTTTGATTAAAAAACACCAGCCTATTAGTTATGGGGGAAGTCTAGCGCTAATTGAATTATTGATATTGCATATTTGAAATTCTATCTGCCTATCTGTTTCCTGTAACCAATAGCTTTGTTTAATCAAGTCCGTGAGATTTTCAGCTCGACTAATATCGTGTTTTCAACTCGAACGTAATATTCTTTGCAGTTTTTTTCTTATTATCTTACCCTTCACTTTGTTTGTTTGAAAAAGTGGGAGTTAATTATTGAGGGATTAATATCAGCTATGAAATGCTAAATATGATTAAGTTTGACGTCGATGTATCTGTGTGCGTGAATACGTGTCTGTCTGTGGAATCTTATCTCACAAACAGATAGACCTAGTTTGATAGTTTTCTTTTTTTTCATTTCCTTGTGATAGTAGTTCTTCTTCCTGTCAATTTCCCAGCTTTAGCCAGGGTCTTGATTGTGATGGTTCTTACCTAATTTTAATTTATATTTGTCCAGCAGTGTAAAAGTTTCACCTCTTTAATGAAATCATATAAAATATTATTATCATACCACATACGATTACACGATTCAATCCTTTTTTTTTATTTGATACACTTATTTCGAGAATAAATAAATATAAACTCTTTTCATGATTAAAATTTTCTCAAAAACTTTAATATCCAAAATCTTTTTTTATATGTCGATAAAAACAATTTAAAATTGTATTTCATTAAAAGTAATGGTGATACAACAATTTAATGTACATTTTCCAGAATTCAAACATATAACAAACAGTTTCGTACAAGCAACGACATCTAGTGACGCGTAGGGGTATTAATGAATACGAACTTTGACAACTAAAAATTCATTGAATCAACAGAATATTCATTTTATTACATACTAGGTACCCACTCCAGCTTCGATTGGTACTTAAGAATAAATATAAAATAGCCTTAGTTGTGTATAATGATTGAGTACTTTCTTTTTGAGTTAAATGAAAAACAAAAATTTCATCATCTTTCTTCGTTAAACATAAAATAAGTTTCAACTTAGAGAAACGGTATATTTTTATGTTAATAATAGATTTTTAATATATGTAATAAAATTACAAAAATTTTGTAAACAACATCAATGACGTACGTGATCATGTGAAAAAGTGAGCTATCGCTTTGATTTAATTTTGAGAATTATTAAACTTATGATAACTTTCAAATATCAGTAATATCCACACAAATCAATAGAAAAAATTAACAAATTATATAAAAATGATATAAAAAAAAACCTTTAATAATTATATACAAAACCTTAACAAATTATATTAAAAAAACCTTTCTCGAGAATTACGCTATCGAATGCTGAAAACCGCTTGGAAATTGGTGCAATACTTTTTCTGTTTATTGCGAACAGACAGACAGACAGACGCGGCGGGAGACTTTGTTTTATAATATGTATTGGCTATTGTAGTAATAATAATTTTTAGCTAAATCTTTGTTTTCTTTCTTAACCATCAAAATTGTTTATTTTTGTAAATTAACTACAAATCATTATGTATTTTACTTACGTAAACTTTATTGCTGGTACTTTAAAAACGGGACAAAAAGTATATCATTTTACTTTGGCAGTTCTAAAATATAATAGTTCTTATAAAAATTAAAATTACCGTTTGCAGAATTCTGTTACAACTATATTGTACTACAATTATTACCTCCATCTAAGTAATTACTAAAATAATTCACAATTAATAAATGAGGTTAACAAAATTTTATTTCAATAAATTTTATTCACATAATATAAAACAATTTTACAATAATAACAGAACCATGATTATAAAACTACCTACAAAATGGTTTAAAATGTGTATACATTATACAAAAATAGTAAACAACTCCAAAAAAACTACCACTACTTATCACAAAACTTGTGTCAAAGTGACTGGAATAAAGAATAAATATACATATATATGATTTTATATATTAAGTACTTGTCACATAAACTGGAATGTCTTACTAGTTCTATTAAAATTACAATTTAGCGCTTTGCTGTTTTTGCTTATTAACAATCTTGTTCAATATGACATGACCCTCTTCATAATAGGGACTGAAGTGTTCCCGCACCTTCTGCCACCAGGATCCAATTCTTAGAAATCTCTCCGCTGGATTGTAACCGGCCATTCCTTAAAAGTCGTATATCAAAATTAATAATAGGTATATATGACATAATTAAATTAAATATTCAGGAGCTGGGGTTTAATTAGCAATATAAACACGGTTTTTAACAGAAAAACTTAAATATTTACTTTATTATAGTCATAGTTAATGTTATTTGTATCGGTTGTATTTCACTTCTTTACCTACCTTTCGGCTCTTTCATACGCAATAATCAAATTACTAGAATATTCCGAGACATTCTCGTTTATATCTACTTGTTTCCAAATATTAACAATAGGAATATTCTAGTAAAGGTATAGCTAATAGTTTCGAACACTTATCACGAGATGGCGCTATCGCAGAACATTCTACAATATATGCTAAACCTTTGTTGGCCTTTGTCAACAGTGATTGGAAGTTGCATTAGTGAAGTAAACAAGTGATAGTAATCCTTCGCGATTTCTCCTTACAATACTCAAGATTAAAATTAAATAAGAAAATATAGATAAACAAAAGATATAAACTAAAATTCCGAAACATTTTAAAAATCTTTGATAAAGATTAAAGAGTAATCTGTTTCCAAATAAATTATAAATCATATGTAATGAAATCCTTAAACATAATTCTAAAGCAATATAAAATATTATACTTGGTTGTTCCAATTCAGAGGCAGCAAACAAATCAGCTACAGTGATGGTATTGCCAGTAATAAATTCATTGCCATTCTTGAGCCACTGAACTTCAAAAGTTTCCAACGCTGATATTAACCTCCTTTCATAACCTTTCAGTGTTTTTGGATTTGGTGGTATTCCCGTTATTATGGGGTCCATATGCTAAAAAATATGATTTTAATTACTTGAAAATCCTTCTAATAGGTCTTTATTTATTTATTTATTCTTTATTGCACCCAATAATAAAACTAAAAATTAACATTTTGGTTATATATTACTTGCATGAGGTGCAACAGGCGGCCTTATCGCTAAGCAGCGATTTCTTCCAGGCAACCTTTGGGTAAAGGATCATAATGTGGAAGGGTACAGTAACTTTTAAACACAAATAACAATAAATATATATAATATAAATATAAATATATACTATATTAAATACATACATACATAAATATATACATAGAATATATATAATAAAATAGGAGATATTAACTAAACAAGAAATTAACAACAACAACAACTGCTTAGAACTAATGAGATAAGTAAAAGTCCTTAACCATATTTTTAAAAACGGCTAAAGACTGTGCGCCCCTTACAGCTAAGGGTAATGTATTCCAAAGTCGAGAAGCTTCTACAGTGAAGGACTTAGAATAGTAAGAAGAAGAATGGGAAGGAATGGAGAGAATAAAATTTTTACTTGAGCGAAGAGCACGCTTATGAGTCTCCCTAAGGAGAGTCAAACGCTCTTTAAGATAAGGGTGTCGCTGGATTAAAAAGAATAGAATAAAGAAGAGATAAAATGTGAGTATTCCTGCGAAGGCGAATAGGGAGCCACTTGAGTTTTTGGTGAAATTCAGAAACATATTTGCGTAAACCAAATATGAACCGAATACATAGGTTTTGTAATCGCTCAAGCTTATTTAATTGCTCCTCACTAAGTTTGTATAACAGGTGGCGGCATAGTCAAGAATCGGTAGAAGAGATTGTGCAAGCGTAACCTTAGTTGGTATAGGTAAAAAGTTTTTCAATCTTCTCAGTGAGCCAATGGGTGAAAAAAATTTTTTAGTAACCTCATTTATTTGAGGTGCCCAAGAAAGTTTTTTATGTGATACTGACCTTAACTACTTTCTTTATGTGATACTGACCTTAACTCTAAAATACATAGACAAGTGAAGTCTAAACTCAATGTGATGCCATTCTAGGAATTCATCGACACGAGCTCGGATTTTGTTGTCTTTGGGATACAAACTAGGCAGTATTAAATTCTCTCCTGATAGATACCTCAGTATAGCAACACTGAAAAAAGATTATATTTGGTTTAATTTATTAATATTAGATGTAATTATTATACTTAAATGTTATGCATTCAAAGATTAAATACTGCCGGATTTATATAGTTAAGTAAAATAAAGTTATAATAGTTATAGATATACGTTTTATATTAAAGCTGCATTTCTTGCTTATGTAAAATCAGTCATACATATCAAATTAATATGGCTTATAGATACATAGCTAGTATATAAAAAATATTACCTTTCACTTAGAACAAATCCATTATGATCAATCAACGGTACTTTTTGAAACCTATTTATTTTGGCATACTCATTAGAATAGTGCTCTCCTGAAAACAAAACAAAGAACAGTATTATAATATATTTTTATTTTCGATAATAATGAAGCAATCAACTGCATAGATTTACAATATAAAAATAAAAGGTATGTAAAAAGGATTTATTGGATAGCCAGAAAAAATATTTAACTGAATGAATTTAAAATAATCATTAAAATTAATTAAGAATCTATTAATTTCTTTAGTGTGCTAGAACACAAATGCTAGATTATGTTTTACAAATGGTACTTAAACTAGTCCTAAGCGATTTATAATAAATATTTCCTAATATAATGAAATATTTGTTGATTAAAAATAAAACTCTACTTCGCCGATTAAAAATATATCTTATATGCAATCAACAAGAAATTATTAACAAATTATTTTAATCTGAAAAACTTAATTGGGTTACCTTTTCGTAAATCAACAAATTTGGGTTCAAAGTCGCACTTTGAAACTTTAAGTAAGATATATAGTGTTCTAGATGGTTGTGACATTAAATCATAATACAATTTCAAAGTCATTGTTAAATTAAAAAAGTTTAATTTGAGTAAAAATTATTAATTTGTTCCCTTATATTTTATTAGTAATTATCTCTGATCAAAGTACAAAACAGATATGACAACTAGTGACGTTATAATTCATGTATTTCAGACATTTGTGGTTTTACGTTGTATATTTTTAAAACTTGTTAATATTTTCCACATTCATGGTAATTTACTCAAATATAGGTACATAATGTGTTATAAAAACCACCACGTAAATTTTTTCCAGTATACATTATTCATTATAGATTATTACCAACTATACATTTAAAAAGTTAAGAATTTCCTTATAAGTACAAGACATACCTATGACAGAAGTGAGAATTAGTAAAACGAAATTAGAAAAAGTAATGTTTAAAAATCTGATATTATAAATATTATTGAAATGTTTTGTTTAACAATGATTGTGGTATAAAAACAATTATTAACAATTTTTTTTTCAAAATTTAAATAGATTTCACTACCTGCATATCATCTAATTGGAACATTCGGAACAGATAACATTTAAAAACTGATATCGATATGAAATTGGTGCAGGATTAATCGATATATACCCACACTTGTCACTGAGCAACACTATCAAATTTTAATTTAGATTAGTTTGACGCCGATCATTTACTTTTACTGAAAAGTGAGAACGGATAGTGAAATAAAAGAAAATAGATCTTGCTGCTCAGTGCAGACTTCTTAAGTTATGGCATCTTTAGATCTTTTGGTGCCGCACTTACCTAAAATCACAATTCCAACATCCCAGCAGTTGGTGTACAAGGATGAATGTGTTTATTCTTTTGACAATCCGGTGAGTTGCATTTTGTTTCTAACCTTTAGATACGGAAATTATCGTAAAAAAAATTAAATCCTATAAGAATATCTTGTTACCACTAGAAATATTATTATAGTCTTAATATTAAGTCCTAAAGTTTATTTGCAAATATTTAAAACTGATGAGGTTTCAGATTACAGAACGATCGGCAAACGGCATTTATGCCGTTTCTTAATTTTTATTTCAACGTTTAATTGCAGATTATTTTTAAGGCTGTGATAGCAATTAATATAACATAAATTTGTAAATCTAATTACAAATGAGACTTTTATCACGAATATTGTTAACAGAATAATTTTAATTTAGACAAAGTATATTGAACCCCCTATTCATACGTAAAAATTTTAATTATTGCCTATACACGTATATATAAATAAAAATTGTAACTGATACAGTATTATTTTACATAAACAGTACATAGTGCTTATTAATGAATATAATTTAAAGCATAATTAACAGTATTATTTTATATAAACAGTACATAGTGCTTATTAAAAGATTATAATTTAAAGCATAATTAAACAGGCATAATTTCATTTTCTTTGAAATATCTAGTATTCATAAAGTTCTTGATCACTTGGTATACATTAGCAATAATATTGAAGAAAGATGTTCTCATGCTCTGCATTGAGAAAGAACACATGATTAGCGATAGGAATGTATCAAACATGACCGGAGTCCAGAATAATATATTGTATAGAAGCTCCCTGGTAACATATGTCTTTGCACTCAGACGATTCACCTGCATTGTATGGATTTTTGTCAATATTATCGCAGATATAGTTATAGGTACAAAGTAACTGATGAAAGCCAGAATTAACATATATATAAGCATGTCCTGGTTGTCTGTGAAACATATCTTCATACAGGGGTCATCTAATTTCGGTCTTCGAAGAGATTTAGTTATGTTTGTATAAGCAAAATCTGTTTCATTGTTGTAATTTCTCACAATGTTGATAACATTACTCAATATTGTTGCAATATCGTGTGATACATTTCTGTTTGTATCTCCTGTTTCTATAGTTTCCATGTAGTTTGCTGCGGGTATATAAGTACGTAATTCTGAGATATTCGGAAATGTTTCCCACTTCGTATAACTGTAGGAACAATTGTTTTTACTAAGATCCAACATTGCCATGCAAGTATTCTCCGAACTACGGACTTCGTTTGTTGTCATTTCTTTTACATTCATTGGATACATTAAAAGCGCCATCAGAACCGGTACAATCCATTGGAAAGCGATTGTAAAATATGAAAAATATTTCTTGAAGAAATTACAAGTTGTATTTATCTTGTCTTGTCGAATGCTTCTAGAACTTTCTCCGATTCGTTGAACAATATTCTGATCATCTGCTTTCTTGATTTCTTTAAGCATTCTATAATGCATATAGTTGTCTATAATAAGACTTATAAAACTATTAACCAATGATACAACTAGCGGTCCATAGCTCAGAAGTAGAGATGAGAAGCCGCAATTATTTGTTCCACTATTCAAACCGATATTGATTCCAGCAAATCTTAGTTCGATATTTTCTACGTCGACATTAGTAGGGTTTAGAGAGTAAACCGCCCGACATAGAAACGCTATCCCAATACACGATAGAAGTATATTTTCAGATAAAAGTATAGACGAGAAACGATTTTTTCTATACACGATACTCCTCAAATTCAGAAGGCTTATACCAAATCCGCACAATACTAGGAAGATTCCCAAATAAAGATCTATAGTTTTAAACATGTTGGTGTTTGGTTAAAGACTGAAAGCTTCACCTGCTAACAGCCCCCATCAATTAGCTACATTTCCGCACCGGGTGATATATTTTTATCTTTATGTAAATTATAGGGGCCTATGTATATGTGAAAACTTTCTGAAAAAATTCGCTTTACGAACGGTTTTGTATTGAATATTAATAAGCTATTTAAAGCAACCGTGATCATGGGCAAACGAGATCTAAAAGTAACAGAAACGTCAGGAGCATGTAATTAAAAATATATTAAAATAACGTGACGAGTAATCTGAAAATATTAGTTTCATTTAAATGAATACTCGAAAGTGTTAGATCTCATTAAAATTATACTATATTTATAATAATTATGTGTGTTTATTTATTTTAATTGACTCGATGATGATTTTGTTTCAGGAATCCGAGACTGGTCTGTACGTGTCGCTGACGTCGTTTTTAGGCTTCGGAAGAAATTACGTGGAACAGTATTTCCAGAAAACAGGCAACGCGGTCTTTTTACACATATTAAGAGAGAAAAAACCCGTGAGTTTTACTGTTTACGATAAATATATGTGGAATTTCAATTTTTAATATGGAAATCGATTTTACATTACGATTTATAAAGAGTTATAGTTTTTAAGGCGCTTCACTATTCAAAAAAAGATTGATCCCAAAAGTTTTTGGAGTAAATATAAATCAATGGCTAGAAAACTTCTGTTACAAAATTTGATTATAGTCCAAAGTACTAATTAAATATAACATTTCCATTGAGTATTCTCTAACTGAGTATTATCTAACATATTTTTTTCGTTTAGATCCCGGAGCCAGAACAAACAGGAGATGGCCCAGAGAAGAAAATAACTCGTCTGGCGATCGGCGTGGAAGGTGGCTTCGACCCAGACTGTGGCAAACCAAAGTACACATTCACAGAACATTACAACGTTGTGGTACTGCCAGGGTTTCACACATTCCCCTGGCCTAATGATGCTTTACCTGACGTGGTAAGCTTACCTTTACCTTCAAAAGATTTTTTGACAACCCTATTGGTTATACATTTGTCTGTCCTTGGCACATAAGTTCATACCTTTAAAAGACTTTTTTGACAACCCTACTGGTTTCATATGTTTGTCTATCCATGGCGCATATGTTAAAAATTAAAAAGACCTTTTTGACAACCCTACTGGTTTCATATGTTTGTCGATACATAGTACATAACTGCTAAACCTATTTTGATTTTGATAAGTTATTGTAATGTTTCAGGTGAAGAAATCTGTTCAGGCTGTGCTAGATGCTGATTCTCCATTCAAACTCGCTGAGGCGGAAGCATTACATGGTACCTGGGATGGAGAGAAGCGAGAAGTATCCGTGTAAATATAATAATATAATAACTAGACAAGAATAATATTATGTACTATTTGCAATAATTTAATATTAATGAAATAGTTTGTCAGATTCTTGGTATACTTTTAATAGACGACACATTCAGAAATCTTTAAAGATTTGGTTTTTGAATGTGGAATAAAAATCTACATAAATAGAATATCACTGTTAAGTAACTAATAAAGAAAGACTTGTGGAAATATTGTAAAAAACATAAAATAGATTTATAATGTTTTAAAATCAGATTATGTCATATATTTGGGTTTACTTATTATGTTTTTTGCCTATACACATATGAATATTTTTTTATCACTTATTCTTTAAAAACCAGGAATGAAATCTAACAACTGTAGTTAGTAGACTTATAACTATTTAACCACGTGCTAATGCCTAATGAGATTAAATAATATTTCTTATATTTCAGCCACTCAGTTAACTTGAAGCAGTTAGACAATGGTGTTAAAATACCACCATCGGGGTGGAAATGTGCCAAGTGTGATTTAACAAACAACTTGTGGTTGAATCTGACCGATGGGTCCATATTGTGTGGGAGAAGGTTCTTTGATGGCTCCGGTGGAAACGATCACGCGGTATATATTCATATATATATAAACATTTAACTTATAAACTATTGTAAATCATATAAAATTATATTGCCATATCTAAGGGCTATATATACTAGTTAATTAGTAATAGAAACAATCCATTTGTCATTCCTAACGCAATATAGAGCAAGAGCCAGGGCCAGCCAGGTATTCGTTAATTTACAAAAGCTGAAAGTTTTTCTATAGATGTACCCAATACAGGTAGTCACAATCCCCACCTATGAAATTTGATATTGAAATTATGAAATTCAATAATTTTATGTAACGATTAATTTGTTAAATCATAAAATAGTTCACACAGAATACATTGCTAAATGACAGCTGATGCGCAGTAGAAGCTCGCAATAGACCGAGAGCACTAACTCACTCACACTCGCTCAGATATATGTTCCTCGCTCTCGCACTTACGGAAGGCTTTCAGTGTGCCTGGCCAAGTAAAAGCACCATCGAAACTTTAGAACCATCTTTTCACTCAATGACTGATCTATATAACACATAAAAAAAGTATTGTTCAGAAACCGAAGAGCCTACCGTCTGTATGTTTACATTTGAAAAAACATTTAACGAGAAAAATTTGTCCTAAGTAACTAAATGCCTATAAAATGTAAACATGAACATATCCATTCGTAACTTATAAAAAGGTAATGTATTAGAAAATATTTTACTTTCAACGTTGATCAAAATAAATAAAATCTTTTTTTAAACAGTTTTTTTCCTCTGGTGTAAAATTAGATTCTCGACACTTAGGGGGTATTGGTACTTCATCGATGATATGTCCCTCGCGCTCGCGCTTACAAAAGATTTTCAGTGTGTCTGGTCAGGTAAAAGAGCCATCGAAACTGCCTGACTACTGAGCAAATATAATTTAATACTTTCCTCAGTAACATATATAAAAATCAGCCTATATACATATGTACTATAACGAAAGTACAAATAAAATTACTTATAATTTAGGGGTGCCTGGTAGGGGTTCCCACCTTACTAAGTGCCTGGCAATTTACAGCGTGATTTCTAAGATTATTACGATGAAAATATATCAAAACTGAATTTTTTACTATGAGGAAAGTGAAAGAAAATTTTATGCAGCTTTAGAACGTGTTACCTGCCAAAGCCACCGCGACCCAAATTTCATAGGTGGGGACTATCGTGACTATCTGTATTGGGTACATCTATAGAAAAACTTTCAGCTTTTGTAAATTAACGAATGCCTGGCTGGCCCTGGCTCTTGGACTAATATATTATATCATTAGGGTTTAAATTTACATTCAAAACCAAATATCATGAGAAAAAAAATTTTTCCTATAAGACATACTGTCTAAAATTCAAATTATTAGTTGAAACAATTCACTATCCTTTATAACGCGATCAATTATATTCCAAATCAACACTATATAAGAACATTTTATTCCTCCTAATAATAATCTATATGTCGTATATTCCAGGTGGAACATTACCGCGCAACCGGATATCCGCTGGCCGTCAAACTTGGCACTATAACTGCTGACGGTACTGGCGACGTGTACTCGTACGCTGAAGACGATATGGTCGAGGATCCCTACCTGGCGGAACACCTCAAACACTTCGGCATTAACGTGCAGCAGTTACAGAAGGTTACACCTAGACTTGATTATCATTTATGACGATACTAGCTTTCCCGCCGCAGCTTTGCCCGCATGGAGTTCGGTTATATCGCGTTCCCAAGAGAACCTTTCCAAAGTCTGGAATAAAAACTATCCCATGTTCGTCCTCAAGGTCAACCTGAAGGTTACACCTGGACTTGATTATCGTTTATGAGGATATGATAGTATTTTTGTTGTCTATGGCTGTGGATGTATGCCACGCAAAAATGTATTTTAATGAAACTAATATTTTCGGATTACTACTGTCTGCTACTAATCACGGTCACTTTCATCTCATCTGCCTGTGATCATGATTGCTGCAAACTAACTGAATCGTCGCGTCGGGAGTCGTTAAGAACGTATAGTTTTAAAAATAATAAAATAACGCGAAAGTAGTAATCAGAAAATATTAGTTTCATTTAAATGAATACTCGCGAAAGTCTTAGATCTCATTACTGAATGGATTTTTATTGAAATTTGTAATAACTTGTAACGATAATTAATTTTGAATTTCAGTGTGATTTAATGAACACGACATTCTAGTTGTATTTTGTATGACATTGCTGGTTGTTCATTATTTCGTAAGGACGAAGCCACAGAAAAATCTTTTATATATAATTTTTGCTCCATTTTTCTTTTGGAGTCACGGAATACTAAATTTTATATCACAATTCGTTACGCAAAACGTAAACTAACATTCTATTATAATATTTTATTTAACCCCTTAAATAACTATTGCTCCAATAAACACATTTGTCTATATAAAAGCTACGTAACACATATTTCCAGACGGAGAAGTCTATGGTTGAGCTAGAACTGGAACTGAACCGTCGTACAGGTGAGTGGAACACCATCCAGGAGTCTGGAAGTGAGCTGCGACCGCTGCACGGACCAGCACTTACAGGGGTTAACAACCTCGGGAACAGCTGCTACATCAATAGTGTTGTGCAGGTGACATATTATATGTATTTATATGTATTTGAGTGTTATAACATAGTATTAGATCTGGTCTGATCTGATGAATGATTCATATAGCTCATATTGAAGAGTAATCTGTAGTTAATTGGAACCCTAAGACCCAGTTTCACCAATCAATGTTAAATAAGCAACATCTTGTTAGGGCGTTTGATGCTCTGTTAGATGTATCGAGCGTCCCACCACGCACAAATGTCCGTTTAAATGTCTTAACCAGCCACTAATATTAATTCCTACTCTGAAGTTCCGTCTAATGGCTAACAGAATGTTAATGCATTGTCTAAACTCAATTGTCCAATCATAGCCCTGATTTCTTGTAACCATATTAACGTCATCTGTTTTGTCAGTTTCCTTATATTTATTAATAAAGTGAATTACAATTTCATTTCCTATGATGATTTTGCCTCCAGCTTTTTTATAACATTGCAAATTAAATTTTCTTTTTATCTCTTAAAATTTGAACACAATTTATGCCTATATTTATAACATCTTTATATATATAATTCTTCTGTGTGTATGTCACTGAACTTCTCTCAAACGACTGGACCGATTTTGATGAAATTTTTATTCAGAATTTTTGTCCGCTGGACAATGTTTTTTTAATTAATTTTTAATTTATTAGTAGTTGTTGATACAAACGTTTTTCTTTGACATTAGATTTGACAACTTATATGTCAATCATTCTGTCGCACTTCAAAACACGGAGATTTATGGCTTTAATAGGTAAACTCCAAAAATATAAATAAAAAAACGTAACATATTTCTTGATTATAGGGCGACATGAAGTTCGCTGGGTCTTCTAGTAATAATATATAACACAATTTATTGACAACCCGATTTTGATAGGTTACACCTAGTAAATTGAAAAGAAGGCTTTTTGTGTGCCAAATATATTTTAGGTGGTAGAGCCTAGCTGTGGTTAAGTTTACTACAGCTCGAACATGGGCTGGCTCGACCGGGGAAGTACCACCCTCTCACAGAAGATCGGCGTGAAGTAGTCAGTAATGACTGCGTTTCGTCCGATGAGTGAGAGAGCCGGTTGCCCTTTCCCTTTTCCCAACCTTTCCTTGTATTTCCTTATTCCCACCCTTCCCTATCCCTAAAAAGAAAAGGTTGGCAACGCATCCGCAACATATTTGTTGCGGATGTCCATGGGCGACGGTAACCACCTTCCATCAAGTGGGCCGTCTGTTCGTTTGCCACCTATAACATAAAAAAAAAAAAAAAACAACGATATATAAAATTTGGTCGCATTACCTTACAAGTGACGTATCGAGGGATATATACAATCAAAGTACTAAGTGGTGCACCGTGGCAAAAGTGCCGTATTAAACGCTATAGTTTCCACTTGGTCGTCTTATAACAAGAACGAATAATTTGGTAGTCGCTCATTTGACATGACGTTTAATAAAATGCTTTGTTAATTTGTCATCGTGGGACGTAAATATTTTAACAGACATTTATAATTTTGAAGGTTGGTTAGTAAATACTGTGATAAGACTAAACAAACATTGATTGGTGAAACTGGGTCTTAGGATAATTTATGTTTAATCTTGGAAGTACACAAAAATTCCTCAATAGATAGTAATATAAGTGACAGTTATGTATTTGTATTCATTTCAACATAATTTTAAATAGTGTTATATATATCTATAAAGAAATGGATATACAAGTTGCAAGCAGTACTAAATTTATATTGGATTACATTCTGTGAACCTTAAATTTAAATTTTCAACATTCGGTTGTCGAGATCATCTCCGTGAATGAATGTAATGAGTCGTCAGTATAGCGTTCCGCTCGCTTCGTTCGTTTCATTCGTTTCGTTCGTTCCTCTCTATAATCAAGGCGTATTACATTCCAGGTTCTGTTCCGTATGCCGGACTTTATCCGTCGCTACGTGGAAGGCGCTCCGGAGATATTCTCAACCTTCCCCGAAGATCCCGCTAACGATTTCAACGTACAGACGTGAGGAACTATCACTATGAGAATTTATTATAATTTCTATTAATATTATATAGAAGACAGAAATTAAAATAGTACCTTTAGCTTTTGACTTAATAAGTAGTATGATAAAGGTACATGTGTCAAAATTGTATTTCTTTTTGATATGCAGGAATTTACATTTCCCTAAATAGTATGAACTACTAACAAACTACAAAATTAGAATAAAAAATAACATCATAAGTGAAGTTAGATACCGTTACTTGTGAAAAGCCTTAAAAATATAATAAAACTGTTTATAATAATCCTATTTTATATATTTCATCAATATTAATAATTACATAGTATTACTATATAACAAAACGTTTGAATAAATATTTTTTTGTCACTTTCTTTATATTCTAATCAACCTTACTAATTAACTGAAATACTCTTAAGTCTCTTTGTTAAAACCGTATAAAACACATTGAATATTGACTCTATCTATAATATAAGTTTAATATAAATAAATCCCTAATAATATATTTCAGTGCCAAGCTGGGTGTGGGTCTCATATCGGGTCGCTACTCGTTCCCTAGTACGGGCGGCGGGCAGGCGGGAGTGTCACCTCACATGTACCGGGCGTTAGCTGGCCGAGGACATCGGGAGTTTAGTTCTAAGAGACAACAGGATGCGCACGAGTTCTACTTGCATCTACTGACACTTATTGAGGTATAGATTTGTATTATAATTAACAAGATATCAAGAAAAATTCAGGATAATCGCTCTATTATTTAAGTATACATGTGATAATGCAATTATAGTTATAGCTTAGAAGTTAAGTATAGATCTGAAATAACAAATCATTCGTCTTTAGTTAGTGGCGTTTCCTTACAGATTTCGGCAATGTGATGTGAAAATCATTCAATTAACCTGAATATTGTCCAGCAAATTATGTAGGGAGGCAACCAGAGGTTCCAGGAAAACTATGAAACTTGCTTATATGTTTAATATATTAAGATTTACATATTAAAACTTAACATATACCTAAGTCTACATGATTGTTAATGTTAGGATAGCAATACCGTTCCATAGCTTGTGTGGTATCAGGAATCTTCTGGTTCACACGACTTGGTATTCCGCGAAGTAGGCAGAATCACTCGTTATATGATATTTTATCAGTACAACAATGTTGCCCTGGCGATGTTCATTTAATTTTTAATATGTAACAAGCCAGTATTCATATATGTTTATTATCTACAGCGTAACAGTCGCCATAAGCCGAATCCAGCGGATTGTTTGAAGCTGACTGTTGAAGAAAGAGTCCAATGTACCGAATCTCTGTGCGTGAGGTACACTCGTCGTGTTGAACATCATCTACCACTGCCGGTGCCAGTGGCCGCGGCTACCAACGGGCATTTAGTGAGAGAATACGAACAGAGACGAGCGGCGGCCGAAGCCAGCGGACAGAAGTTGTATGTTATCTGTCTAGGAAATATATATCTTACATGATAATAATATTTTTCGGATTACTATACGTATTTTTTTATCGTAAAAAATTATATGCTACCGAAATTGCGATTACATTGAAACAACCGTGATTACGGACTAAGGGCGAAGTAACTAAAACGTCGGGAGTATGTAGTCAAAGAAAAAAATACCCGTAGTAATCCGAAAAATAATAGTTTCATTTAAATGATTAATCATGAAAGTCTTACATCTCATTATATCTCTTATATTGAAATTATCTTGGTCCCTGATATATATACATATTATGTTTTATTATTACTTGAAATTAAGTGATTCAATATCAACCTATATATTTTGATGTTTTACTACATAATTATTTTCTAAGATACACTATATTTTCAACAGTTTCAGTCATTAAACGAGAATAACTCAAAAAAAATTAGTGTATTATTTGAAAATAAGTATTTTAATATAAAATTACAATTTATTGAAATACCATTGATTCTCAGCTGTAAATGATATCGTACAACAAAATACTCTTCTAAATTTTCAACACAGTTTTAGCCACTAAATAAGAATATTTCCAAAAATGTATATTTAATGTGTACTTAAAAAATTCATATAATTATTTCAGAGATCCATCACAAGTTGTTCGTCCCTTGATTCCGTTCCAAGCGTGTTTGGATGCCTTCATGAAAGAGGAACTCATTGAACAATTCTTTAGTTCAGCTCTCAATAAGAAAGTTACTGCTCGCAAGTGAGTTATATACTGTATTCACTAAAACTATATTAAATTCATAATATATGTATTAAATTTGTATAGTAAAGTGATCTACTAAACATCATTTAACAATACCCAGCAAGTATTACTATTACATAACATATATAATAAGAATTATATAAATAAATAAGAATTGATACTGAGTGAAGAGTCCATTATATGTTGTAGAAGTATTTAGAACTGCTATTTAATTTCTTTAAGAAATATTGACAATAACTATAATCTATGCTCATATATACGGAGGAATAATTAGTTAAATACTTATATATAAAATAATACTGGTTATTTCTAGAATAACCCGGTTGGCGACTTTCCCCGACTACCTTTGGATCCAACTAAAGAAATTCACTATCAAAGAAGATTGGACACCCGCGAAGTTAGATGTGGCCGTTGATATGCCTTGGGAGGTCAGTGAACTTATTAACTCAAAACAAATGTTCCTTAAAACAAAGCAATTGAGGGAATACTTATATATAAACTAGAAGACCCGGCGAATTTCGTATCGCCCTATAATCAAGATATATCTGTTCCGTTTTTTATTTATATTTTTGGAGTTAACCTATTAAAGCCATAAATCTCCGTGTTTTGAAGTGCGACAGAATGATTGACGTATTAGTTAGTTGTCAAATCTAATGTCAAAAAAAAACGTTTGTATCAACAACTACTAATAAATTAAAAATTAATTAAAAAAACATTGTTCAGCAGACAAAATTGTGAATCTAAACCATTCCCAGACCCCTTGAACACACACAAAAAAATTCCTCAAAAAGCGGTCCAGTCGTTTGAGAGAAGTTCAGTGACATACACACTCACAGAAGAATTATATTATATTACATAATATACCATGAAATATTCAGTCATCTCATATATTCCTATGTGTATTTGTTCCAAGATGGACCTATCAAGTCTGCGTGGCCGAGGTCTACAGTCGTCTGAATGTCCTCTACCAGACACCTCGCCAGAGACCCCCGCGCCTGTATACAACGAGCAACTACTGGCTCAACTGGTGAGAGTTACATTAACTGGTCATTGATGGACATAACCAATTAAATTTGACATCAACTAATATATTTTAACTTGCATGTGTCCCTTAAAGTGGTCATTACTTACCCAATGTAATTAACTTGAGTCATGTACTTTACACTTCATACAGAAGTGATAAGTCATCTATACTAGTAAATAAAATTGAAATGTTTGTTTGTACATAATTTTAAATGATTTTGTTTTTTATCTAAAGAGCACTGCCCTGAAGTAAATCCATTTCACCAACTTAGTTTTTGATTAAGATGTATTCAAAACTCTAAAGAAACCTTACAATAATGCTAACGCGAATTATAAAATTTTATTATGTAGACAAAACCGTCTGCAACAGCGAGTTTACTACAACTATATTATGAGTTTTCCCTAGTTTTCTTTCAAACAGTAACCCGTCTTCCATATAATTAATTTATTCCTTAAATTCAGTTGTTAACAATAAATATACATATATTTATAGTTGGACATGGGATTCCCTATCGAGGCGTGTAAGAAGGCTCTATACTACAGCAACAACTCAGGTATGGAGGCAGCCTCTCATTGGCTCATGGAACACATGAACGATTGGGATTTCGCCAACAAGTTTGAAGCACCCGGCTCTAAATCTGGTAATATATTTTTGTTATACCTAAGTCAAATAAATAAATAATATTAAGTAATAATCATGATGTATTCGTATTATATTGCTTTATGAATTCATTTTACTGTGAATGGGTAATGAATTAGTATGGTATATCGGAATTATCAAATATTCTAAGATTAAATTATGTATTGAAGTCTATTTTTGTTAAATAAATCACATAAATATTTGGATTTTTCTGAATAAAAGTATTAATATTTATCCTATATCCTACGAATATAGATCCAAACTAATATCTTCAACTTAATGAAAAAAACGAATTATCTTATACTTCCTTTTTTTCAAGTATTTTTACTCAAAAGTTAATTAAATAAGAGTAATATATCTGAACTTATAATTATTTACTTGTAACTTTATAAAAAATTAACTGCATTCAAAAACATTGATCAACGGTCATACGATTTCAGAAATTAAAAGAATATGTAGAGAATACTTTTATATTTGATTTTAACATCTTATAATTTGAAAAGTTTTTTTGTAACATAACTACACTCAAGAAAAAGCTATATATAATAATTATTATGAATTATTATTACACAGATACAACAGCGGTTGATGAGGCGAGTTTAGAACAAGTGACAGGTATGGGTTTCACGAGGACCCAAGCTATGAAGGCTCTAACAGCGACCGATGGTGATGTGGGGCGAGCTCTTGATTGGATCTTCAGTCATGCTGAACAACTAGATGAAGACACCGGCCCTGGCTGTAGGGACGGACCGGAGAGTGAGTGGAACAGACATACATACATACAACTAGGAATACAATTATGAACTAAAGCTAACCATATCTTGATGTAAAGTGTAAAAAGTGTAGTAAAATGAGAGATTTTCGTTGCCTATTTCAATGAAAGTAAGTTTTTTCAGATACTACATGAGTTTTTTATTATTTAACTTATAAATTTTGTTGATATTTCAATTATTTTTTAGCGAAAGTGATTATGGGTAAATGAGCTGAAATTCGTTTGAAATGTTGCTTAAATGTTACATGATGAAATAATTGAAAAAAAAAGTGTTTTAGTATCTGAAAAACTTATTTTCATTTACAAAAATATTGTTATAATTTTAGTTGATTAATGATTTAAAATGTGAATTTAAATAGGCAAAAATACTGTGGCAAGTATTTTTTATATTTTAATTAATAATGATGGGTATTTGTCTAATATATTTAATTTTATTAAATATTTTTTAAAACCGGAAATCTGTCTTTGTTATTGGTTGGTTTAGTATAATTAGAGAAAATTTTTCTTAATAGTTATTAATGCATTATTTCAACATATTTGCTTGTTTTACTTTTCATATAACTATGATTTCAGTATTATATTAATATTTTTTACAGAATACAAACTGATAGCGTTCATCTCTCACATGGGAACATCAACTATGGTCGGTCACTATGTGTGTCACATACTGCATGAAGGAAGATGGGTCATATTCAATGACAATAAGGTTCGTTTTTGTATGAAGATATTTTAAATTATACATTCTGTTTGAATGTGCTTGTATTTAATCATATATTAAAGATATTTGTTTTCTCATTTAAGACTATGTTCATAAATTGTACAGATTCTAATTGCAAAATGTAACATTTCTGTTCTTATACAGCATCTTAGAAATACATATGAACGTCTTAGATCTCATTATATACCATTACATAGTTTTGGTGATATTTTAAAACAAAAATAAACTCTTGTCATTGAAATATCTCAACATTCATGATAACCAATACTTCTTCCCAAAGATATATGGATATATATAGATCAATGCTACATATATGTCTGTACATATGTTTTGATGGTATTGTATATATTTGTTACAGGTGGCTCTATCAGAGAACCCTCCGAAGGACCTGGGCTACTTGTACTTATATGAGCGGCTGTGATGTATGAACCCGGCGCGACGCCAATGTCTCCGGCTGCGCTGACGTCTCATGAAGAGTTCTTTAAGAACTACAAACCTCACATCCAGCTATGACATTGGAATTAGAAAATAAACATACAGCTAGTGAGGGAAAACGCATCTCTACAATATTAAAGTATAAAATAACTTTATTAATTAAGTAAATGTTAATTAATTAGTTATTTTCCCATGAACTTTCTCAGTTGCTAGTCTCAAATTCTAAAGTTAGGGCTGTAATCTATACAATTTGTTTAGTTTCCAGGTATAAATTTTATAGGTAAAATATATGACTTGTTTGATTTTTTTAAATTTAATATTCTAACACATAGCTAGATGTGAAGTTAAAAATATTATTGTATGTTTTTCTAGGGTTCAGTACCAAAAATGTGTCTCATTTTTTGTATTAAATATTTTAATTATGTATTGTTACTTAAATGTCTATAGAAGATAAGTTTGTTTAGAGATAATCTTGCAAATGACAATGAAAGCTATGTCCATTATGAGAAGCTGTAATTTATATTCAAATAGACTACTAACTACTAAACCAGAAGCAATACTCAAGTGAGAAATTGATGTCAAAAGTTTATAAACTTGATGAATCTAAAATAGACAACGAAATAAAAGGTAATTATATGTTATTGGTGCTTTTCATTGTAATTACTTATCCTTTATATTATTATTGTTATTTATATCTCTTGCCTTAATTTTTGTTGCCTAAGTGTCTAAGTAGGTTTTAAGTGAGAATTAGAATCAATACAGTTAAAATAATAATGATTAAACTAACGCCTTTATTCTATTCAACAAATTCCTTTGAGTTTCCTCCATACAGTACTCAATATTGGTAATAAATTGACATCGGCAACATATTCTGATTCTACTGTGAACAAAGCCATAGCATAAATAACAAGAAACAAAATAGGATTTCATACTTTACTACTTAAATAACATTTTATACATAATATTTTACACTATGCTCTTTTATCGATACTTAATATGTTCAAAGGGTGTTAGTTTTTTCTTCTGGAATATTGTTGTTTCGTCAAAGTACGAGTTGAACTTCTTAAAGCCGAACCTCTTCTTGGGATCTTTCTTACAGAAACTTGGTGTCAGATTTATCATCAAACCTGCAATTTAATATTTAATGCAATTATATTATTATACTATAAAAATATATTGTTAATAAATAACTAAGAATATGAAGGTAAATAATGGTGTATATGAAAGTTTTTAATTATACATTTAACAGTCTAACTAAGCTCATAAGTTTCATTTGGGTAATTAAGACAATTCTATATGAAGATTGTTAATTCAGGAAAGGATTTTTATTAAGAGTTGCACTTATTACCATGATTTTTTTAGTGTCACAGTAACTTTTTTTGTCCACATGTATTTAGGAAGTTAGAGAGAAAGATATGTACACTTAATTATTGACATTAGTCATGTATATTATAGTAACCAGGTTCAACATTAAGCATATATGTGGTAAAATAATATGTAATAGTGCGTTTGATTTAAGCTGAACTTTGCATTTGTGTGAGTGCACACAGATAGTGTAGGTGTGATGAAAAATTTTTGAATGCCACATTCTTTTCCGTTTCAACCGGTTTATACTGCTTTTACTCTGCCCCGCACCTTCCTAACTTCACCCTTTATAGTGGTAGCAAAATCAAATGTTGAAAACACAATGTCAAGTGAAGAAGAATTTGTATAGTTTTTTGAAAAAAAATATTAATAATTTTTTTTCTATAATATTCAAAATATTTCCATTTGGCCTTTTACAAGTTTTGCTTATTTTATAACACTTATGTTATATATCTATTTAAAATATAATAAAATTGAATTCTAAAAGTTTTTTGTCTAACTCTACTTTTATTTTCACTCACACAAATACAAAGCTCAGCTTAAGTCTAACGGACTATACCTATAATGTCAGATCTGCTTAGACATAAAATTTAGTCTTTACTCTTGTTTTTGGATAGCAAAAGTTATACAAAACAATTTTGGATCGAGATTAAATTTTAAAGCATCAGGAATTATTTTCATACCAGCTTTCTGTGCCATGGACACCATTTTCCCAATTTTCTTCTGCTGGCGTCGACACAGACCAGTTATACGGCGAGGTAACATACAGCCGTCAGATCTGACGAACTGACTCAGAATTAAGACATCCGTATGCTTTACATCCAAGCCCAGGGCACACATGTAGCAGGTTTCCTTTGGGGTACCTTCAGGTTGAACTAAATCCTTTATATTTTCCGCACGGATTAACAATTCAGTCCGTGGCGAAGGAACATTCACACCTTCTACTACAAGAGTCGAGCCTTCCTTGCGTTCTTGTACTGCAATATTAAAATGAGTTGATTTGAGGTTATCAACAAAATACTAACATAAATTTTTACTCACATTCTTTTAAATTTAACCTATTTGTTAAAGATAGCGTTCGTATGGATGTTGAAAGAACTGCATTCTTTAAAAATGAAACACCTGTTCTGGCTAGTAAAGCCATATTTATTAGTAAATAACACCTCTAAGCTATAAAAATAAATCGTCAATTTTGCTCACAACTCGTAAGCATTACTTAATGTAGACGACCAATTCTCAATTTCTTGGCAAACGTCAAACTGACATTTTTATTTTGACAGACTTCAAAAAGCGTTTTGTTAATTGAGCGCTTACTTAATCGAATGTCTTGGTATAATAACAGCAATAATTATGTATAGACATTCAAAAACAACAAAATTATTAAATTAATAGAACATTATGGCCCCTCCTTAATTCACGATTTCCTAAGTTCGTATTCCGAGCCTCACTTTTAGCAGGTGCCATTAGAACGTACGTACCCTAGGGGCCCTCCAGGCCCTCTTCGTAACGGGTCAGTCCCGGCACTGGCCCACTCTACCGGTGACGCTGTAACAGGCGCAGGGCTAACAGCACATTCATTACAAAAAAAAGAACATTAGGGTATTAACATTGTAAGACTTAAGTATATAGATGTACTTTTAAGTACAGATGGATTTTATAAATTTTAAAACAAATTTAGATCATACTTACATCTAAAAACATTAAAAAAATACAGAAGTTATATTCTCTTGAGACAATTACTATAATCAAAATTATTCTAATGAAAAATTTAATTCAATATAACATTTTTTTTAAAGCTTTTATTTACTTAAAACATGGGATGTTAATACTCCATTTAAGAACAGTAGGTTATATTTTCTGAATCAACTATTGGAAAAACAGTAGCCTTGCTTGTAATTTGGAATTAGCTTTTAAACTCCGGTTTTGAACAACTTTTACAAGGACAAGTGCTAATTTACAATTCATTTGTTTTCTTAATATTGCGTAAACATTTTATTTCAAATATACTAAGTCTAAATTTTTTATTTATTCAATTTAATAGAAAAGTAAAATATTCGTGCTTTTTAGGTTTATCAAAAGAAATTAAAATAGCCAGGGCTATTATCAATGTGGCCAATAAATTTATATTTTTCATTATAAATAGTTTAAGGTAATGCACATTTCAAATTGACAGATAATTCTTTTCCTTTTTCTTCAATAGAAAGTATGTATTCATTTTTATATTTGGTTGGTTGGAATAAAACATATCAAAGGATGGTAATGCATTTATTAAATAACACGGAGATGACGACAAATACAATATTGAGAGAAATCTTAACAAAAAAAAAATTACGAACATTTATAAAGGATACAACAATAACAGAGCTAAATAACAGATAGTTAACGAATTATAGAGATATTTAGACGCAAATTTATTAATTATAACTCTAATAAGTAATAAGCAACAGCAAGACAACATTTACAAACATGTGCATAAAAAATATTTTTCTGCTCTGAACACATTGATATATACTATAAAAATATATCGCAGTATATTAAATATGCATGTTAACAAATTTTCTGAGTCTACATTTCTATTTATTTAATTCTGAGTTCATTTAATTTATCTACTTAGTAACTCTGTATTTAGACCGATAAATTCCCTTGTTCATATAAAGGCAACATGGACGGTAAACGCGAAGCAAGTTTTGTCACATCAAAATGCACACCAAATGCAAAATAAAATCTAAATATCTATAATAACTTACACTATTTACAATATAAATGAACAATAAAATTGTGACTTATATTAAATATATTTTTTAAAAATAAGTGCTTAGAAAATAATGACGCAAATCGTGACACTACATTTGACATGAGTGTCAGATTTGACATTATTTTTAGATTACAATCAAAAATAAAATAATCGTACATATTGACATTTTAAAATAATTTGACGAATAAAAAGTGCCTGTGAATGTTTAATCGAACAAAATTTTAAAAGCATTCGATAAGACAGTGATGAATATCAACAAATAGGGTTGGGAAACTTTTGAATCGGTAATGTATTTATTTTATTTAATATCTATTATAAAATATTATATAATATAATTGTATTTTATTATCATGTTTTTATTATATACAATATGTTATCAAGTTTCCCAGATGATTGTAGCGGGGTGAGTGGTGTTGGATGATTTACTTGGGGAAGGCGGCCAGTCCCTTACTGAGAAGTCCCGCAGCGCCCTCTGCCCCGTCATGGGCAGCATGAGACAAGTTTGATACCAGCTGTAAAATAATCGATACATTAATTTAATGCATAATCGATAAATCTACATTTTAATCGGATATTTTTATTCATAAAATTATAATGTTTTATTTAATTAAACCTTATAAACTTATCAACCTTGCCAAACTACTAGTACTAATTAATAGATTTAGATATTTTTACATAACTTACCGATTTGATAACATATTTCAATCACTACAACTAACAATATAATCTAAACTAGTGAGTGAGTGACTCAGTATTTACCGATTCGCGTTTATCATTCAAGTATTTGTCGGCGTCCTTGATCTTAGCGTCTACAACTTGGCTGGCGTTCTTTAAACCTTGATCTGCTGCGTTCTCGACACGCTTCAATGTATTATCTACTGTGCTGTTCACAGCATTGGACGCGTCTGCTGCCGCTTTTTCCGCTGCCTTCTTCGATTCTTCGATAGCAGCATCTAGTTGAAATAAAACAATAATATTTCACTAAGAGTATATGTGTTTAAGTTGAGATTTATCCACATTAAGTATGACGTCACCTATACTTAAGTTTGATGAAGTTAATGGAATATATGTATATCGATTTTTCTCGTAGTATTTCTATGAATATTTTTTGTATAGAAAGTAAATGATAATATTTCAAATAACACTAATAGTACATTATGTATTTCAGTACAGATTTATTCACATTAAGTATGGCTATCGCCACCAATAGGTTATAGGTACTTTAGTTTCATTATGTAATAGCGAAATATATCGATTTTTCGGATATTTTTTCTATGAATATTATTTGTATACAAATTCCCAAAGAGGGTTGATGTCAGGCAGGCGGCCGGTCGTAAACAATTAGCCGAAACTATTCACAACATGTAAGGCAGACCCTAGCTAAAGCTGGGAACTTGCCAGGTAGAAGGATTATTTGTATACAAAATATTTCTTACTGGCTGCTCTCTTAGCCTCTTCCTTGGCCGCCTCAGCCGCAAGTCGAGCCTTCTCCTTAGCATCTTCAGCAGCTTTCTTGGTTGTATCAACAGTAGTGTTGATCGTATCTATGAAAATATTATAAATAATTTAAAATTTTAACAGCAAAATGTTAGTATTTTCGTTTACTTTCAAACACACTTAGATCGTGGACGTACTGTATTTTGTTATTTCAAAGACTTAAATGTCTACCGTTAATAAATCCAAACAAAAGCTAGTTTTTTAATTATCCATAATTTTTAAAACGTAAACATTGAATGCTGTAAATAAGAAAACGATATTTCTCTTATATTTGATAGTGAGAAATACTAACTCCGAAAAGAAAATATATTGGGGAGTATTCATTTCCAGCATCCATAATGCTACATTTTAATGATAGTTATTTGGTTTTTATATTAATAAAACTCAAAAAAACTTCGTTCAATTGTTAAAATTCGTGTCAAACAATACAAACAAGTATGTCAACAGATAAAAATATCACTGGAAACTTATAAAAATACGCCATTAGGCATTAAGATAAAATCTTTAATGTTATTTCACACAGTATTCATAATATTTGATCTGTCACAAGTAATACTTAATTGACTTTGACAAGATATTGAACAATTTCAATGTCAATGTAGCCACAGCTTAAAATAATGTTACATTTACAAAGAAAACACTTATTATTAAATTCAAACGCAATCTTACAATCTAAGTATAATTGTGTTAAAGAACGCACGAGTAACCACACATTATTATTATTTAAAAGGGAATTATATCTATTGTTTTATTTTATGACGTACCACCCTACTCTAAGTAAACGCAGATTATTCATCATTGACGTTCTAGAATTAGTATTTACACTAATAAATTGGGATTGTTAAAAAAAGGATAAAAACAACAAAAGTACATAATAACGAAACAAAACAAAAAGCTATTTAAATTGTACTCACCTTAATATGAAAAAAGTTAGTTAAGATTACAAGCGTATAGAGAATATTGTACCTTTCGTGTTATCAAGAATATTTTTTGCCTTATCCTCCCCGCTCGCTTCCTCCACCGTTGTTTTTACTGTATCTACAATATATTGCATTTACAATAGAAATATTAATGTGCGAGATCATGCAAGTGCTTCAAACATGCAACACTACCTAATAACTACGTATGTAAAAAATATAGGCATAGACTTAAAATACAAAATTTTTTGTTTCGTCTATTCTGTTTTTGATACATAGTTGATAGTATCATATTAAAGGAGTGAATAAAACAATTGATATTAATATATTTATCTTTTAAATCGTAATAAACTATTTATTTTGATGGCTTAATGAATATTTCTAACGCACCTTTAGCGACGCCAGCGTACATAAGACCCTTATCAATAGCTGATGAAGCTACATTCTTTGTAGTGTCTATCGTGGTTGTGACCGTATCTAATGAATGATATAATATTGAATAGAATAAAACAAATTTAATATGAATTTAAGTATTAATGTACCTTTAGCTGCTCCTAATAAAGATGATCCTTTATCGGCTACTGATGATGCAACAGATTTGGTAGTGTCTACGGTAGAATGAATTGTGTTTGAAACAGTATCTACAATAACCAAAGAATGTATAAGCAGGCAGTCCAATGCTTTGAGTATTTCCAAAACAAAATATACCTTTAGCAGCGCCGACTAATGAAAAACCTTTATCGACAACTGAGCTCGCTACATTTTTTGTCGTATCTATTGTGCTAGCTAATGTGTCTACAAAATAAAAAACAATGATAAAATAAGAATGTAAACAGAAATTTAATACATAATAATAGCTATACCTTTCGCTGAGTCTACTAATGATACGCTTTTATCAGCTACTTCGGATGCGACATTTTTTGTTGTATCTACACTCGATTGGACTGTGCTGACTACTGTGTCTATATAAAATGATATCAATTAAATAACATTACTTATAAATCGCTAATTTGAAGTATTACGAACGTATCTACCTTTAGCACTACCGGCAATTGATACACCTTTGTCAAATGTCGATGCCGCTACATTCTTAGCTGTTTCTACAGAAGTCGCAACAGATTCTACAAAATTATACTTGGTTAAGAAATAATTCTATAGAAATATCCCTAATAAAACTAATAGCATACCTTTTGCTGCACCTACAAATGAAGAGCCTTTATCAACTGCCGTCGACGCTACATTTTTAGTCGTATCAATAGTTGTGCTAACTGAATTTGCCAATGTGTCTACAATAATTAAATGCAATTTATATACATGTATAATATAAATCATATGTACATAAGAGACCAGGCTATATACCTTTGGCAGTTTCTAATAATGATACTCCACTCCCAACGACAGATGAACCTTTGTCTACGGCTGAAGAAGCGACATTTTTGGTTGTATCTAAAGTTGCATTGACAGTGCTTGCTACTGTATCTACAAAATAATAATGGAGTGCGTGCATAATGTCTGAATTTTATTAGCACATTGATAATCTATCTCATTGTACCTTTGACACCACCGATCAATGAGGAACCTTTGTCTAATGCTGATGCAGCTAAGTTTTTAGTGCTATCTACAGTCGTATGTACGGTGCTAGCTACGGTTTCTATAAATGTCAGGGAATTATATGTATGGTAACTATTTTAAACACATATATATGTATAATTTTACCTCTATATAGCTACTGTCCAATAGATTATATGTAGCTTGAAACATAAAAATATATTTTTTTATTTTCAACAATAGTATCGGATATGTATTTTTTTGGACATAGCGTCAAAAATGTTTATCAAAATTGTATTTTTTTACCTTTAGCTGAATCAACATATGTCTTTCCAGTTTCAACTGTACTTTGAGCAGCTTTCTTTGTACTATCTACAGTACTTGTTACTGAATCTAAAATAATTAAAGAAAATTTAACTCGTTGTGACTATAGGAAGTAGACTGTATGAAAAACAGCAAACTATTGAAGCTCGTTTAAAACAAGCAAACCTTTAGTGTAATCGTAGTACGATTTTCCGAGGTCTAAAGCGGTTGAAGCATAGCTCTTTGAATAGTCCAAAACAGATTGGAATGTATTTTGCGCTGAATCTACTTATTTTAGAACAAATACGGACTATTAGATAATTAGACACACAAGCACACTTAGCTGTTAAATATAAATATATGAACTAAGTACAACTGAAATGATAATATGAATTTAGGAAAAGCCGTAACAGAAAATGTTTTTTCTTCAAGTTAATAAGGTTTTATATTTGTTGGACTTTAGTAATATTTAGAAATCCAACATTGTTACATGTTATAAATAAATATCTGGACTTAATAAAGTTATTTACAACAACAAACACAATAAATTTAAATTTATTTGTTAAAAATTGTTATTAAAACACAGAATAAAACAATTATAAACAGAAAGTTATACCTTGTACACTAGTAGCATAATTCTTACTAGTGTCCGCAACTGATTGGGCAGTTTTTTGTGTTGTATCTACAGCGGACTGAACTGAACTTGCGACTGTATCTACAATAATTTAATATCGAATTATAAAACTTTTTCTTTTTAAAATACATAGTTATGAAATTTTTCGGAAAGATGATAATGTAAAGTACCTTTAGCACTAGCAGCGTAAGACTTTCCTGTGTCTAAAGCTGACTGAGCTGTTTTTTGTGTTGTATCTACAGCGGACTGAACTGAACTTGCAACTGTATCTACAATTGTTCAATACTAAATTATAAGACTTTTTCTTGAAATAGCTATAACATATTTCAGGTAAATGATTATGTACATATAATACCTTTAGCACTAGTAGCGTAAGACTTTCCTGTGTCTAAAGCTGACTGAGCTGAACTTGTGACTGTATCTACAATTGTTTAATATCTAATTATAGGACTTTTCTGGCAGATTTATTAATGACATATTTCAGAAAGATAATAGTGTAAAGTACCTTTAGCACTAGCCGCGTAAGACTTTCCTGTGTCTAAAGCTGACTGAGCTGTTTTTTGTGTTGTATCTACAGCGGACTGAACTGAACTTGCAACTGTATCTACAATTGTTCAATACCAAATTATAAACTTTTCTTTCTGAATTATTAATGAAATATTTCGGATAGATTTAGAATACCTTTAGCACTAGCAGCGTAAGACTTTCCTGTGTCTAAAGCTGACTGAGCTGTTTTTTGTGTTGTATCTACAGCGGACTGAACCGAACTTGCAACTGTATCTACAATTGTTTAATATCGAATTATAAAACTTTTCTTCCTGAATTATTAATGAAATATTTCGGATAGATCTAGAATACCTTTAGCACTAGCAGCGTAAGACTTTCCTGTGTCTAAAGCTGACTGAGCTGTTTTTTGTGTTGTATCTACAGCGGACTGAACTGAACTTGTGACTGTATCTACAATTGTGCAATACCAAATTATAAAACTTTTCTTCTTGAGTTATTAATGACATATTTCAAAAAGATGGAAATATTAAGTACCTTTAGCACTAGCAGCGTAAGACTTTCCTGTATCTAAAGCTGACTGAGCAGTTTTTTGTGTTGTATCTACAGCGGACTGAACCGAACTTGCGACTGTATCTACAATGGTTCAATACCAAATTATAAAACTTTTGTTCCTGAATTATTAATGAAATATTTCGGATAGATCTAGAATACCTTTAGCACTAGCAGCGTAAGACTTTCCTGTGTCCACAGCGGACTGAACTGAACTTGCAACTGTATCTACAATTGTTTAATATGGAATTATTTCTTTGTTTTCATGAAATATAAATGAAATATTTCGTATAGATTTAGAATACCTTTAGCACTGGCAGCGTAAGACTTTCCTGTGTCTAAAGCTGACTGAGTTGAACTTGCGACTGTATCTATAATTGTTTAATATCAAATTATAAAACTTTTCTTCCTGAATTATTAATGAAATATTTCGGATAGATCTAGAATACCTTTAGCACTAGCAGCGTAAGACTTTCCTGTGTCTAGAGCTGACTGAGCAGTTTTTTGTGTTGTATCTACAGCGGACTGAACTGAACTTGTGACTGTATCTACAATTGTGCAATACCAAATTATAAAACTTTTCTTCTTGAGTTATTAATGACATATTTCAAAAAGATGGAAATATTAAGTACCTTTAGCACTAGCAGCGTAAGACTTTCCTGTATCTAAAGCTGACTGAGCAGTTTTTTGTGTTGTATCTACAGCGGACTGAACTGAACTTGCAACTGTATCTACAATTGTTCAATACCAAATTATAAAACTTTTCCTCTTGAATTATTAATGAAATATTTCGGATAGATTTAGAATACCTTTAGCACTAGCAGCGTAAGACTTTCCTGTATCTAAAGCTGACTGAGCAGTTTTTTGTGTTGTATCTACAGCGGACTGAACTGAACTTGCAACTGTATCTACAATTGTTCAATACCAAATTATAAAACTTTTCCTCTTGAAATATTAATGAAATATTTCGGATAGATTTAGAATACCTTTAGCACTAGTAGCGTAAGACTTTCCTGTGTCTAAAGCTGATTGAGCTGTTTTTTGTGTTGTATCTACAGCGGACTGAACTGAACTTGCGACTGTATCTACAATAGTTCAATATCGAATTATAAGACTTAAGTTTCTCAAAATTGTTTTAAAATATCTTAGATAAATAAAAATTTACTGAACCTTTAGTAGCATAAAATTTTTCGTTTTCCATAATGTCATAGATTTTTTATATACATAAGGCTTTATTCACAACCAGTACATCTACTAAATACATTTAACTACTAAATACGTTTTAACTAAGGAAAGTTAAACATGCTTTACAGTATAGTTTGCCTTTACCAGTTAAATAATGTGAAGCATTTAGAAAGAATTTTCAAAGTACAAGGAAGTATTGTTTAATAACTATGCTAAAACTAAGTTTTTACACATGAGTTAGTTATAGTATTTGTATATATAGATAGAAAATGTGCGTCATAATAATACATAATGAATACCGACCTTTTGTTGTGTTGTATGCGGACTCTGCAGCTTTCTTTGTGCTATCAACAGTTGTAGCGATAGTGTCTAAGCAACGAAAATAAAACAAAAAAATAAAAAATCCAACAAAAAAATCTAACAAAGATATCGAGCTATGATACCATTTAAATAATAATAAATAAAATTATATTAAGAAAACTAATAAATAATTCTAAGGGGATTGGAGAATAAATGTTTATAATTAATAGTTCGGTATAAATGCTATTGTATTATAAAGTTGAATGTAAATACATTTAATGTCAGTACCGTCAGTGACCGACCTTTGACCTAATAGTTTTCAAAGCGACGTCTCGACGATAACGATTCTTTTACACTTTCATAATATAAAATATTATTTAAATAAAATAAAAAAAATGTCTTCCGATCCTAATTTCACATATAAACAATTTATTTAACATTTCTGTAATATTTATACAGGGTGACTGGTGAATTACTATCAATATTTAAGGAGCATACTCGGTACATGATTCTCATTCGAATTATGTAAAAAAATAGGTACTTAATTTTTGACCAAATTTCCGTATAAATAAATAAAGTGTGTACACGTAGCAAGTGTTCCAAGTGTGGACGCGTGCGGCGGCGTGCTGATACAACAACACGCCGCCGCCGCGTGTGTGTGTGTGTGTGTGTGTGTATACCTAATCTGCAGTGTGTTCATACGATGCGTAATTAATTACATAACTTTTGGTTAACTTTACTTAGAAGTTTATTAATATTTATGTTATATTAGTTTTTATTTTGTCATATATGATCGTCAAATATCACGTCCTTAAATATTGATAGTAATTCACCAGTCACCCTGTATAAGTTTTTTCGTGATTGGACGCGTGTAGTTTCCAGGTTACAGTACAATGTCCAAACGTTACCTGTTTAGGTATATAAATGGAATACGTGTAACTGTCTGTGTTTCGTTTGATACTGATGGTAAAGTTGTTTATTTAACAAGATTCACTTGTACTATATAAGGTATGTAAAATTCCATTTTATTCTCTTGATTCTTGAATATGTATTACAGGGAACAAAATATATGCGAGACACTTAAATAAAATGAATACTTTCGGATTTACTACGCGTTTTTTTATTATTTTAACAAAATACTAATGACGTTTCGGTTAAAAACCGTGATCACGTAGTAAATCTGAATATCTGTATCATCAGACTAAAGATAATAATCAGTTTTATACATAGTTTTTAATCTTAGTTTTCACATATAACAATACAGACGTAGTTATTTATATTAAAAACTGTTTTCAATGAAACTTATATACTTATCGAATACTGCGCGTGTTTAAGTATTTTAAAAACTACATACACCCAACGTTTCGGTTACTTTGCACTTTGCCGCAACCGAGATCACGAAAAAATATTAGTTTAATATAAATGAATACTCGTAAAGATCTTAGAAATCAATAAATCGTTACGTAAAAACAATTTTTCGTTGTTGTTTGGTAATAAACCTGTGTATTTGATATGTTTACCTTTAGTAGTGTCGACAACCTTCTTTCCATCAGCCACAGCCTTGCTAGCAGCGTCCTTCGCTTCTCCTGCAGCCAGGGCCACCTTCCCCAACTCCTTATCGAGAGCGTCGATGGCAGAATTCCTTACATTCGCAGCTGTGGTACGAGTAATGAGTAAAACAATAATACATTTATAGTATTAAATGTAAAGTTAAGTATCTTTCTTTATATGGTTTGTGTGGCAGATATAATAGAGTTGTAATAAGGCTTGTAAGTAAAGAATCGTAATTATTTTGATATATATATACCATTTGTATATAAATATGATATGGGTAATACATAGCCTTTTTAAGCAATTTTTTTCAGTTATCCCTACTAATATTATAAATGCAAAAGTAACTCTGTCTCTCTGTTAAGCTTAGACGCCTAAACCACTGAACTGATTTTAATGAAATTTGGTACAGAGATAGAGTTGACCTTGAGAAAGAACAAAGGATAGTTTTTATTACAGACTTTTGAAAGGTTCTCTTGGAAACGCGATATAACCGAACACGCGGGCGAAGCTGCGGACGGAAAGCTAGTAAGGTATATAATTGGGAGCACTTAGGTCGGGACGTTTTGGTCTTATTCTATATTCGTTAAAAGCTACTTCAAAGCTTTAAATACGTTGGCAACTGTGTACAGACTGAATTATGTGACACAAGTATGTAATAATGTCATCAAAGTATATGTTTTATTATTTACATGATAACCACGAAGTCACGTCTGGACTTTATTTTTATAAGTACATAACTAAACGAAACGCGATATAACCGAACTCCACGCGGGAGAAAGTGCGGACGGGAAGCTAGTAGGAAAAATTTCGTTACAATTTCTGTTTGGTAGTGCTGACAGGCGGCCGGTCGTAAAAAATAATAAGCCAAAACTATTCACAACATGTTAGGCAAACCCTGGCTAAAAGCTGGAAAATTGTCAATAAGAAGAAGAAGAAGAATTAATGATATCAAATAAATTATCTCTTATCAGAAGCCTCTCAAGATTTTTTAATTATAAAAAAAAAACGTGGGAAACTATCAAAATGATTTTAGTCAACCGGTTGTGCGAGTATGTTAAATAACTCTTGGAAATACACTAAAAAAAATGGACGCGTTCCAACGTATTATTTTAATACATTCATTTGTAAAATTATAAATATACTAAGCTCTCTTTTCATAATATTTAACCTAATTCAATGTGAATAATATGAATATATTATAATGTAAAGCAGTATATATACGGTCAATTGAGAAACCTCTTTCTTTTTGAAATCGGTTAAAATAGTTCTGTGATTTTTACTGAATTCTCATATTATAGTGTGTATTATTATTTCAAGGTTTTGAATGTATAATGTAGATAAAAAATTAAACGAAACTAATATTTTTTGGATTACTAGATGTCATTTTATTATAATTAAAAACTATATACTCCTGACGTTTCGGTTACTTTGCAGTAACCGTGAACACATTTCGTCTGCAAAGTATGTAGTTTTTAAATATAAAAAATATGCGTAGTAATCCGAAAATATTAGTTTCATTTAAATGAAGAGACGACAAAACCTCTTAGCATTCAATGGATTCATCGTTCGAGTGCCGGGTCCATCGTTGCAGGGAGAGGAGCTTCAACAGTGCCTGGGACTTGCGACCCAAGTGTAGGTTTAAGGGGCCCAGGGCTATATCTCAATAAAAAAAATGTATTGATTCTTCTTACCAGTATCGGCGGCCTCAGCAGCGTTCTTCTCCGCGCCGCTCACTAGTTCTCCAGTCTTCTTCACTTGTTCTTCTACCACGTGAGCTGCCTCCGCTGCCTTCTCTTGGGCGATCTGTTCCACATCTTTCTTCTTCTTTTCGAAAAGCGAAGCAGTCTTTTCACCGATGCTTCGGAACGCACCTTTGAAAAATATTATTTCAGTCACATTGTACTAATAAGTTGCCTTTTTTACAAACGTTATGATATTTTTTAATACTTATGCTCTGATATCATAAAATGTATATGTATACCATTATTAATCTGTAATGATTCATTATTACGAGTGATGAAATGTAAAAAACATGTTTTTCCCCAGAAGTTATAATTATATATAACAGAAAAACGTTTTCATCCTTTATTATTAGCCTTTTACTTATAGGCAAAATTATTGAAACATAAAATGATAATAAAAATATTCTTTTTTAGAAATATCATTAGTTATAACCTATAAAATGTGTGATCAACGCGTGAAGCCGATTTCAATTTTGCAAAAATTCAAGTGGGCAAGAAGTATGTACAAATTTACTTCGTAATTTTGTACATACTTCTTGCTCAGAGACAAATTATTTTGCACAGAAAATATATAAAACTAGCCTATTTATACGATTCGGTATAAAAAGTAATTTACAGTCAACTAAACGACCTTTATAATTATTCCAATAATTTTATTCGTATTTGTCACGTGATACACACATTAAAGTTAGAATTAAACACCAAAAAAAATATAATTTTCATACTTTTTACAGCACTGTGGAATTTTATGACGGTAATATAAAAATAATAAAATAATATGGTTAATGAAATGTATTGAAAAATATTATATGTAGCTTCTTATTCGTTCTTATAAAAGTCTAAATTTCATATGAATCTAATATAAACTCTGTTTTTTTGTAAATGTTTTTACGGCTCTGGATACGAGTCTTTTGAGCCTAAAAACTTTGCCAATATGATTTAAGTGTTGCTATGCTAATTCCACACTTACTTATTGATCGTTTTACTCTATTTTTCAAATACTAAATTAAATTTCCTCCTCATAAACCTATAAACCTTTTGCTTGTCAATAAAATGATATCCTTGAACTTGAGTTATAAAGAACACGAAATAAGGACCTTTATAATGAAGATTTTTTTGCAACAGATAAATAATATAACTCAAAAACTTTAGGACGAAACAAAACTAGTATGTATTATACTTATTTAATATATCTCTCTTTAAATATATTCAATGTTGCCGTCAACTTATTGCCATAATATTTTAATAATTCACATGAAAGAACAATCGATATTTTCCACACCACTAACTTGGACATACGTCGTTTATGTGAGAAAACATTGAAATATGATTCAAATGTAGGACGATGTGAAATAAAATTGACATAATAAAAAACTCACCGAGATTCTTGTCTATCGGAATGCATGGAAATATAAATAATTTAATAATTTACAGTCCATTTCATATATTATAGTCCACATACAACAAACCTACAGTCCATGCGATATAACTAATGACTAATGAGACTATTACTAACCGAATGTACTTTTATGATACAACTTACGTGCAATGTCTTAGTTTAACATGCAATGCTAGCTCTATTGTATATAACTAGATACATATGTTCAAATGAATTATATCATGCATTGTATGTGAATAAGATGTATATATGTTATTCTGTGTCGATATAGAGAAAAAAATATATATTACCAGATGGTCAGAATCGTATGTTTATGGGTAAGTAAGAACAGTGACCGTGGTTTTAAACCGGCTTTGCGCCATATTTGTAAGTTATAAATTGACGAAGTTAGCTTTAAAGTAAATTCAATTGATATAACATTATATGTGTACATAAGACACGTTAAGAAATCATAATATGTCAAACTTAAAAAGGAATCCTACTTTTTTTTTAATGTAAATAATTAAATAAAATAAAAGCAAATACCGAGTCCTATTCATCCTATACATTATTTATTTCCATAATTATATATTATCAAAATAAATATACAAAATCAATGGTAGTTAAGTACAAATCTTGGCATTTGCACTAGTGTCAAAAGAGCACGTTGGTCCAATTTCAATCTATAATTAGATAAACAAGTATTTTACTTTGCTGTTTATTTATTTGCATTTCCAAATATATTGTTTGGTACTTAATTCTTGGCAAGAACAAGAAAATATATGATATAATTTAAAATAGTTTATTTTTATTTACGCTTTTAATGCAACGCAAAATAAGTTAATTCTTAGACTCTATCCTCTAATATTACTTTTGCGTGATAACCTTTGAATGTCAGGAAATTGACATTAATTAATTACTACACAAAAACTGGGTGATTTACGGAAACTTGGACAGTCAAATTTCATACATAACTACTAAAATAAGAAGATTTATCAATTAAAAACTGTTAATAACTGTTTTCCGAATGGATAACTTGAGGTAAGCTATAGTATAGTATCTTGATAAATAAATTGTTTGATTAAATAATAATGAAAATTTGATCTACAAATACATCAGAACTAATTCGCACCAAACAAACGATTCATTTGTTAATAGAGCCTTGAAGAGAAGGTCTTTTTTACTATAACGCATTTCTTATGTTTAAATATTTTATTATTTATATACGCAGACTTTTATATAGGAACACATATTGCGTTTCCCATACAGGAAATACCAATATAATTCTTATAACATGATGTACTTGCAACTATAATAAAATAATTGCAGTCGTCATCAGCCTATCAGAGCCCACTGCTAAGGAAAGGTTTCTTTCTCACATGGAGAAGGTTTGAGCATTAATCACCACGCTTGCTCAAGACGGGTTGGTGAGTTCAAACTTATAATTGTGATATTATGAGTCCAGGTTTTCTTTCACCGTATTGCATTAACAGTATATAATATAAGTATCGATACTCCATACACGTTTTATCGATATAAATAGCCCTGATTTTTATTCGCTAGTGATGTAAATATTTACACAGATTAAAAATATCTCTAGATAACGTATAACAGGCTTGATCAGATGAGACCTTGGCTTTAATTTGTGGTTAGTTGATATGGTAAATTTAAAAATATTGAAATATATTTAGCTATAACAATATATGCCCATTATAATTTAATTCTGTTTGAATGTAATTAATTTATAAAAAACTTTTTGTAATTGCTATAATACATTAATTTGTATTAAAATATTTACACAAAAAATATGTTTATATAAGGATAAATGTCCGTAGAAAATGTAAAATTTCACTAATTACTGTCAAATAAGTAAAAAACAAAATAAAGAGCCGAATAAGAGCTCGATAGCTCAGTTGTTAAAACAACTGTAACGCGATATTACTGTAATTGCAAGTTCGAATCCTGATTGTGTCAATTTTTATATCATCCTATACTTTCTTATTTCTATTTGAATATCATTCAAAATATTAAACGCACGAATTCTTTAATATTAAAAGTATAATACGAACAAAATGAAAATTCATTGCAAAATACTTTACAAAAATTATTATTGAAATTACATACGAATAATTAATGAATTTAAATATAATATTAATTAAAACAAAGCTTTAAAATAATAAAATACGTAAATTAAATCTTCCATATTAACTGCAAGTTAGTAATCTTTAAACAACACACTCATGATATATAAAACTTTATTTGGCTGTATAAGTAAGTTAATCTAATATACTGTTATTGCCGCTCCCGTTTATTCAACATAAATTTCTCTGAAACAGTCGCCATGTCCATTAGCGCCGCCGGTCTGTCTGGGTCAGTCTAACACAGTCTAGAGTCTAGACTATCGATCCGAACTAAAAACTAAACCAGTTATATAATATAACAATATTACAATATGTAGCTGGATTTATTGCATTATTTGTTGAGTTTCGTCGAAGATTGTCATAGTTTGGGTGTCGATTTAAGATTTTATTTGGATAATTTGTTATATTCAATCAAAAATTAGACTATAATTTATGAGGTAATATGTCAACAAAAGACCTTAAGTTTGAAATATTAGATTTAAAATAGGTTAAAATATACATTGAAGTAGAACTATGATAACGAAATATCTAAAAATCTTTTTTGTGATTTTGATTTTAGTCTTTTTTTAACCAAACTGGCAAACAGACGGTCTACTTGATGGAAAGTAGATATGGTGCCGGAAAACCGTTTTTCCTTTTTTTTGTCTGTTTTCAGTATAAATAATGTTATTAGAACATTAAAAAATTGAATAATAAAGAAATATTAAGAATGAGTTGTTCTTAATTTATAGTGCGGGCGAATAAATCTGTACGGTATAACAAAGTTGGCAATCTCAGAACCTTAAACGGACATTTTTTAAGCCAAATACGACCTTATACCATTAGTTATAGAGCTGAAACTTACATAAGCCTTATTCGGTACTAAAAATTTATTATCTTGGAACCATTTTTATAATAGGCATCATTTTTATTCAGTAGTTATTTGAATAGCAGTAGAAACTTTGTCTTAAATTTAAACATAACGCAAGATTACATACAAATCCATTTAATAGATCTTTTTGATTCGACAAAGACAAATCTAACTTAGACATTTATAATATTAGTAGAAAAATAATACAATTGTTACTTCAATTAAATCTTCTTTTAAAAATGTCTAAAATAATCTTTGTTTTATTTATAATGACTCATTCATTATTTCTTTTGAGCATTTTCCATTTTCGAATACTCAAACCATTAGAATTTAAATTAAGAATTGTTTGAAAGAGTTTCTCATATAAAACTTTGTGGAATAACAGTGACGTCATTTGCAAGGAAAAAATAGATCGGCAAATATTGTATTTTAGAACAAAATGCGGTAAAATTAACTTATATTTATTTTATTAATAGATTTGACAGTTCTCTATCATCATACTGCCAGTATTAGTTACCACGAGTTTGCTTCGTAACACTCTATTATATGAACCTTATAATCATAGTGTTAACGTACATTATTGAATGACAAATTTTTACTTCATATGTACTGTGATTATGCAAACTTGTTTTACCTACGTTTACATATAATATGTAAGCATGTAGAAATAATCTGTACAATCACTGTAAAAATTACATCATTTCACTCGGTTACGCTGGCAAAGAAAATAGGGCTAACAGCTACAAAGTACAGTCGAGTTAAAATCGCTAATAACTATTAATTTTTTACTTGAAGATATTAACAACATACATACATATATATACATATATTTATTTCCTGTGTTACTCTAACAATGATATCACCATGACGCAATTTCTCTGGAACGATTTAGAAGTTGTTTGTCATAAGACTCTCTATTGCCAGATAGCCGTGGGTTGCAAGAATATGAATCCCGTCGCAATGAACTACATTATAATATTATATTCAAATTAAATTCAATCCTTAAAAAATAATTTTTATGTATTTAATTTTTAAATTCCATATATTAATTTACAAGATATAAATTTCTGAACAATATATTATAATTTATAACCTACACTAAACGTCACTTAAACGAAATGACATATTCCTTACTTTTCATTCCAAAACTCTTTACGAATAAAATGACAATACAATTCAATTTTACCGTTATTATAGTTGAATACAATAACAAATAAATTGTAATACAGGTCATGAGACGGCAGTCTGAGACATTTCCTGTTGAGAAAGTTAAAACCTACGCATTAATGAAAGCAATCCTTAATCTAATATAGGGCTTAATAGGACGCTACAAATACTGTCATTTGAATAGCATTAACGAAACGCATACGTCATGCAGTGACAGATAATTTTTATTTTCGAAAAGCTTATTTTTGTAACACAACAAATAAAATATTGAGCATTGTAGGGAGAGATAAACAACTTTTGCAACAAAATGTAGGTCAGGAAATATTGATTTTAAGATGGCGCCGATAAGTTGCTGCGGAAAAGAATTTTAGGAATCTGGCTGTGCATAAAAATCATCAAAAAGGTTGAATATGGGAATGATGTGTTTCAATTAATCCTGATTGGAAGGACAAGTAAATAACTGCATTAGGTAGTAAACAATTTTAATATAATTTTCTTACACATAACAGATTAAGAAAGAAAAAATTGCATGTGCTTTTTCGTCCAAAAACCCTTGTAACTTAGAAAACTTCTCGTATTTTCATTCCTATACATAGGTTGTTTAAATAATAAGCCCTCAGATACATTCCTTGCATCAGACATCATTGGTTATTTTGATAATTTATAAATAACCTTACTAAAATAACAATGTACTGAATACATAGAACAGGTGTTCAAAGAGAATTAGTTTTATATATAAGTTAAAAATAAATATTAACTGAAAGTTATAAATATTATATATTTCATAATATAAATATTATATACAGGAATATATAATTGAATATTCTCCAAAACTCCAAAACTTATAATTTAATATCTCAATATACTAATTAAAATTTCCTACGTATAAGTTTCTTAATAATCTGTTTATGTTGTGAAATTCTTTAGTATTATATTTCAGTGTCGTAACGAGTAAGGATATAATCTGTGGTTTAGAAATTGACCGGCGCTGTATATGTGACATATTGAATTACTTGTGATAATAATGTTTCAATATTTAATTTAACACCATTTTATAATTACTTTTGTTATAAATAATATTTTTCATATTTAAAATATATTCAGATGTATAACAGTATAAAACTGTGTACGAATATTTAAAAAAAAATACAAAGCGTGCGCAGCGGCATTCCTCAATATGCTATCTCTTTCTAACTATTGGTCATACGTGTGTATGAAAGAGACGGATGTTTAATTAGAAGCCTCCACCAGCCGACCTTGGTGATGTCATCATACACAAACCGTTTCGTTTTATTGTTCTTATATCGGTTTTGACTTATATATTTTGGTGTTATGGACTGGTAATTAGGTAATTCAGGTAAAAAAAAAAAATAATAATTTATGTCAATAGTATAGATGTGTGATTGATGTTGATTATCATTATATATTTGAGTCATGTTCAAGACTATGTTTTATAATGGCTGTCTGGTTTAGACTAGTCGACCACCTACGCTAGAAATATCTAGTCGTTAAATTATTTCCTTAATAAATTTATTACTTGAGATAACATTTTTGCTAAGCTACGCCTGTTCGTATTTCTGTATCTATTTCAAGCAATAACATTAACTTATGTACATACGAAATTATTCTATTTTCTTATAATGAATATTCATGAACAAAGTACACTACATAATTTATCTGTATATATATGGCGGGGTCTTAAACCGGTTAGATTTATTTCTATCTGCTTGAGATATATTTAGAGTCTGTAATGTACCTGAGGCTCTGTTCAAGAGGTTTTAAGCGTCACGAAACATCGTTATAATTTAAACAATTTCAAAATAAATTTAAGTTAGAATCTTTTTAATCATACAGTATATTTCGCTTGGAAAGTGACTGAACCTCTATATAATACTCATATATTTCACGTTTACAATAGGTAATATAAAAATTTATTTCGTGTAGACAGTTTTCTTTTGCGTCCTTCAATTTGACATTAATGACAGATCAATACTTTATACGTAAACTGTCACAGGTCAAATAACATACAGTTTGCAAAAACAAAACAAAGTGAATCATACAAATATGCGTTGTAATGTTCTGTGTACACTGTGGTATATAGCGACCCTGAACTTTGTCAGTGCGCGTGAACTGGGCGTGTTCCGTGAATGATATTTTCAGTACGGAATACATATTTTTGTATACATATTAATTATATATTATATTCAAGAAAAAATAAGTAAATAATTATATTGTAATTGTAACTGTAAATTTATTTTTTACATAAAAAAACGTATGTAAAATCTATACATCGATTACCGGATGTTATAAATTTCTTAATAACGTAATCGTGTCAAAATTTCACAATCATAATTTTTTATTTTTATTTATTATTATTCTATCAATGCTCAATTTATTTATTTTTTATACAGTCAAGGCCTAGTTAACAAAAATAGCTCATATTACGCGATCGGAATTTTTATTACAGAAACAGAGGTCATTTTAGATTATCGGTTATTTTAATTAATTAATACCTATGTACTTAAAACGGTTTATTTTTTCCATATTTTAATGCATTACACACGTTCATATCTTGGCACCGAACTAACTTCTAATTTTATACGTGATTTGTTTATTCATACACTTTGTTGGTTTTATAGAGTGACAATATTAGGAACTGCGTAGTAAAATTTATAACCTCCAGCTATGGAAAACTTCAATAAATACTATTATTAGCATATAAAATATTTTTAAGTGTAAATAATGATTTTACGTAATATTATAATAGGAAAATTTTTAATATCAATGCTATTAAGAGCATTAACAATTTTAGAACGAACGACGTGATTAATGTTTTTTAAATGTTTCTAGAAACGTAACTGGGTCGAGTGTATAACGTAACTGTTAAATGGAAAATATAAAAAAATATTAGAACCTTAGATAATTTGAACATAAAATATTATTTATTCATGAAATATTTTCAAATTAAATATATACTTTTTTGTAATTTGAATAGAGTTGGTTAAAAAAAAAAAAACATTTATTCCATTTTAGTGTCATTTATAGGGAAACTATATCTACATTAAGTCGCAGTAATACGAAAAACCTTTCCATATATGTATAATATATAAAAAGAAAATTTAAACAAAATCCTATTTCATCATTATAACAATATATAATATGTCTCTATCTACTTAGATTTATTTAATATAATCTTTTCTATGATCATCCTTCTTGGACGCATTATTCATACAATTCACGTCTACATTATGGTTATTAAGCAATTGTTTTTTTCAATCACGGACACATGAGTCATCTTACTAATTAACTCATGCTTGTATGTAGTACAAAACAATTCTTATCTGAAAGCTGCCCTATGACTGACCTTATTTTATTTTTATACAAATAATTAATATATAGAAATGTCACTTTAGTTTTTTTTAAAGCCGGTTTTCGTTCAAAAATTTAGTTGATTTTTTATTGATATCTTAAAAGAGTTCTTATTGGAACAAAATGTTTTTATCTTTTAAATTCTTGTGTGATAGATTTAAATATTTGTATATGATTTTAAATTATTGATAACTATTTTTATACAGCTTTATATTTTTTAGCTGCGTTTTGTTTTAAGTCAGGTGAAAATGAGACGATATTTTTTTTTAACTAAAATCTAGCTCTACAAACTACCTTTTTATCTATGTTAGTAAAGTGTAAGCATTATCCAGCCAAGTAAACCATGTTATAATATTATAACGGTTCTATCCTCTAGCGAAATACTAATCTACAGACAAACCTTACATAATATGAAATTATTATAAAAAATGGTATTTAAAATTACTTTCTGAACATTAAAAAAAGTATAAAAATAGTGAATATTAAAAATATTAGTATATTTTTTTCTTTTTCATTATTAATAATAAATTTTCATCTCACCTGCGATTCCGCTGAACATTTTGATATCGATGGATAAAATTCACAGAAATTTGGAAAAGATTTAAACCCACTGTAATGAAAATTACACAATCCAATTTTAACTTAGCGCTGTTACAAAGTGCGGCGTATGACCGAATCAACGTAATAATATCCGCAACCTTCAAGCGCACTGCAGTACGTTCTAAAAAAGACGATACACGAACTCTTACGAATACTATTTTCCGACTAAAGCAGCCGAGAATGACCAAGTACCAAAGTGATCGAATCCAGCTATTTTTACCGCTTACGTCATACATGGCTTGCGTTTCGTTTCTACATTGAACGTAAGAGAAAGAGTAAAATACTTTTATTTGTATCATTATATTATATACTGTAAATTTTTAATAATATAGTTATAAAAAATATAAAGTTATTGTATACTTCACAATAGTGTAATAATAAATAAAGTTGTGTGTAACTAGAATGGTAATCATTGCTCTTATAAAAGATTGACTTTATTGAGACAAAAAAAAACCATTATTGTAGTTAATTTAATAATATTTCCAGATATTTTTAATTAACATAATTTGATGATTATTTTAATGGTATCACCACCTCAGTTGCCTAGCAACGGCGTTTCATAATAACAAACGTTCATAATGTCAAAAGTTATATCGAAAATTTCTATTAGAAATAAATCTATGCAGTTCCGTTGCCAATTTAGAAGGAATGTCTAAAGAAAATAATAATCTAAGGCTTCTCGGCTCACCAGTAAATTTGACTTATAGAAACAAGAGAAAAGAAGATAGGAAAAATACAAGAAATCGTCCACGATCTGCTCTACAAAACTCTAGTTCTCCGGTAATTTAGTAATTTAGTTACAATATTTCGTATCAACAGACATAATTGTTTTGTTTGTGTTTAATCAATGACCAGATCTTATACTGTTCAAATTTCTATGTCTCATAAAATTTTACTTCTCTTTTTTAATCGCATCCTCAACTTTTAATAAAAAAATATTATATTATAATAAAATTTTTGTTTTATTTTGTATTTACATCATAAATACCTGAAAAATATCTTTTATGCATTTTATACTCACCAATTCTTGATAATTACACTGAAATGCAAGTATAGAAATTTGTTAATTTAGTTGATAAAATTTATAGAGAAAAGTTATAGCATTAAATTATTTCTTTTATTTTTCTAGGATGTTCCTGAAAGATACAAGAGACCATTCTCAGCGGACACCAAGGATCGAGGACAATCCACAAGATCGTTTTATAAAACTTTTAGTGCTGATTTATTGCAGTCGTACAATAGTATGTTACTATATATAATTAAATTAAGAAAAAGTATTTACTACTAAATCTAATTAATAATGTAAAAAATTTAATACAATCATTTTTTTCTCAAATGACAAAAACAATTGATTAATTGATTTTTAATTAATCATTCTATATTATTTTCAAAAAGAAATTTTGAAATTTAAAATTATTTATATAATTTCCATTTTAAAGTTTGTGATAGGTATGTAGATTAGTAAAAGTTCTAGAACATCCCAGTTGCAAGCTTATATCCTGTTTGTACATATGAATTTTCTATCTTTATTGTCTTCTAACATAACATTTGAACTTTAATCCAGGAAATATCTGCTCAGTACCGAGATTATGTACCTTTTCTTTAGAATTCTTCATATTTTCCTCCTCAGACTCCCCATTGAGTGTGAAAGTACTCCCTCCCACAGAAGATCTTTTGACCCATTCAAATGTTCACATCACCAGAAATGAAAGCAAAGAGATAAGCAGCAACGCATCCGATTACGGTTCAGAAGACACATTCATTAGCTTAGGAACAAAGATAAAAGCGAAAGCTCAAACCGGCTGCAAGAATAGAAATACGAATCCAAAGAATTTCTTAAAATACAGGAATATTGCAAAGAAGGGTCGCAAATCTATGGAGAGTTTGAATGAGATTAATGATAATTACGGTTTGGAGATTACGATAAAGGAGAAATCTGGACCTCTATCGCCGAATAGGAATAGCGATTTTTTTCCATCGAGATCCTCGTCTCCATGTCGGAATAAGTCATATGAATCCTATTTCTTAGCCCTAGAAGAGGTCAGAAATGGTGATGGTATTGTTGGCAGAGTGTCATTCGCACCTGCTAATAATAAAATTGGCAAAAATCTTGATAATCCCCACCGTTTGGGTCTAACCAAACAACAATTATCCTTAGTAGAAGAAGAATCAGCTCAAGATATTGATAGCATACCATCTCAGAACACTGATAACCTATCAATAAAAGAAACATATGACTGTAAGGAAATATCTAATATTGATATTAATTACGACAAAAACGACAAGAAAACTTTATTAGAAGATAATAAAGATTATAATAGTGCTCAGAATTATAACGCATTTTACGATGATATCCACTCAAATACGCCAGATTCATTCAACACTAGATTATCTAGTACAGGCATACATACAGATTCTTCAAAAGATTCTGGGTACCCAGAGAGTGTTAATAAGGAACATAAAACGCTGACTCAAAACTATTTACTAACACCTACGCCTAATTCATATGACTTTAACAGCAAAACAAATCCGACTAAGAATTCGGAATATTCCACAGAAAATGATAAAGCTTTTAAAACGAACAATAAATGGTCCGAACCATGGAATCACAGCAGATTACTCTACAAAGATTTCTTCTTAAAAAAGGAGACTCATGTTCCCGCCCCACAGAACACTCCTACAAAAAATGACGTTCAAATCCCTGGGACGAACGAAAATATAGAAGAAGACACAGATAAGTTGGAATATCCTACTTACCTTCTAAACAGTTCTACTAAAGCATACACCTCAAAAGTTATCGAAGATTACAGAAAAGAACTGGAGGCAATAAACACTTTGCATGAATTAACGGTCAAGGATATAAAAATAGACCCAATATCCCCTACACCTCTTAGTATAGACGAAATGTTTGAACAACATAGTAATCGTTTTAATGATGGTAAAACAGATTTGAGTGAAAACTCACAAGAAAGCACTAATAACAGCGACAGTACTGACAAAAACTCTCTGAATAACAAGAGAGATATATCCAAAGTGCCAACGAGAGAGCTAATACAAAATTACTTCAAAGTCAAAGGTGATTGTACAAAAGAGTTTCCGAGAAATGCAAAGAAATATGATAAGAAACTCAATAATATAAATCCGAAATACGAAGAAAACTCCAGTTATAAACAGTATTGGAACAACAGGAATGCAAAGAATAGTATAGAGAGGAGTAAAACTCCGGTTGATGTGAAGAGCCAGAACAAGGCAGTAACGGCCAGAGCGCCATCTAGCGCTAGAATCGAAAGTGTCCAAAACGACAAAGATATTGAATCATGGATGTCCCTATCTGCTCCCTCACCCAGATTACTAGAGACTGATAACGTCAAAGAAAATATCACAGAACTTCCAAAAACAGAAACAGTTATTAATAAAATCGAAGAAAATGAAGCCGAAACTCATAACCAAAGACCAAAAACACCAGAAGCTCCAAAACCAAAGGAGCTCGATTCCAAATCTACTATCGTCGACATTTACTCCATGTTGAAGGAAATTGAAAGTTTCGGTGACAACCCTGTAACGAATATCGACGAACCGAACGAACCGAAACCGAAACAAGAAGATAGATGTTCAACTCCCAAAGATAACTTCATGTAAGTATGATATAGATAAATAAATGTTAACAATACTGCATATGTAGTATAATAAACCTATTATCTTCTGAAATATGTGCATTTTATTCTAGGGAGATCTTTGAGTTTCTGGAAAAGGTAGAACAAAGTGCGAACGATGCTTTATCAGTTGTAACAAACACAACACCGCAAACTATACCAAAGTAAGTGGAATTTTAGCAACAAGACAAGATTATAACACTTTAAATTCAATAAGTAGATAAAATCATATGCTCTATTTTGATCCCAAATAACAGTAGTCCCATAAATTTCGTAAAAAATTATATAGTATTAAAAAAAATAAAAGTATCTACTATGTTTAGACTTGAAGCTCTTCTAAAGCTGCCACAAACAGAGTTAGCTCAGAGACTTGTAACGCTATCGTTACAACTAGAAGAACGATCTTGTTGTATTGCCTTACTTCAAGAAAGTCTCGCCAATCATAAGGAACAGGTTCGTTGGTAACTTTATTGAAACTCACTCATAAATATAAAGTCAAATTATACCAAAGCTAGTAATAAAACTTCAAATTCACTTATCTAAATCTCCTACATTTATATTGACTATTAGTTTTTGCCTACGACTTCATCCGCGTTAATTTCGAACTTAGTAATATATGTATAGCTGATTGGGCAAACTCTATTCTGCTATTTAGGCCGTCAATAATCAGATATTAGAGTTTATTAAGTTTTTTCTTATTCGATCGAACAGAATTAAATATCTTATGTCCGTCTTTTGATTCTAACTTCTAAGCTATCTCCCCGCCAATTTTCAACCATATCCCTACAGCTTTTCTTGAGTTATAAATAGTGTTACTAACACGACTTTCTTTTATAATATATAGATTTCGACATGAATTGTTGAACATAATTTGATTATCCCATCATGTACGCGGACATAAATTATTTCCTTCCAAATACAAAAATTCAAATTATGAACTACCTTCAAATAGCATATTCAAAGTGGATAAGGTCAATAACCTCTATCTCTTATACACCAGATGATCAACAAAGTTAGCAACCTCGAGAAACAATCACATCGGAACATAGCCAAGGTTAAACAAGAATGTGAAGAAACTATCAAGAGACATCAGAATTTCATTGATCAGGTATAATTAATTTTTTTGCCTTTCATTTATAAGTATTGTATTGTGTATTAACACAGAATGTAAGGTTGCATTATCGACACCGTTATGTACTTGAGCTGAGAGCTTTTTGCTACGGGTCAAGCATACGTGGCCTTAAGTAGAGTAAAAACATTAGAACGTCTCCTTATTGAAGAGACATTCACTGGAATATTTTAAGTCAAACGGTACATGACCTTGCAACAATAATGCATTATATGAGATGAACGGACTTAGAAAAAAAAATAATTTAAGAGCAAAAAAGGTTTTTGAAAAAAGTTTTTATTTAAATGTTCTAAAAAGAAAATAAATCCTATAAAAAATTAACCATAATTTATCACCAATTACCAATTAAATTTAAACTCGTTTATTAATTTGACGAAAAAAACGTATTCTTATAAATCATTGGATATCGCATTTCATTTCAATATTATATAATAATTGTAACCAGATATAAATTATATATAGTTAATAAACGACAAGAAGACTCTGAACCATCGTATTGAGCAGTTAGTTGATGAACGACGCACTCTTGAAGAAAGATGGAAGAGATCCGCTCAGACGTTGGAAGAACGATACAAGCTTGAACTAAGAAACCAACACGACAAAATGGCCGCCGCTCAACAAGTATTGAAACATTTATATTTTTTTCTTGTCATAAATCAGATAATAATATATATTAAGCATTATTTTTCGCGATTAATCAGATAAAAATGTATATAAGTGATATTTAAAACCAGTTTTATTGTATATAATAAATATTGGTTACTTATATTGCATTTTGTAAATATATTTACTTGTACAATTATGGTTTTTAACAAAATTCGATATCTCCCGTATGGTCTAGTGGCTAGGATACCTGGCTTTCACCCAGGAGGCTCGGGTTCGATTCCCGGTACGGGAAATATTTTTGTTTTTTTTTTTTGTATCGTATATTTACTGAAATCGCATTTTAACTTGTTTTTAGTCAAATATCAGTGCTATTTTTTAATACTAATTATTTTCTTAGGTCGCACGGCAGCGGTGGGTGCGTCAAAAAGCTGAGAAAATTAAGGTATTTATTTTTCTGCATAGTGAAATATTTAGCACAAATATCTTTCCAAGTAAATAAATACTCAATATTACAGGAGCTAACAGTAAAAGGACTGGAAGGAGAATTACGAGAGATGGCAGAAAGACAGCAGAAAGAGATATCTGATCTGAAAATGTTTCACGCGGAACAATGTGGACGAATGAGTGCTAAACACGCAAACGACTTAGAGGAACTTAGGAGGAGTTTGGAGGAGGAAAAGGAGAGTGCGTTGATAAAAGAGAGGCAGTTGGCTAGTTCTAGGTAAGTTCTAGATTGTACTAATAGGCCAGGTCCTTAGAAATGAATTTAAAATGTTTTATGAGGCGCCTGCAGAAAAATAATTTAACTTAGATGTGCATAATTGCTTTATTAAATCAAAAGGCTGAAATTATAGAATGACAAAAATGTTAGTGCCTTATACTTTTGGTAAGTAATAATATTTTCGACTCTCAGAATCATGTCAAATATAAAGGAATTCACGGTTCAGGAACTATTTTCTTTATTTAATTTTAGGCTAGAGCGTCAGTTGCTTGAATTGGAGCTGTCCCAACAGGAACAGCGAGCTCGGCTGGCGGATGAACTGCGAGCGGAGGGAGAGAGACTTGAGGGAGAGAGGGCGGCCAGGGAGAGGGAGCAGAGAGAACAGATGGGTGAGAGAGATTAGTAGGAGATGTGTGAGAGTGAGCTTATAGGATGTGGAAGGGGGATGATTATGTAACAAAAAAAGCAATTATATTAAATAGGCCAAAAATAAATAGTCTCAACTAAAATACTTTTCGGACGATTAAAATGCCTTTTTTGTTGGAACGCCTATTTTGTGACTATAACATTAATGTTATCACCTTATTTTAAGTGTGAAAAATGGAGTGGAACCTTGTTATAAATGTTGTATTGACCCTATCAGACCAGGGCTGATGTCTTCAAAAACGTTAAAAAGTAAAAAAATAACAGTAGAATTAAACTCGTTAGAAAAGGACAAGATTGTGATAAAACTGAAAGGAAATATAAATTACGAGTTTGGGAAATGGGAGGAGGTGAATTTTTAAGGGTATGAAATGTTTCATCTCGATTTCCGACAAAGTCCTATGAAAAATAGAAATGGCAAAGTTGTTGCTAATAAAAAGTTCCCAACTTTTATACTCACAATTTTTTTTCATAATATAAATTTTTTTTTTAAAAATTCAAATAACCAAGGTTTGTTTTATATATGTAAGAGATCTCCTAAATACACCGTGACTTGTTTGTTTTAAAAGATTAATTTTTTTCGCCTTATTTAATTTAATATCAAAAAAGCATCAGCTTTTTCCAAAAAGTCGATGGGGTTTTTGTTCGTTGAATTAACTACTTTCTGGTTTAAAAAATACATAAACGTTACTTATTCTCAAAAAATGCAATACAGTCTGATCATTATATCGGCTTTGCAACTTCGATGAAGAAAAATTTCTCTCAAACTCTTATTTTTTTTATATTTAATATGGATTTATTTCTTACTGGACACTACCTATACATATATGTACCTAAAATTAGTACTATGTCTGCTTTGATCGTGTCTATAATATATAAACTCACAATTTTCAGCCAAATGGAAAGAGGAGCAAGAGAAATTGCTAGATGAGAAAAAACAACAGATAGAAAAAGATATAGCAAAGGAAAGAGAAAAATTTGAGGTAAATAAATCTATTGTTATATTAACGAAAATTAAACCAAAATATTTATTAGTATTTCATTAAAAGCTTCATATTACATAGTTATAATTTTTTATTTAATTACCTAAAGTCAAGCTTGGTACTTTTCATGTTTCAATATAAGGAAAAATACTGTATACTTCACTGAAAACTAGTTTACGTGTAAATTGATAATAGTAGACCCACAGACACGCAGACAGACACATAAAACCGAGTAGAAAGACATACACTGTATAAAAACACACATACACTCGAACATCAACTCACACACACCCACACACACACACACATAAACCCGAGTATACTCACTTATGTATACAATTGTGTCACATATTTACATAATACATACAAAAATTACATAATACATATTATCTTTCAGGAAGAATTAAAGAAGAAACGTCTAGAACTTGAAGAAGAGTTCAATCAATATAAGAAAGAGTACGAAGCGGATCAGCAGGTGCTGTTAATGAAGAAAGTGACAGAGATAGCGACACAGCATAAGTTAGAGCGAGACAGAGAGATAGAGAGAGCTATAGAGAGTATGGAGAGTGAGGCTCAGGCTGGACGGAGAGAACTACAAGAGGCATTGAGGTTATAGATCTATAAACTATATTAATCTCTACTAATATTATAAATACGAAAGTAACTCTGTCTGTCTGTCTGTTACGCTTTCACGCCTAAACCACTGAACTGATTTTAATGAAATTTGGTACAGAGATAGAGTTGACCTTGACAAAGAACATGGGATAGTTTTTATCCTAGACTTTTGAAATGTTCTCTTGGAAACGCGATATAACCGAACTCCACGTGGTCGAAGCTGCGGGCGGAAAGCTAGTATTTAATATATAGATAATAGATTTAATATATTATAATAATTTATTTGAATCATGATTGATGAGATAAATTCCTTATTAAATTTCTTATTAAACTACATACACATAGTATTTGTTATTAGATATTATATATATAAAAAACTTGAATTCATAATTGAATTAAAGAATGTAAAAAAGTAACTAATATAAGCAATTAGTCGTATAAAATATGTTGATATAAACAAGCAAATGATTATTCAAAAGTTTTTGAATTTTACACCTTCAAATATTAAAGCTCTATTTTTTCTCCATAGTAGATATCTTTATAAAAAAACTTTAAACCAAAATTAATATTCGCAGACGAAATAAAGAACAATACGAAATCGAATTGAAGGAGTTGGCTGAAACGGAACAAGCGACACTCAAGAGATATCAAGACGCGCAAGCTCGGATTAGAAGCACAGAGGATAAATGTGAGATGTTAAAAATTTTACACAGATAATATAATATAAATAATGTTGACATATGGCATTTACCACACATAGTATAAATTACATTGACATATGTCACAATAATATAGCGATGTTGACAGAACTTGTCATAATGACATATGAGCGAGTTTGTGTCAATCCAGATTAAAAATGAATTAGATTGACACACAAATATCATAGTCTAAATTAAACTTGTTTTCTAATTAGCAGGATCAAGTTTAAGACGTTAGTTTAGTATTCTTTATTTAAACTCTTTGTTGTTAAGTAAGAAAACTAAATAGCGTACATAAACTAAGTATTATTTTTTTTATATAAAAATATTTTCATATGATTTGATTTGTTTTTATTAAGGATAAAATCGGTTAATTTCAGTCACGGCTTCCAACCAATATCAAGTTATTCTGACAAAGTTCCCACTAATCATTTAATAAATGTACTATATATGAAATGACAATTTCTCTATTTTATATATTGTTTTATCATTCCCAGGTGCGGAATTAGAAGTTGCTATCAGTCAGATTGAGTCACGGAATAGAATTTTAACAGAGGTGAGAATATCATTACAATTAATAAACATTTATATGACTAAATTGATCTTCAAAAATCTTAAATGTATATCATGAAGGTAGGGCTGAAAGTATTAGAAATTAGTAGTGACTATAATGCTAAATAGTAGTGTTCTATACTTAAAATGCACTCAATTATTTCTTGAAAGTGAAAATTCTAATGTAACAACAGTTAAAAATATCAAATTAAATAATAATAATAACTATAATTCATTAAATTAAATTTTGTAATGGCAACCCTAAGTTTATTAAAACAAAATGATATTAAGTAATATTTAACTTTTACTCTATAGAAAAACTCCCAGCTAGAATCCAGAGCGGACGAGGTTAGAATGAGTTGTGAGGAATCTTGGAGAAACAAAGTGGAGAATTTACAGAAAGATATAGAGAATATGAAGAAGACTCATGAGGAACAGATGCATCAGCTTTATGCTAAGTCGGTTAAATATATATAATATATTGTAATATATATAATAAATGTAAAATGTTAAATGGATTGAAAACTATTTAAGAGATAAATATTTATTGATTTCTGAACGTTTTGTGTATATAATGTGACATATATACAAACGTTTAGGAATATGGATTAATTTATTTACTTTAATGACGAATAATATTGTATTGTATGTATGATATTTTACTTCGAAATTATTTAGTTTATTTGTTTTTTTTATGTCAGTTTATAAGTTTAAATGTTGGTATTAAAAATATCTTTAAATAAATTTAAATATATTTTTAGGGTGAAAGTAGCTGTGGCGCGAAAAGACTCAGCCATACAAGCGCTAACAAGAGAAACGGCGAAATATCAAGAGAAAATAACGATATTAGAACAAAAACTACAACAGCAGAGGAAAGATTTTCTAAAATCGAAATAATACATATTTATAATAAATTATTTCACTACACTTAGCAGAAGTATGATTCTACATAAATAGTGATAGTATAAAATTATTTTATTTCTTTTATCACTCACTCAAACTTGAAAAGAATACATATATAAAATCTTCATAGATACCAAACTTGCACAAAATATTCTGCCAATGTAATATAGATAAAATACAAAGGAGGTTGATTGCTATTTATGTAATTATTTATGACAGTAATAACGTTATGTAATTTAAATGTTTTTGTAAAACCTAGTCATTTATTTATTTATTTGTGTTTTGTGATTGATGATTGAGCATATGAATTGGTGTGAATTATTATGTATATAATAAATTTGGAATAAAGTTTGAATAAGAGTTTTTTTTTAACTTTAACCTTGAACCTTAACCTTAACCTTGAGATAAACAAATACTTTTTTACATTGTTACCCAAAAACATGTTTTTTTTAATTAAGGTATAATTTTCTTATACTTTATAAAATAAAACAGATCAAAGTTTCTTATTTACACTCAATAGAATATTGGTGAGTAAAACAAAAAAAAGTTCACAAATATTATGTAAATATCATTTTCATATAAAGTACGAATAAAAAAAGGTACAAATGAAATGACGTTTATATAAAAACTCAAAATAGTTTTTAATAATCTGTATAAAACAGTATACCACTCAGGTAAATACTTAAAGCTTTCATCTTTGTCACGTTCTTAAAATAAAAATAATTGTACTTCAAAGTACGAATCGATAACATTCTTTTATAACTATCGTTATAAAAAATCCGTTTAAAAATTCAACCAAATAAATATTTTGGAAGACTTAACAATCACCAGGGTCGCCACATTTCTGAACTGGTACCTTGTTTTGGTGATTTAGCACTGTCTTTATTTTCAGTCTTAATATTTTGTAGACTCGACTGTGCTAATGACGCCGCTGTATGACTTATGACTGTTCTAGGCATATTGGATTTCATATCTAAAGGTTTTTCTTTAACTATTGGTATACCTTCAGGTACAATTAACTTTCTTTCAGGGATCATCTTATCTGGTAACCGAACAAATGCTGACTTTTCAGTTTTAATTTCAGGCGCTTGTAATCTATCTAGGAACTGCTCATTCCTATCTGCGTCAAGTTTGATCAGCTTTGGCATCGGTCCTTTGGCATCTGAATGTCGTTTTAGCTTGTTGCGTATCGAATAATCGACTGCTCTCTTTGGTGAAGCATCGATACCTATTCTGTAATTCTCTACATCGATAACAATTGATAGTGGTTCCATCACTGTTTTGTTTCTTAATACATCTTGTTTTAGAGTGTCTGGTGATATAGTTGTTGATGATACTGTAGGCTTTTGTTCTGGACTAGAATCTTGATCAGATGCGGAATGACTTGGAGGTGTTGGGAAAGGGTATTTCTGTACCGGTCGTGGCGGAGTTTCGAGTTCAGTTGAAGAATCACACGCGGAATCACACGATAAGGGACTTAATGGCGGGCTGGTCGGTTTCGTCGATCTAACATAATGGAATGCACTGGGCCTTTCGTCGTCTAATCTCAAAGGATCCGGTATTAGTGGAGGGTAATCGGTTGAGTGTAATCGTTCTATCCCTGATAGGCATGTATTGAGGTGATTTCCGAGTCTGTAGCGTAGACCAGTTGGTACACTCGCGAGTCTGGAGAGGTATCTTCTTACTTCCCCGGCGCAGTCTCCGAAGCCGGCTTTAAAGCGGTGTAAGACAGCCGGGTCCGCGGCAATAGCAGCAGCTAATTGCTGACGCTGAAGAGTTTGAAGGTGTTTGACGGTCAGCTCGAGGATGTCCGCCTTCTCAAGTTTAGAGTGACGAGCCGGCTGTGGATATATGGACATTATTAATTAGATTATATAATGATTAAATTATTTTGACGCAATATATCAAATATTTAAAAACATTTTTCGAACCATAAAAAAGAAAATATTTGATGGGTATGGAAAAAAATATTTTTTCGATGTATTTTGAAATGTTTTAAATAATTAATTCCAACATAATTAATTTTATTTATATTGAAAAAGATCTTTTTTTTAAATATTATAATAGATATTGTTGATACTCACGTCCTTATCCATAGCATCCATCAATAGATCCTTTAATTCGTTGAGACAGTTATTAATGCGCGCGCGCCTCTTCTTTTCCATTATAGGCTTGTTCGTCTGGAAATACAGAAAACATTTTTATAAATAACACTTATCAAACACCTATTATTAAATTCGCCATTTTACTCAATTTCACGTAAACACAACATTATTAAAACACACACTGAAACACTAAATCACCTTTCGTAATTCAGCCTTAGATAGAACTTGGGTAGGTTCTGAATTGAACCCGCTTTGGGAGTCATCATCCTCACTGCACTGCATTTCTCCTATATGTTCACCGTACGACGGTCCGCAATCAACTGACGTCCTACGAAATAGGGCATTATTTAAATTTGTCCCGTCAGTGCCATTCATCCTGTTTTAAAGACGAACTCACAATATATATCTGTCTCTCTCTTACTACAGTCATCATCCCGTGGGAACTGTATCGGAATGTTTTGTTTTCGTTCTGTCTCGCTCTAAGAGGGAACCTGCCGTGAATGGTGCTGTGTGGTCGTTGGTTAAAATTGTATTTAGTGTGACGTTCGATTCCGATTGATATTATTATGAAGGTATTTTTTTTATTTGTGATATTTTATTTATGTTCATTTATTTAGATTTTTTCAAAAACTGAACATTTAATTATTTTACAAAATAATGAAACTACATATATACAAAATTAAGACAAAACATACATACAAATAAGAATATTGGTATTATTTTATTAATAAATGTATCAATAAAAAGAATTCGATGAAGCTACAAAATTTCGCTCTCATTCAAATCTCTATGGGAATACATAACCATACACACGCCCATCATGTACCACAATTCGCTCCATAAAAATCGAAAAAAACAAATCGCAAGCTTACTGAACTCACGCCTTTCAATGAAGTACCGTTTAAATTTCTTTCACTGCCTTCAATGATAAACGCCGTACTTGATGGGGCAGCGTAGCGTAAAAGGTGAGTATGGTTTTTATAGTATATGGGTTCTTTATGGGGTGTCGCGGTGTTCTCACGCTGTGTGGGAATGTTGAAAGGTGCAAGGGTTCAGTTTCGGACGGCATGTTTGTTTGTCATGCAATAAAAAGATACTGTAATGTTTTAATTTCAGTAATATACCAATATTAATTAATATATTTTATTATCGTATATATAATTTCAATTTTAATATCATAATAGTTAATTAATTATATTTTGTGTATACAAATATTAAGTTGTTAGTCTTCATAAACCAATCTGTCAACTGTCAGAATAGCTGTCAAATAACTAATGACGTTTATCTTATATAAAAAAATATTATAATTTTATGCATGGGAACTAACAAAATATTATAAACAAATAATAATTAATTCCTAACTAATGTAAATTAACCGATTTATATCCTGTTATGTAATGAGCCTGCATTCATTAAGTCGCTGACCGGACCAGGTGTTCCGACCTTCATACATACCGATGTACTGAAATATTAATATTCTATTAAATAATCTCTCCCACGGTCCCGCTTGAGCAATACAAACATAAACATTCATTAAATATTTATTGACGTTGAAAATTGTACCTTATTTCTATTGATATAAAGTTTATCAAATACTGAATAAGGGTAAACTTAAATTTGTATTTCGTCAAAAAACAAATTTAGATTTAACCTCACACGGAAGTTATAGAACCTTAATACGTTCTCTTAAAGTTGAATTTTGGATGAAAAAATAAATTACTTAAATTATAACATTGTCAAATATTGCATGAAGGGCTACCAAGTTGTGACAAAGCCAGCAAAATTATATAGGACTTTATTACCATATAATTACAATTGAAAATTGTATATTCTAAAATTTTAGATGGAATAAACATTTTTGCTGTTCGAGGCATCGAAATGTGACGGAATTGCATGCAGCTAGATTCGTGATGAGCTAACGAAAGTGAATAGCCGATGTCATTCGTTAGGGCGAGCTGTGGGAACGATCCGTTAGCTTGTAATACAAGCTGGGTTTAATAAGCTGTTAACTATTAACGAGCTTTGACATGCAAACTGCGAACCGTTATAATATAGTATAATGAACTCTTGCTTGACCCATCTGACCCATTATGAAATATAAATTCTCAATTGAAATTACTCGTCGTGCTATAATAATATTTACAAAATTAATGAGCTCTATTTTAAACTATCACCAATTAATTATTTAGTTCTGAAACAAGAAAATTAAATGTAGATAATAAAAGTCGTATTTCATGGCAGCCACAACTTTTAATCACCGTATTTTATTAAAAAATATAATTTATGCTGAATGTTATCAATGTAAATACTCCAAAGGAAATTAAAAACTGTAAAATGCATCAAGATGGCCGCAAGAAACAAATTGACGCGACGCGCTCCCTAACTGAAATGGAATTACAAAGATTACGCAACAGATCACAAAATGAAAACGCAAGTGATGTAAAAAAACAATCCTCATAGGTCGTGTGAACCGGACTTGTAACGGTCCTTCCTTCCGCCCTTCAAGAAGTAGGTTGGCTGTACGCTATGCATTACATAGATAATATAATAATTATTGATTAACCATAGACTAAACAAAAAATAAATAATGACAGACAGATATTTGTCATGTCATAGATTAAAAAAAATAAATCAATATACTTTGTTATTGTTTTATATAATATTTTAATGTAATTATGTATTTTAATTAAATCAAAGTTTTTAACAAAAGTAAAGGTAAGTCAATTAAGTTTTTTTACATGTCATAGCTAGTGTTTTGATAAAAATTGGTTACCCTATAGATATTATAAAGGATTCTGGTCGACCCTACAAAGGAAACTCATTTATCGAGGGTCAGTAAAATATTTGCCGACGGATTAACTTTTTTATGTTTATTTCGTAGAGAGGAAGTCGTTTAGTTACTTTTAATCTGTTTACTGACAATTTAAGACAACTTTAATAATTTATGATATTGATATTATATGTACGAAAATAACTTGTTTGTTAAAAAATCTTGTTGATGGTTTTTGAAATACAGATTATTAATGCATTATAATATTGTAGAATAATGCAGTTATGCCAAAATCGAAATGTCAAACTTTTTATACTTTACCATATCTATTTTAATATATATTGCATATACATTGAATCGAGACTACGTAATCTTGACCTATTTACGTTCAAAAGTCCCCACTTATGTAGTTACAATAATATTATTGGTAAATATTTATCCATCAATCATAGAACAATACAGGTTTTTACATCTCAAACCCGGAAATCGTACCCCGGATGGGTTTTTTTCGTGGTTCTCTTAATAAAAACGAGTTGATATTCAATGGGAGCTAGTTTTTTTGTGCACCTGTGTCTATGGGAATTCTTATGGGAATAACAAAAAAAATGTTACAGATTTTTTTGTGATCATTTCTCGTTTCCTTACGCTTTTATAATTGCCCTTACCAAATTCTACAAAGCTAAGGAATTGAAAATGCATTTACAAACACATTGAAATAAATATATGTAATTTTAGTTAATTTATAATAATTATTTATTTATATTAAGACAAGTATTATAACGCTTTTATGGCGGTATCAATTCAAAAGCTGGTTCTAGAAAAATTTCAACTCAATAGGAAGACTGGAGACTACATATACAATGCTGCATAATTGGAAAATACAAATAAGATTATTGTAACGAATTTAGTACGTAACTGTTTTCATTGTCTTTTGAAAAATTTCTGCAAGAATTGGATTATTTCAACTAGTCCTTTCCTAGGGGCTAGGCTACTTTTTTAAAATCACTAATTAATGAATATAATTAAGAGGAAACTTCCTTGAAATTCCCTTGAAAGGAGGACAAGGTTCTACATATTAGGAATAAGGATACTTTAGAAGTAAGGCCCGCATACATAACGAACTTAAACGTATTGTATTTTATGAAACTTATATTTGGAGTAGTAAAAAATTAAAGAAATGTTTAATGTCTAAATTAATATCAGCCTTTTGATTATAGTGGCCGTGTTTATGGGAAGCTGGAGTGAGACCAAAATGTGAAATAAATAACGTCAGTTACATCTAGAAAAACAAGATTATTTGACACTACTCCTTAGAAACTAAGATGTCTTTAAGTTCCAGAAATGTAGGTTACTGAAACATTTTTTTTCTTAATCCTGTCTTGAGATCAGAGTAAAAGGACGTAATTATATTTACTACTATTTTTAGGTCGATATCTTATTACGGAAGTAATATATTTCGTATTTAATATACCTATTGACTTTTTCATAATTTTTATTGCGATTTTTGAAATGAAATTTATTTTAATTTAGATCGTAGTTATAACGCTAACATCAAGTACGATTTAAAACTTTAAATGCCGTCACTTTAAAGAGAATAGCTACTTACTATAAATATTTTTTTTTTATTAAAACTGAAGTACTGTAGAAATTTTTAAGATTTGAAATGATTCTATGTCATTTTATTCATTTAAATTTTTATTACTATTACTACTTAATAATTTTTATTACATTTTCCTTTTTTTTTTTATGTCAAAGGTGGCAAACGAGCAGACGGCCCACTTGATGGAAGGTTGTTACCGTCGCCCATGGACATCCGCAACAGAGATGTTGCGGATGCGTTGCCAACCTTGTTTGATTGGGATAGGGAGGGGTGGGAATAAGGATATTGTAGGAAAGGGTGGGAATAGGGAAAGGGCAACCGGCTCTCTCACTCATCAGACGAAACGCAGCCATTAAAGGCTACTTCACGCCGATCTTCTGTGAGAGGGTGGTACTTCCCCGGTCGAGCCAGCCCGTGTTCGAGCTGTAGTAACTAACCACAGCTAGGCTCTACCACCTAAAAATATGTTAGCGTTTATCCGATCTTATCAAGATAAATTGCAATCAAATAATGCAAAAAATAATCATAAATCATTATAATTTTATTAATTAAAACGTTATATTTATATAAAAAAATTACAGTTGATTTAAGATTTTTTTTTAAATGGCAACTCCCGTTCGATGACACATTGTATCACTCGCCGTCAGTTCCCACGCTCCTGTACTGTAACAGGTGCTAGATTGATATCTGTTCAAGCGAAATTGGACTTTATTGCCTTGAATTAAGTATATAGTGTTGTTAAATAGAATAATGAAGTCAATAGGGTACAGTCGAACTAATTTATTGCGAATTCATAAACTGTTACAGTACTTAGTTAAAGTTGAATTTTATTCTTGACATGAATATAATAATAAACTAAATATCAATTAATTATAATTTTCTCGTTACATGAATTATTTTTATTCACCAAACTACTCGCTGCTAGTTATATATTTTTTTTTTCAAGACGTGGCTTCAATTTTTTTTTGGGAATGCTCTTTTAAAGGCATGTAAGAATTTAAAAGAAAATCAATCATGTGAGTCCACTGCTAATCCGATCTAAACTGACCTCAAAATAAGAATTTGTGGGAAATATACAGTGATCCATTTCTCAGTTACCTATTCCTTTTGTTACACTACACCTTTACTGCCTTTTGTACCAAGTTGCGGACCCTTTTGTAAAGGATATGAATTTCTTTGTGTGTATGTTATTTCATTGATGCAAATTATACTTTAACGTTGCCGAATTGTAGTTTTGATGGGAGAATTTTTATAGAATTGTTTTGATTGCGATTTTAAGGTAAAGCTATCGACAAGTTTCGAATTTGAAGTTTGTTTTTTTTTAAACAAAGGTTTAACAAGCGTTTTTGAGCAGGAACATGGAAGTATAGTAAGCATTATTAACAGTCGACGTATGTATTGTAATAATTATCAAATTATTTGATCACACATATTTTTAAATTAACAGACTTATGGTGTTCTAATATCCAGACCTCAATAAATTAGCTTCTTCTTCTGAAGCTCAAAATAAAAAAAATGTATCAACTCTATCTCTTTACCAAATTTCATTAAAATCAGTTCAGTGGTTTAGGCGTGAAAGCGTAACAGACAGACAGACAGAGTTACTTTCGCATTTATAAAGTAGCCTTTGTGTTATTCCTATATACCTGTATTCCTGTATACAAAATTTTATCAAAATCGGTTCAGCCGTTTAGCGTGAAGAAGTAACAAACATACACACACACACTCACAAACTTTCGCAATTATAATATTAGTAGGATTTAGGTAGCCTAAGCAAAATAAAGCTTATATGCCAGGTCTTCGCGGAATCTACAAGGAATCGAAGAATAAATTGTAAGCTATCTATTGTTAAATTCTGATGTCAAAGCTACGAAGTTTCGTCAGAATTTGTAAGGTAATTTTTTGCTTTAGAGAGCAACATTCATTGATCTCACAAGTTTTCATATTGACAATATTGGAATATTATGAAATGAAAAAGAATAATCTTAATAAATAAATATATTAAATTTTTTGGTGTGAAAATCAGCATCAAAGTTTCATTCGAAATTTTAACATAACAAAAATCAACAAAAGTTTTCAGATGACTAGCTTACGCCGTTCAATATTTAATTCATTTTTAAGATTTCCTTAGTTTTCTAAAACGTGATCGAGACACGTCTGGAGTCCTTGAACTAATACTCACCAAATCCCACAAGGCCAAGGGGATCCTTTTAATTATAGATTTACGACATAAACTGCTTGTTCCCAAATTCAATGAAAATGTCATCAATGCGTAACTTTTAAGCTATGTAGAGGATAGTGGCGTAACTTATACCATCTGGGGCCAGTGGCAAATTTTTTATAATTCTATAATTATAAATAGTGTCCTTCACCAACCCATACTATATCACACTACTGGCCATAAGACCAATCAAATTCGGAGTGAAAACTACACATTCATCTTCTATTCGCCTTTCAGCTAAGGAACAATGTACAGAAATTAATTAAACAAAAATTTATTTTTTTGAGCTTTCTATTCCGTAAAACTGTCTATTTAACATCATCTAAGTTTAAAGATCGAGTCAAAAAATTTGCAATAGACAGAAGAACCATGTTACGTGACCTGTCTTGTCAAATGGAGTTTCTTAAATAGGTTTTTTAAATTTTAAGTCATAAAAATGATTGTTCAGCACATAAATTGTAATAAATACCTAACATTAATTCAGTGCTTTTTTAAATAATAATAAATCAGCAAGGTTTGTAATACACAAAAACTTTTCTATTTCGTATCTGAAAATGGGTCAAAAAATGAGTAGATGGATATGTCCTTGGCAAGTATTTCTTTTTTTTATATTTCTAATCGTAGTGATTATTTTGACAGATCAGTGTCTTCTAAAACTTTATTCTTGAAAGCTGCAAAACACTGAAATTTAAAATTATTTTATAGGAAGGAAACAAAGATTCAGTTGGTTAATAATGATTTTTAATACTCGATGAAATTTGTTCACTTTGAAGAAACTTTTCAGATTTTTCAAGTTCCTGTGACGTGTTTTAGAAGTTTCAGGGGCAATGAACTGGATTTATCAGCGGCAGCACCACGAAGAAAGGAATTTGTTGGTTAGCAAAATAAGGGAATTCCCCGATAATACTTTGTCGTGACAAAAAAAGTAGAAATCAATGGATGCGTTCTAAAATTAATCAGCATATTTTCGTTTAGAATCTGTTGAAATTCTTACGGTCAACTCAGAATTGTACTTTGGTCTTTAGAGTGCTAATCACCTTGGATTTTAGGCATACCTGACCCAAAAAATAAAACATACCTACTCAGGTACAATGTAAAAAAACCGAGAGTTAAAAAAGTAGAGATAGAATGAGAGGGAAATAGAAGCGTTGAGAGATTGTCATCACACAAATGTACGCATTAAATTTTATCGATGAATTTTCGTTACTTCGGCTTGTGAAAATTGTCCTATTATATATTTTTGTACATCCATAGATAATTTCTTAAAAAATAAAATTATATTTAGCCATGCTCGAGAATATTGAGGTGACTTTTTTTTAAACTTTGTCAGATTTGTGGCGCAAACACTCTATCATGTAATTAGGTCACAGTCCTTTAGTTTGACCAGCTGTAGATATTTTGATGGTCATTTTTTTACTAATTTGATTTTCTATTCTGGATGAGTTGGCAAGCTATGCGGCTTATAATTAGTTAATAGCTAATAATAATTAGTGAAGATTCTTGACCGGGTACAAGGTACCTTATATTAATATGCCGCGCTTTAGAAACACCAGAAATCTCCTCTTGGGTCACTAATATTGTGAAGGATCTTTTTTAAGGATTTTTAAACGAAATTTTTAAAGGAAAATCAACACAAGTATGTAATTTGTTAAATAAAAGAGACATACATCAATACGAAATAATTTTATTAACTAAATTGAACTATACAATGAAACATGCTGTTCATTATTCACAATGAAACAATGAGAATGTTAAAAATAGCACATGAAATATATTAAACATTAAATTTAAACAATTTTAAATGCTTCTTAAATGTTAAAAATTAAATTAATAATAATTTTTGGTCACACAAATTAATATTAGTCATAAACTAAGTTATGTTCTTAATTATTAACACTGGCACTGAAATATCACAGGATAAAAGACATGTTGATAATATTCATTACCAAATGAAAAAAATATCAAATACATATTAAAATATATTTAAAATGTATAAAACGGTAAATGCAGTACAAGAAATGCTCGAGTAGAACTAGGAAGACATTTTTATATTTTAATACAAAGTGAATTGCTTAAAAAATATATTATATTGAAAAATAATTATACATTGAAAGTTATGTATGACCAAAGTAAATGTTAATATATTTAGGGAATTAAAATATATAGGAAATATTAAGAATTAACAAAAAAAAGCTGCTAAATTGAAATTATATTATATAACAAATAAGACAGATTAAAAAAGAAAATGTTAATTATAAAACTTAGTCAGTTATATAAATTGATATCAGTTACTATATAATTAAGTCAAATTTACCACAAATTTTTATCTATATTAATACAACCATGAAACAATAAGGCACTAGCACTATGTATATGTATAGAAAATACTTAAAAAATTATCATAACCATACAGAATCATTGTAGAATCCACAAACTTCACTAATCTACAAACATTCATAACACATATGAGAATTATAATTTCTTTGACCATATCACTTCAAATCCGAACAATTTATGAATTCAATAAAGTTATTTACACAACACGACACGACTACATCGGTACTTCGGAGACGTATTCTATACTGAGGAATAGATCTAGTAGTTCGTGTGCGTGCATCCACCACCAGGGTGTAGGGTGACACCCTCGCGGCCTCCTCGTCACCCCGCACAGCACCCACACGGCGCACGCGAAGCAAACCACCGCGAACACTTGGAACAACCACTTCACGGAGTCGCTGAGAACACACTGACGGTCAGTATGTTAGGATATAGCGGTTAAGGAGGTGTTAGTTGTGTTATATGGAAGGGGGGGGGGGGACGTATTAAAAAAATCTCTATATATTTTAGTCGTTAGTATATGATACTATATTTATATACTATGTATCTATTATTCTATAGACTAGGTTAGTGCGAGTGATAAAAACGTCATTAGTCAAATTATACACATGTAGAAAATTAAATGTGGTTGAGTTGGCTCGTGTTAACGAAACAAGATAAATTATATAAATAAACTGACAGCAAACAAATTAAGATTCTGTAAAATATATTTCATATCATTTTTATTGATGGTTTAATATGTTTACTTTAATAGATTATAGTGAGAAACACTTTGTTTACATAGTTTATCTTGTTTCGTTGGCTCTATATTCTAAGTATCAAACTCACCACAAATACCGCCGCAAACCACGATGCGGTTGTCGGCGAACGCACTCAGAGTGTGGCAGCTCTGTCTGTGTTGACACCGACGTGTAGTCTGAAAGATATATTTATATAAATACACAATAATATATTAATATTAATGCAGTAATATAATATGAATTAGCTTAAATACCTAGTGAGTAAACCAATATTTCAAGTATAGCCGCTGAAAGAATTCACATTTGACAAAACTATAGCAATAATTATTTATATAAAAGAGATGTTTTTCGTTAAGGAAACGCAAAAACTCAATCATAGAATAAAAATAGACCACTACAGCCTTTTGTTTGTAATTTTTAAAGTAGTTTTATAAAGACATTCAATTAATTACGTAATCTTTGATTGAGATCTTTCTATTGAAAAAAACAATTTACACAGTCGTATCAAGTCATTTTGGAAAATTTCTGTGTGAAAGGACACTTATATTAGACAAAATTCTAACATTTGTGAGTTCCTCCCAAGATTAATATAAACTATATGTCAATAGTCACAGTACAAAATGATATTGTTTAATCCAACTCATTTTAGGAATGTGTAAATTTTTTTGTCATCTATCATCATTTTAAAATGATTTGCAATATATATAAATCATTGCAGCTATTTAAATACATATTTATATAATAAATATCAATGTGAATTCTTTCAGACGCTTCTTACCTCTATGTCATACAGAACAATCTAATCACACATATACAGTACATGTTATTTCACTAATAAGACTATATGTTATTCTATATTACTACACATAATACACTATTCTACAACGCTTACAGTAGAACCACTATATACTATAATATATATACATATATGTCAATAAATATCTACAAATCTATCCAACGTACTAATAAATTACCACAATCCGTCTGTGCTTCAGTCGAGCACAATTCACAATATTCTTCAATCTTTATATCATTCTCTGTGCACTTATTTTCCAAGTCCAAGAGCCTAGCTCTTAGACTATCAACAGCCGATTTCAGTATAACGTTCCTTGCGTTTCCTTCGTCGACAAATCTTTTCAATAAATCCAAATTCTCCTCATACAAATCCAAGTCCCTCTTAATCTCTTCAACGATGACATCAGATTTTTTGATTTCTATTTCCAATCTGTTCGCATATTTACTTAGTCTATCGCATTCCATACATTTAGTGCATTCGATGCAATTTTGAACATTATTATTATTGTGATAAGATTCAAATTCGTCGTTAGTTTGTATACCTATATTCATGACTTCAACATCTCTGAACACTTCGTACACTTGTGATGATGTGTTTGTCGCTTTATTTGTAGTATTTATTAAGCTTTTATTATCATTGAGAATAGTTTGTGTTGAAATAGATACTAGATTGTATGAAATAATGTCTTTCCGATCATAATCGAAAGAATCATTTAACGTCTGTGTTGCTACATTCAAATTTGTTGAGGGATATTTTTTACAATAACAATTAACAACAACTTCTGTCTGTGTCCCAACAGGTATATTAGTGTTGCCAGTTTCTGAACGTCTATCGATATTGACTGAATTATTGTTATCTCTAAAACCATATCTGGATAAGTTACAGAAACTATGTCTTAATTCGTCAAACAGAGACACATTCGTCGGTCGTCCGTGATCTTCGTTCAGAAACCATTCTTCGTCTAACTGGATGCTCTCTAAGCGGCAAAGCGGTTAAACATAAATTAAAAGCAAATAGCTATTTATATTGTTAATTAACGTTCGGAAATAATTATTCAATGAAAAGTAGTATTATTGTTATTTTTTATACTCTGTATACATAAAAGATAAAATTAAAATAAATTACAGATTTATTGAAGTATGTTATAACTTATAACAAATGGTTGTAATTTTTATGTCTTGCATATTATTAAGAATAATATTCTAGAAAAAGATCAAAACACACATCCTACTAATATTATAATTGCGAAAGTCTGTGAGTGTGTGTGTATGTTTGTTACTTCTTCACGCTCAAACGGCTGAATCGATTTTGATAAAATTTTGTATACAGGAAGCAGACGTCCAGGAATAACATATAGGCTACTTTACATCCCGGAAATCCCGAAAATCCGCGGGTAAATAGTATATATATATAAAATATTAATATTATATACCTTGTGCGAACTTTGAGTCAGCATTGAGACTGTCCAAGGCTGTCAGCATCTGGTCTTCCGTGTAGCTGATGTCTATAGATCTCTCCATACGAAGATGTGTGTTTGACTTGTTCAGCATATCTTTCAATTCCATCTCGAGAATTACCTAATATATATGTAAAGTTAATATAACATAATTATATATACAAGTATATATAATGTAATAAGATAATTATTATTTATTGAGTAAGAGAAAATATATAAAAATTTTGATATCAAACTTTTTGTACAGTATGTATAACAATTCTTTTATTCCTTTTTATTTATGCGCTACATATTTAAAATTAAATGAACATCGCCGCGGCAACGTTGTATGGATAAAATATCATATAACGAGTGATTCTGCCTACTCCGTGGTACACCAAACCGTGTGAACCAGAAGATTCCTGATACCACACAAGCTATGAAATGGTATTGCTATCGTAACATTAACAATCATGTAGTCTTAGGTGTAGGTTATAAGTTTTAATATGTAATTCTTATTATAATACTAGCTTTCCGCGACAGCTTCGCCCGCGTGGAGTTCGGTAATATCGCGTTTCCAAGAGAACCTTTCAAAAGTCTGGGATAAAAACTATCCTATGTTCTTTCTCAAGGTCAACTCTATCCCTGTACTCAATTTCATTAAAATCAGTTCAGTGGTTTAGGCGTAAAAGCGTAACAAACAGACAGAGTTACTTTCGCATTTATAATACTAGAAGGGATAAGTAAGTTAAGTAGTTTAGTATTTTTTTTATTCTCTTATTAATAATATTCTCAAATAAGTGACTATGTATTGTCTTGTTTAAAATAAAGATCTTTAAACCTTAGTAGTTTTCTTGGAAGCTCCGGTTGCCACCCTATATAAGTTTTTAATACAATTCTATACAAAATACTTTCTATTCTATCTAATACCCACCTTTTCTCTAATCATCTGTTGTAAGTCTCTATCCAGGTCTGCAGCCCTAGCCGCTAGTTCGGCCCTTTCGCTCCGTAGATTCTCGTTTTGCTCCAACAGAGCCTTGTGTCTCGCTGCGTACATCTCGTTTATGTGGTGACAGTCACGCTTAGACTTGGCCAGCAGCTCTTGTAGTGATAGCTTCTGTGGATACACAGATAAACAATTCAGTAATAAAAGTCAGTGGTGGCCTAGTGGTTAAAAGGCCCGCCTCTCATGCATGAGGGCGCGGGTTCGATCCTGGTCCGGGCAAGTACCAATGTGATTTTTCCGAGTCATATGTACTTTCTAAGAGTATTTAGACATCACTGATTAATGCATTTCCAAAAGAGGGTTAATGTCAGCAGGCGGCCGGTCGTAAAAACAATTAGCCAAAACTATTCACAACATGTAAGGCAGACCCTGGCTAAAGCTGGGAAATTGCCAGGTAGAAGATAGAAGATCTTATATATTAAGTAGTTGTAATTGGTTGATATTGCTATATAATATGTAGATTGTAGATAGATCACTTTTATATAAGGCTCCATCATTCAATGTTACTACTTAGCACAATACACATATAACGCATTTAATTTGGTTTAGGATACTATAAAATAGAAGACATAATAGCAAATTCCTCACCCCTGTCAGTTGTAAGAACTGAAAATATCAATACATACTTGATCACAGGTTGGAATATAGCTTGTAAACTTTTATGTCAATAATCATACTAATATTATAATTGCGAAAGTTTGTGAGTGCGTGTGTATGTTTGTTACTTCTTCACGCTCAAACGGCTGATCCGATTTTGATAAAATTTTGTATACAGGAAGCTGACGTCCAGGAATAACACATAGGCTACTTTACATCCCGGAAATCCTGGAACTCCGCGGGTAACACCGCGGGGCGCAGCTAGTATTATCATAATTATATTAGCTATTTCTTATTTGAGACTTTCGCGAGTATTCATATAAATGAAACTAATATTATTCGGATTACTACGCGTATTTTATTATTTTTAAAGCTACATACTCCCGACGTTTCAGTTACTTTGCAGCAACCGTGATGACGGGCAGACGAGATGTGATGTGACCTTTGCTCAAAACTAGACGAAAGTTCGCGAGTATGTAGTTTTTATCAAAAATAAAGTCGCACAGTATATCTGAGAAATATTAGTTTCATTTAATTGAAAAAAACTAGCAGAAATCTTAGATCTCAAAATATTAGTATGAATTAATGGTCTAATATTAATCATATTATTATGATCGTATCTTGTACCTCAGTCTCCAACATAGCGACCTGGTCCGTAAGCACCCTGGTACGTCGTTTAGCTGATTCCAGTTGTCCTCGCGCCTCGGTCAGAGCTCGCTCGCTGTTAGTCAACTGTTCACAGACCTCCTCATAGTCGTGACGCACGTGGGACAACGATGAATTCTCTTCGCGTAACCTATTTACATATTATGTATATGTAATTAATATATATTATACTAGTTTTTGCAAGCGACTCCGTCCGTGTTAATTTTGGACTTAGTCATATATGTATAGCTGACCAGGCGAAGTCTATTCCGCTCTAGAGGCCTTAAATAATAATCGATATTGGATTTTTTTTTCTCCGTTTCGATCGAACGAACAAAACGAACATTGTGACACGAGAATTTTATATATCCTACTAATATTATATTTGCGAAAGTTTGTGAGTGTGTGTGTATGTTTGTTACTTCTTCACGCTCAAATGGCTGAACCGATTTTGATAAAATATTGTATACAGGAAGCTGACGTCTAGGAATAGCACATAGGCTACTTTACATCCCGAAAATCCGCGGGTATAGTCCGTTAGACTTAAGCTGAGCTTTGCATTTGTGTGAGTGTACAGGGATAGTGTAGGTGTGATGTCAAATATTTGAATGCTACGTTCTTTTCTAGTTTTAAACCGGTTTATTCTGCTTTTACTCCGCCCCGCATCTTCCTCATTTCATCCGTGTACACTCACATAGGTGCAAAGCTCAGCTTAAATCAAACGCACTATAACACCGCGGGGCGCAGCTAGTAAAATACGATCATGAAGGTACGTTACATATTAATATGTTCCCTGAGCGCGTGTGTTTCTGCCGCGGCCGCAGCCAACGCCTCTTCATGCAAGGCGTCACAGTCGTCCAGCTGTCGTCTCAACTGCTGCGTCACTTGGGCCTTCTCACGGAGCTCGCATTGCAGCTCTTCCAGGAGTTGGAAACCTGGAAACAGTTATCAAGATCTGCTATAGTAGGGACTATTAACTATCCATTCGTATGACAATTATAATATATTTTATGATTTATAAGGATTCTTCCAGGAGTTGGAAACCTGGAAAAAGATATCAAGGTCTGCTATACCAGGAACTCACAAATATACATTCGTATGAGAAGTTTTGATATATTTTTCGATTTATAGGAGAAAATTATGCTGTTTTTAATTTCAAAGTATTTTTAATCATTACGTTTTCAAATTATAAAAAGAGCATTAAGACAACAGTTGTGATAATATTCAAATATCACATTGTTATTAATATTCGTCTTTTTTTATGATTTGTTCATCTATACATAATACTTATTTTCAGCAAAGAAATAAATACTTTGATATTGGCATAATCATAAATTCAGTTAAACTAAATACGACGAAAACATAATACGTCCTGCATTAAGTAACATATGCTTACAACAATATACAATCATTTAACTAGAAATAAAATATCATTACCTCGTCTTCTAGAATTGGTGATTTTTGAAATAAAACTCCACAAATTACATAGAAATATAAAAATATATGAACCCATGGCCATTATAATTAGATCCATGTGAAATATGTAAGCAATATACATTTAAATGTCACGATTGTTGAACACATACTGAATTTTTGTCATTCTCAATTTGCATGTTAGCGATCACATTACAAATATTTACATTTATTACCAGAACACATTATTATGGTGCTAAAAAAAAATGTAAAATTTTTTCAAGTAATATCCTTAAATGTACAACCATCCGAAATTGTCAGTGTAAAACATTTAATATGTTTGCATATAACAATTTGCACAAATGATAAGATAGTTACATTTTGTACATCATTAATTGGTACAAGGAGTTATCATTATGGAATATTAATTGGAACTAATTGTATTTTAAATGTATATTGTTATTGGCTATGAGGAAATTGTAAAGTAAGTAGACCTAAATATATATACAAGCCATGTATATAGATACATATGTACATGTATATAGATACATATATAGAAGTAACTAGCTTTCCACCCGCAGCTTCGCCCACATGGAGTTCGGTTATATCGCGTTTACAAGAGAACCTTTCAAAAGTCTGGGATAAAAACTATCCTATGTTCTTTCTCAAGGTCAACTCTATCTCTGTACCAAATTTAATTAAAATCAGTTCAGTGGTTAAGGCGTGAAAGCGTAACAGACAGATAGACAGAGTTACTTTCGGATTTATAATATTAGTAGAGATATGGAAAAATGTCCATAAACAAAATTAAATTTAATATTACCAAAAGAACTAAAATTATCTCTGTAAAATCACTTTAGTGTCTTTTCTCAATCACTCTAATAATAATTTTATGCCTCTACGGCAGTGATTCCCAAAGTGGTCCAGGTGGACCCCCAGGGGTCCACGGGAGACTTGCTGGGGGTCTACGTAGGCGTGAACAAAAAATGGGGGTCCACGAAAATTTATCTGCTTTTGATAGTAAAGAGCAAAAATGTAAGCATAGTTTTTATAAGGGCCTACCTACATTGTTTTAAGTACCTAACTAAGCAGATAATATTTTAATAAGGCAAGCAACTGTTACTTGTCCAAACTTGCGTATTCGATATTACGTACAATTTCGTGTACAGACTTGCAAAGCGCTTTCCGCCCGACAATGCTTAATGCTTGTTCAGACATGAACTTGATCACCACTATAAATACTTGATGCCAAAGGCAAACACTCATTCATTTGTTTCCAAAATTTCTAAAATTTTATTTTACCTATCGGAATATAGAGACAGAACTCAGAAGTGACACAATTTTTATTTTTTGGCGAATTTAAGAATGTGGTAGAAATGTAGCAGCAGGGGGTCCACCGAAACCAATAAAATTTTGAAAGTGGTCCACGAGAAAAATAAGTTTGGGGACTACTGCTCTACGGTACCACTTAAAAAACCAGATCATTTTCAAAACTAGTATCTTTCAATAATATATTTGCCTTTTGAAAACTCAAGTGGCTTCCATACTACCTTCAATGGAACAGAAACTGAATACATTATATAATATCTTAACAACAAATTGATCTCTTTTCTAGTTACTCCACTCTCAACTTTCTTTAAAAATTCCTTTACAAATCAGCTAGTATGGTAAAATATTCTTACTTAGCCATATAACTATAGCCCTTATTATAATTTAAATATTCAAGATCTGTTATTTGTATCAAAAACAATAATATAATAAATAAATTACATGAAACAAATATGTTTTGATGATTTCACAAAAGAAAAATAATCCTATTAAATCTATTAAACACAAAATAATTTTATCAATTTAGAGATAATCCGTGTGTATGTTTACAATTAATTATATTCTTATAATAATCACAAGTAAAAATATAATAAATCTGTATACTGGCATATCTAAACACATATTTTCAATAAAGTTAAATTACTTGTGTACATAAGAGATGAGTAGTTTTCAAAACTTATCCAATAATATATAAAATATATTATATGATAAATTACACACACACACACACACATATGAAGTTGAATGAAGTTGAACACACACACATACGAGAAGTTGAATTTATTACATAATTATATAACATAATTATTACATAATTCAACTTCATCTATTTCATAGTAATTCTTTTAGTATATTATCAAATGTTCAATGTAATTACCACTTTATTAACATGCATATATTTGAGATAGCACATCTATGCCAGTTAATTGGAAAGGTCAATGACCTGTTACAATTGTGTTTAATTACCGAGTTATAGTATGTTAAGGGGCTCTTGTGAATGATTTAAATCAACTCACCATCCGAGGATATACCGGAATCCGAATCGTGTGGTAGTAGGCCAGTTTTTAAATTGAAACTGAAAGAAATATATATATGTATTTGTTACTACATAAAAGTATTATATTTATATATAGATGTACTTTGAATATCTTGAGATATTACTTCTGCTTATTAACTTAGAGTATATTCAAAGAAGATAATAGTTATTTAACATTTACCTTTTTTTTTTTTTTTTTTTAAATTTAAAGGTGGCAAACGAGCAGACGGCCCACTTGATGGAAGGTGGTTACCGTCGCCCATGGACATCCGCAACAAAGATGTTGCGGATGCGTTGCCAACCTTGTTTTATAGGGATAGGGAGGGGTGGGAATAAGGATATTGTAGGAAAGGGTGGGAATAGGGAAAGGGCAACCGGCTCTCTCACTCATCGGACGAAACGCAGCCATTAAAGGCTACTTCACGCCGATCTTCTGTGAGAGGGTGGTACTTCCCCGGTCGAGCCAGCCTGTGTTCGAGCTGTAGTAACTAACCACAGCTAGGCTCTACCACCTAAAATCTAAATTATCTAAAGTTTCTATCTGTATAATCAATATAATCATACCTTTCTTCTAAGTCGGCTTTAACTTTCTGGTTGTCACTATATTTGCTGAGTGTTGCAGCCAGTTCGGTTACGGTGATGTCAGGATTGGAATCGTCAGGATCGAGGAGGGATCTCAAGTAGCTATACTCATCCCTATTGTTATATGTTCAAACAATATTGTTATTTGTAGTATACAATTAACATGTTATTTGTGTTTAGTTCTGTATGAGTTTATAGGGTTTATATCTCTTTTTCATAATAATTTTAGAATTTTTTTAAACATTTTTTATGTCATCGTTTTTAACAGTTGCATTTGATAAACAAATTACCATGAATTAAAAATATCGACATCGTTAAGTCTTATAAAAATATTTTGTAAAATTTAGATGATCAGTACCTAGACCAAAAAAAATACGCAAACTTACTTATTTGTTTTCACGAAAGGCGCGAATTTATCCATTAACGTATTAACGCATAATGTACTTGAAATCTCAGCTCCGCATAACTCAAATATACGTTCCGCCGTGATGATAAATTCTAAAAATGAAAATAAACACATCAGTAATAAGGAAGTATCCTGACCAACGCATAGTTATAATAATAAACGGTTAAAATTACACTAACCATCCGTATTTTCTTGTCCATCTAGATTCATCGTTTTGTCACTTGCTTTAGTAAATACAAATAAAATCACAGCGTTATATTCAAGACGCCTGTATTCAAACGGTCGATTGTTTACTTCTCATTAGCAATAAATTCGTTACACTAGGAAGAAGTACAATTTACAAAAATAGTTTTTGAGTTTAATAAAACGGTTTATGTCAATAGTGATGGTCACTCGATTAAAACATTTCCGTATCGATGATATAATATCGATAATGGAATGCATAGTAAAAATCTTACTATTATGAAAATGTTAAAAATTATTCAATACAATAAGAGATAGATATCAAGTGATAATAAATTTTATAGAATTGCAGTATTTGTCGCTTTTTGTAGTAGTACTTTTATCTATCGATAATTATCGTGTAATCTCTAGTTATTCACCATAGACAACGAGAAATAAAAAGTTTATCTCTGATATTTTTTCTCATTAGTCTCTTTTTAAATTAACTGATTTTGTTATTGACCAACAGAAATGTATTACAATTTAAATATAGTTAATACGTTTTTAGATCACGCATAAAATATATATAAAAAAACTGAACGTTTATTCAGTTGAATAGTTATTATATAAGTTTGATATTGAATATTGTTTTTGATGTTTCTACATATTTTATCACGATAATTTATAGAGAAACTGCGAACTCCCTCGAATAAAAAGAACAATGTTTTATAATTACTTTTTATCTAGTGCCATTAAGGTACTCTGATTAGCATAAATTATATTAACATAAAACGAAATTTTACACGAAAAAATAATGTTCCTGTCTCTTTTAATTTTCAAGTAATTTATAACATTATACAGTAAAAGCTCCTTATTCGCGCTTCCTTTATTCGCGTTTTCACTATTCGCGGATTAAAAAAATGCTACCAATTCCTATATTCGCGACTAAAAATTTCTTTATTCGCGGATCTAATAAGTACATACATAATAATAAAATTTTTCCAAATAGGTATCCAACACAATATCCTTGTCAAATTGACTAATTAAAAAGTAATATATCTTATTACAACTTTACCTAATTACTTTGCGATTTCTTTATGAACATTGATCCGTTTATGGAACGAAGTCTTATTTTTAAGAGGCAAATTGCTAATGCGACTGCTGTGTATCAGTCTGAATTGAAGGAGCTTTTAAAAACTGCCAAGCAAGAAAAAATTACAAAATTCTTCAAACCATTGCCTAAGCCTTAAGATAATTCATTAAAATGTTCAAATACTTCAGTTATATTTTTTTTTATATAAATTTGTTGTTTTTATTTTTGCCACCTAGGAACGTATCCCCTATAATCCCATATAAATTACCATTCCGTATTCACGGTTTCTGTATTCGCGGTATATTTACGGAACATATACCCCGCGAATAAGGAGCTTTTACTGTATAGCTTTAATATAGATAGGGGTTCCTTATATTAAAATCAAAATAAAACAACAAGTGTCAATTTATGCAGTACAAAATTTTAAATTACTGTTACAAATAAATATTACGATAATATTATTCATCTATCGCGTTCTGATAGTGTTGAGAATTTCTACGAGCCCTTTGTGAACTTTCAACGAGGCAAGTTTTGTGTCTATCATAGTGAAGTCGCTTAGCTCCATCTGTAAATAGATAGTTTATATTTAAACGATAAGTTTGATTTGTTTTCAAATATATCAGGAGATGAAAGCTGAATGATATGGCATTGTGTTTAATATTATTGCAACATCCTTTAAAATTACGATTAAGTTTTGGCGCCAATTTTTTTTATACAAACCCCATCGGGTGGATCTTTGTCTCTGGCCTGGAAGCGTCCGTACATTCTTTCGCAGATGGCGCAAAGACCGCACCACGTTCGGTACTTTATAGTGTCTTTTTCCGTCTGTTAACAAATAAAATAAAATAAATAGGCCTATTTTCTTGGGTACACTCACAGAATTAAGGCAAATTGATTTTAACTTCATAATTTATAATACATTAAAATGTTTGTCAAAAAATTCCAGTAAAAGTTTCTAAAGCAAATAAAAGAAAATTGAATCAGATTTTCATCTCGTCTGCCTGTGATCAAGGTAACAGAAACGTCGGGAGTATGTAATTCAGAATAATAACAAACACTTAATACATTCGAAAATATTAGCTTTATTTAGAATCAGATTTCTTTTTGTATCTTAAATTTGAATATTGTGAGAGTAATCTGAGTAATCACAATATCAAGATTTTATTATATTGATAATGAAACAGTTTTTGAAAGGAAATCTGAAATACAGACAAAAAAAAAAACAACTACAAAAATAATATTTAACCTGTGTGTCGCCACCTTCTGGAGAATATTGTCCATAACCATTGTCAATTAGTGTAAGCTTCACTTCGTCAGGTATGTTTTCATCTTCTTCATATAACTCCCACTCCATAATCTCTTGGAACTGTTTCGCTTGTTCAGCCGACATTATTCCACCCATCATCAATATTAAACCTTCTTCTATATGCTGAAATTATAAAACAATAAGAAAAAAACATTTGATATATTTAAAAAACATAGTTCTAACCAACCTTTACGGGCATCCTATATCCCTTTGGTCTGAATTTCCTTATGACCGTGAGGTAGAGCAATTGCTTCGATTTCTTTATTGTTACGAACCTAGCAGCGTAATTCATAGGCGTTAAAGCTGAAAACGACATAGTTAGGTCAAATTAAAATCTTCTATATATATATAAATGGATTGCTGTTCCTTAGTCTCGCTAAAACTCGAGAACGGCTAAACCGATTTGGCTAATTTTAGTCTTGAAATACTCTTGGAAGTCCAGGGAAATATGTCATTTTATGACGTTTGAAAGATTACAGCTATTTTAGGATGGCAAAAAAGTCTAGTAAATTTTAAAAACTTTCAAAAATATTTACTTTCGAGGACATTAGAATCGATTGGAAGTCCAAATTGCGCGTTCTGTCTTGAGAACACTCTCGGTATATGGAGCCAGTCGCCCAGACTGAGCGGAGGCACGCGTAGTTCGCGAACTAGTTGAGACATTTCCTGGGTTAATACGCGTTCAGGACGGGTGCGAAGAGCTTCACGGAGGACATACCGACGCTGAGAACACATTTTATATACAGATTTCACAATATTATAATACACATAAGTAGAAAAGATATAACAGAAACTAATATTTTCTGATTACTACATGTATTTTATTATTTAAAAAACGCATACTTTCGTTTACTTTGCAGCAACCGTGATCACGGGCAGACAAGAAGTGAACCGTCGGGAGTATGGAGTTTTTAAAAAAATAATATACGCATCGTGATCCGAAATTATTAGTTTCATTTAAATGAATACTCGCAAAGTCTTACATCTCATAATGTATAATAGTTAATCACATTTGATGGTGTTGAAGTACCGGTCGACTTTTAGACTAATAAAGTTAGCAGTCAAATTTCAAAATTTACTAATTTAAATATTTCAGTTATAGACTAATTTGTTTTCTTTTCTTTGCTATCTTAGAGACATAGACTATAGAATACAGTTTTAATTACGATTTAAATTTAAAATAGTTTTCATTTGTATGTAATTGAAAAGTTTAATTCAACCTTCGTGTCAAACTCCGTTTCAATAGCTTCTTCATCAACTTCTCTGTGCAAATACTTCAAGATGTCGTCGTCCAAAAACGAATCTGTTTTCCTATCAGGGCCAGTTTTGATAACTGGTAAAATAACATCTTCGTCATTTACAGCAGCTATGGACCCTCGTGAACTTGGATTGTTGGAGTCAGTTCCTATTCCGGCAACCTGAGAACAAGATTATTGATTTAAAACTAATATGTTTCGGATTTGCAAAATAAAATACTTGTTCGAATTAAAGAAAATCGTTTTACACAAATCATAACTGCTTATAGCATTTTATTACAAACTAGCTTTCCGCCCGCAGCTTCGCCCGCGTGTTGTTCGGTTATATCGCGTTTCCAAGAGAACCTCTCAAAAGTCTCTGATAAAAACTATTCTGTTCTTTCTCAAGGTCAACTCTATCTCTGTACCAAATTTCATTAAAATCAGTTCAGTGGTTTACGCGTGAAAGCGTAACAGACAGACAGAGTTACTTTCGCATTTATAATATTAGTAGGGATGAAATGGAATTTAAGAGGTTTTTATACAAAACTTATTTCATCGAAATACCACTGAGATATTAGCATCATTTTACTCATGTAAAAGGAGATATATTCTTTTATCAATAAAAACTCATATATTTTTATAACTGACCTGTGTTTCTGGATCTTGCTGTGCCTGTGCAGCCAATCCTGCCGAAGTAAGTCTATCGCTGCCCGTGGCACGACCTTTACGTCTTCTTTTACCACGCCGTCTCACTTCACCACTACCTATAAAGAAATTATTAAATTATATACACTCAGTTAACACAATCACACTATATTATATTAACTTTTAAATCTTTTCTGTAATAATGCAAAACGGCTAGATAATCAACTGTCTACGATTGAGTCTAATGCAGACCAAACTCATAGTATAATTTGATATGTTTTAATGTGCTTGTAGAATTAGTAGAAGTAATAATTTTAAAAGAAAAGTCCAATATATCGATAGATAAAATTTATAAAAGAGAGGTATTGTAAATTTTTAAATTGAATTTTTTTTTATATACTTAAATAGTTTATTGTGCAGACAAAAGAAAAAATAATAAAAACAATAAAATAAACACATTATTACTGGTATACTCTAAGGCAATTGGCGTAACGAAGTCTAAGAAGGGTATCGAATAAGGACAGAATAATCATTGACAACGGAGGAAAATATTCTTACTTAAACTTAAGCTTTTCCTCATGTCCTACATTTAATAATAGACACAAAAAGCTTTTTCCTTACTAACTATTTTAGTAAACAAAGATTTATACTTCCAACAGAAAACACGAGACTCCGAAAGAAGTGAGTTTCATCAAGGTTGATTTAAGAGTTATGAGTTTGTAAAACGAAGACAAAAATCAAATAAAATCTTATGATTGAGCATTTACTTTGGACATAACAATCGATTCAGATCTTCACAGTCAACACATAAAGGGTATTTATTAAACAAAAAAAAATGTTGATAAAAAATGGAATAAATATTAGAAATTGACCAAGAGGAAAGGCCTGGATTTTCTTTATCATAACGCCACACGACACAATCGCTTCAAAATTGTTAAGTTTGCTTTACTTTAAGTTAACTCTTAGCAAACTATAAACGAGAGACAATTCAATTGTCGATTTAAAAACTACATTAAAAAAGAATGATGGCAAATTAGAAAGATTAAAATTCGAATAATAGACTCTGTTTATAAGATAAAGATTTTGAAAGAAGTAAATAGAATTAAAACTGGTGGTTATTATAGAAAAATAGATGTTGTTTTTTGGTAAAGGAATTAAATTCACCATATTACTCTTACCACCATCATCCGGGAGTGCCATTTGTTCGCTTCCTTCGCCATCTTTGTCGTCTTTAGATCTCTGAGACGCTGGAGCCTCAACTTTTTTACTTTTTATTGTTTTACCGAGATTTAATGCTTTTAGTTGACTCTAAAACAAAAATAAGTACATAAATATACAAAAAAACTTAAAAATAATGTATAAAGATTGTTATTTTGCTTTGCTACCTCAAGCTTTTTAAAGAAGTCATTACTATCATATGCAATTATTTTATCTTTTTTATTTTTGTTTTTTGTAATTTTTATTGAAGGTATTTTGGTTCTTTCTACATGTTCACTGTTCCCCCAAGTACTCATAGACATAGCTATATGAGAAGCGCCTCTAATATTTTTTGGAGAATAATTAATTATTATCCTAGACACATGCATGAGAGCACAATCACACGGCGTTGTCAAAATAACCGAAGGTATAGAAAGAGGTGTTGCAATAACTCCTTTAAATTTATCCCTTGAACTGTTACATTGTCTCTTTTTCTTTTTCTCTTCAAAATTCTTTTCTTTATGTTTTTGTTTTCTAATTTGCAACATTTTAGTTTTGGATATAATAAATGGCAACATTGTGCTAAGCTCACAACCTTTCTTTGGTGTGCCAACGTATACGAGTGTAGCAAAATGAAAGTTTCATTATCAGCGTTACCGTCAGTCACATATTGATTAGCACTTATCAGTTGTAAAATAATAACTAACTTTCCACGGTCTAATAACTCTTTGAGAAGGTAATAAAATAGTGGCGTATGTTACACACATCATTAAAAATAAAATAAAAACATTTGAATGCCGTTCAAATTACAGTAACATGTATATAATAAGGAAGCGTTTATTGCCCATGTCCGAGAAAATATTATAAGAATTAACTTTTGCTTTTTTAAAAAAGCAAAACTTTTTGTAATTAGACATTATATCTCCACTGCTGAGCAAAGGCCTCTTCTCACATGGATTAGGTTAGAACATAAATCACCACGCTTGCTCGAGGCGAGTTGGCGATTTCAAACTTATAATTTGAAATTATAAGTCCGGGTTTCCTTACGATGTTATCCTTCATCGTTTGTCAGTGGTGTCCAAATACTTTTAGACAGTACAAATGACTTGGAAAAATCACAATGGTACTTGCCAGGATTCTAACCCGCGGCCTCATACACGAGAGGCGGGCCTTTAACATCTAGGTCACCACGACTCTCGACTCATATAAAAAAAATATAAAATATGCTCACCTTCTTAACCGTTCTAACACTGACTGGTTCTTTAAGCGTCCGTTTGGACAGTACCAGTGGCGAAGCAAGAGGTGGTAACTGTTCACATTGCCCGTTAACAAGTCTCGTGTGGGCGCTGGTAGATAGATTTAGTGAGGGAAGAGACCTCTCATTCGCACTAGGAGTATGTCCCGTCATATCGGATGTAGTGTAACCATGGTAGTACAGGGTTTCCTGGAATAGATTTCCATTTTTTGTATAGCTTACTTAACTATGTTTAAGAATTTGACTAGTTTTCATTTCAAAATTCACGTTTGGTTTTAATTTCTATTTGAAATACTATTAAACAAGTAATTTAAATAATTGTGCTTAATTTAGGTAAATGTGAATTCCTTATGTTACAGATGTCCAGGGGCGACGCTGACTACTTTCCATCAAGTAGACCGTCTGCTCTAATAAAATAAAAATTAGTAAAAACATGTATTTACTATTTTGTAAATTCCGCCAATTCCTATATGTAGATATTTTGCTGATCATTATTGGTTACACAGAAGTTTCTCAATTAGTAAATATAAATTTCTACCTTTTAAATCCAAAAAAAGAGCGTTTTCAAAGCCAAAAGGAAATATTTATTATTAACTAACCTGACTGTGGCTTCGTCTTAAGTCTAACACTATAGTAGTCCTCTGATTTGGCTGATCGGGTGTCAGACATCGCCGAGAGCCGCGAGACTTGCCACTGGCCAGTGTCGGTGCTGGTGTCAAGGGACGGGAATCCGTTTCTGCATACCTTGAACATATTAAAAATGAAACATGACATTTTCATTTTTCTACAAATAGCTCTACTTTCAGGCCATATTTAAGGCATGTACCTATTAGTAATTTTTACAAAGGGAATGTATATAGTAAAAAATCCCTACTAATTTTATAAATGCGAAAGTAACTCTGTCTGTCTGTCTGTTACGCTTTCACGCCTAAACCACTCAACTGATTTTAATGAAATTTGGTATAGAGATAGAGTTGACCTTGAGAAAGAACATAGGATAGTTTTTATCCCAGACTTTTGAAAGGTTCTCTTGGAAACGTTATGTTACCGAACTCCACGCGGGCGAAGCTGCGGGCGGAAAGCTAGTAATATATAAAAGACCTATACCTTCGGAACATATCTTCTGTGACAATGTCGTGGGGTGTTCTGTTTTTTTCATTATCACCATTTTGAAACTTGGATAAATCTTCTTGAAAATAATGCGCCTTTCCCTCCAGAACCTGAATGAGTAGGGAGATTATTATCAAAGAAATTAAGTGTTGGCTTTGGAAACCACCACCATTAACATAAATTTACCACACACCAGTAATATCCCATAACTATAAGGACTTCAACGATCTTATAATATGTATAAGATTGGCATCCTCATTCAAAATACTTTAACAATTTTCTTTTTCAGCAACAATGATACTTTACCCACGCATCTTTGGCACGTTTGACAAATTCCTTAGCATCAGTATCAGCCGGGTGGTTGCATAGTACGGAGCAGGCATGAGAGAAAGGATTGTACAGAGCGGCGTAGGGTCGCAGCATGAATGGAGCCGAAGTCACCTCGCATCTTAGTTCAAGATTATTCTGAGACAATAATCCAAGCTTAATATTACATTTTTATGGTTAAAGGATGAAAATTACTTTGGTTTTGTTTAGGCTACAAATTATCTCCTACACTTATGTATGAAATTAATAATGAATACCTTAATCATTACCTTATGTTTAGGTATGTCTTGTTTTTGGCTTACACTAGCCAATAGCCCCGTATTACTTGTCAATCCCATAATATCCTCATTAATAGTATTCTGTTATGACAAATATCGACCAATCAATCGCTTGGTAACAAATAATAGAAAAATACTGTAAACAAGCAACAATGTGGTACAAAATCACCAAATAAGTACTTGACAGGTGCTAAGTTCTTTTTCTGATTAGACGAATTCTTTTGCAACCTTTTTTGAAAACTTTAGTCTTTTTTAAATACTATTTAATGAAAATGGTTTGTATTCTTGTCAATTAATCTTCCACAACACATATAAGCTTATGAAAGGCGCTGTAAATAAATCTAATATTTCTCAGCGAACACAATCTACAAATACGACTTAGTATTTACATTTAAGATACTTTTCGACAGATAGAGCAAGAACCTTAAGGCTTAAACTCATGTAAATAAAGAAATTGTTGTGTCATGAAACCAAATAAGTCGATCATTTTTCTGAATTGTAAAGGTTTAATTGTGTCAAATTTTATGGCTTTATCTTATACAGAGATAACAACCGCGTATTAAAACATTATTTTTATAGCGTGGAACACAACATGAACGAAATAATTGATCCAATTAGACAAAGCTATAGAATAAGGATTTAAATATTACGCAATTTGCTGTGTGTCTCTAGAAGAGTTCCATTAACTTCCTCCCACTCCTCAGTTGTCTGTAGCGCGACATGCGATAGTTAGGAAAAACATTAAGAGTTTCATTGTAAACAGTAACTCCAAAAAATGTTGTCTTTGATATAAAGAAATAGTTGAAGATTATAAAGGGAATAAGATAAGGTTGCGAAAATAGAATCTAGTACTATAGGGAATTATGACATAAGTTATGAACTTATGTCTTACTATTTACTAAATATAAGTATCAATTAATCATCAGAGATGGAAAACTTTTCTCAATGCATGTTTAATTTTAAATACGCAATACAACTAATGACTTAATTAATTCATATACTTACTAATTTAGGTCAGTAATTTGTCATGCCGTATGGACATTAGTTGATACTTGATAGTACATTAATACGCACAATAAAAGAAACAGATAAATAAACTAAAAAAATATTATTAAATAATATAGAATAACAGAAACAACATAATGAAATTTTTCACATATATTATTCAAAAAAATTTACACAAAAGCACTAAGACATCCATTTAAACTTATTGTCTAATAAAATGAAGTTATAATCCGACACGCGACTTCTTAATTAAAAGTTATATATATTTTTTTCTCTAAAAAAAATACTCATCTCATAAACACGGCATTATCGAAGTAACACCTACCAAGCGATTGTGAACTTTATTATTTAATATCCTTAATTTAATCCATCACTAACAATTTCTATTTATTACAAACTTTATTTTACATTACAGTGCATTAAAAATTTTTAAATGTCTATAGTGAAGTACTATTATAATACAAAACAACCAAACTGTTATCCAACAAACAAAAATAATGGTTCAGAACCTTTAATTTTGCGCTCAAATGTTGTTAACTGCTTTTATAGCGCAATAGAATTAAGTAGCTAGTGAGACTGGTATAGCTATAATATATAAAATATTTTATAAGTTCATATAAATAATGCCAAGAATATTTTCATTTCACACACAGTGATATACTGAGCCAATGAACACTTTGTACTTATATTTAACGTCGGTCATAAATTCGCTGTTAAACTAATGGTGTTGAACAATATCTGTTACAACAATGAAGTACAATGATTTTATATGTTGTTAAGTAGTTCTATTACTTTCTATATAATTTAGACTCTGTTATTCAAATCACTTCCAGATTGATATAATATATAACTATATTTACAACTAAACTATACAATAATTTATTTATTTTTTATATATATGATAATGAATATTCATTAGATACATACAATATTTTATAATTGCCAGTCATAACACAGATTAATTACAATAATAGAGCTCTTTACGTCTTAAAAAAATATATAGCTATCATTAAAGTCCGTGTGAGCTCACGTACAAGGTCGTATTTACACCTTTCCAATACAGACAGCTAAAAAACTATTGCGATCCGTCAACTGAACACTTCGAACATAACTCGTTTGAGATAACATTGATATGTTGTTACAGCTACACTTTATAAACGATGGTGAACTTGTAAAAAATCGGAATATATTAGCAATTTATGAGGATATATTATTATTTAATTGTCTACAAAGAGAATTAGAAGAAATCTCTTATAATTCGCTCACAATCCTCACGTTAATAACAAGTACATAAAAAGGCAAGTCGATAAGAAGGCAAGTCAGTGTGACCCTACTTTAATTTTTTCCTTAGTTTTTTTTATTATAAGTATGTACAAGAAATATTTATTATGTCATGAATATAAGCAGTTTAATCCTTAACTTAGTCAGTGGTCCATTCGCAAGAATGTCAACCAGCACCCTTAATGATTATAATTAAAATATAAAACAATAATTTAGACTAACAGCACTCACTCTATGTAAAATTGTGTGACTTCATCTCGTTCTCTACAAATAGAATTTAATTATGACTAGTCGTTATAAAATAAATTTGAGCATGGAAACAAGCGTAATACATGACCATGCGACTATAAAAATATTATAAAAAAAACTTAAATAATTAAGTTATAAATATAAATTACAATTACTATCGTCACACGTAAAAAAAAACCGTTCGGTTGCATCGTTTCGCGGCACTATCACTCAAGTATGTAACACCTCTCTTCACTCGATCACCACTACGGCGTCGTCGGGCGGGAGGCGTGCGGAACCCTAGGGTCGCGAGGCGCGCGCCGCCTCCTCCAACGCCCGAACTTTCAGTTCACGTTCCCGCTGCTGGCGCAGGAAGTCTTCGTGGTGGAGGAAACCACGCTCGCGCTCCAATAACAGTTGTCTCTGCAGCTGTTCGTGAGCGGCCGCCTGATGAGCCAGTTGCTCAGCGTACGGCCTACCTAGCAGGTCTGGATGTGGAAGCGGCCTGTACGGCCCTCCACCACCCAAACCGAGACTAAGGGCATCTTGCTGCGCCTGTGCAGCTTGTTGTCCTGGGTGTAGGTGTAAATGCGTGTGGGAGTGTGCATGTGTGTGTGCGTGAGTGTGCGCGTGATACTCCGGATTGATTCCTGCCATCTGTAGTCGCACCATGGGGTCCGCTGCTAGCGCTAGTCTCTCAGCTGCTTCCAGTTGCGCGGCCGCTACTCCAGGGTGTGGGTGATGCGGGTGATGTGAAGGAGCGCCGGATACTGGTACTGACTGCGGCGGCCCTCCCGCACCGGCGGGAGGTATACCGAGTCTTTCTAACCTTTCTCTTTCTAGTTGAGACAGGGCGGCGGGCCCGTGCCCCGGCGGAAACAATCCAAACTGGACAGGAATAGCTCCTTGGGGTGGCGGAGGTGGCATACCATATCTTCTGTGCATTTCTAACCAGTGGGGATCGATGGCTCTCGGTCCGACGTTATTCTTTAATAATTCTTCTTTCAGTCGATCGTTCAGTTCACGTTCTCGTAACTCTCGTATTTCTCTGTCCCGTTTTTCTCTTTCTAAATGTTCAAGTTCAAGGCGTTCTCTCGCTCCAGCCGCCCCATACATGGAACTTAATTGATATTGAAGCATCGGGTCCATACAATGCCGCGGTATATTTCCTGGACTGAACCCAGCATGAGGTCGAGCATATTCGGATAACTGTCGTAATGCCGGAGTGTCTGGATATCCAGGTGGTCTTGGAAATCGATCATAAGGAGATGTGATTGTTTCGATTGCACCTCTTGAAGGGGGTTTTGTTTCTGGTTTTTCAGGTGTAGCGATCTTTCTGTGCGCTTGTTGAGCAATTTTCTCTCTCTCTTCTCTATCTCTTTCTGCTTGCTTTCTAAGTCTCTCTTCCCTCTTACGGGCAAGTTTAGACTCTGGTACAGGTTTAAATATAAGATCTGTACGCGTACAAGAGTTGTAGTCACCTCGATTCCAATGTCTTAAGAATATTGCAGATTGTGACCTGTGACATTCTGTATCCTCTATTTTAGGTTCTGGACTGGGACCGTGAGGTATGTGAGCTGGACTTGGAATTTCTTCTTCTTCTGGTTGTGACTGCGTTTCCAACTTAAGTTCTGGATTATCGTCTGGAATTGGTCTTGGTGGACCACGAAGATGTGGATGACCATGTGGCATCTGATGAGGGGAACCGGATCTAGCATGCGCTGATTGTAAACTTGCAGCTGCTTGAGCATGTAATCTTAAGCTTTCAATAGAACTAGGTACGGGACCCGGCGGTAAGCCGAGACCTAGTCCTGGATGTCCCATAGAAGGAGGTTGAATCATAAGATGATTTGGGTTGCCAGGGAGCATCTTCGGGTGATGTCTGAGAAGCATCGAATCAGCCGGCGACAATCGCTCTGGATGATGAGCAAGATGATGAGAATGGTGATGTGTGTGGTTGTTGGTGACATTGACGCTTGAAGACGAACTCGTTGTCTGAGATAAACTTGCCGACAAATGCAGGGGTGAACTCGAATGTGAGCTTGACTTTTGCTGTGTATTTATCTTGTGTTGTATCGATTGGGACGAACTACTAGAAGTAGAGTGCGATATAGAGAGGGTATGATTGGTGCCACCTCCGACGTGGCTGGGTTGCTTCTCAGTGCTCGTGTGTACAGCACTGTGATGACTGGTTGAGTGATGATGAGTCATAGTTGTTTCATGTAGTTGATGCCTCTCTGTGGTTGAGTTCGGATTTCGAGGATCTTCACTGCTCTCAGATATTTCTCGTAATGACCTTGTTGTTACGGACGAACTCGTACTGTGATGAGCGCTTAGCATAGTTGTTGATTCAATTGTTGCCGGTTTCACTGGTTCGTGTCTTCCTGGTGTACTGGAAGCTGGATGCATTGGTGGAATGGGATGGGGCTGAGGTAAAGGACCATACGGATAAGGATAGGGCATTGAATAACCTGGGTGAGGGTGAGCATAGTATGGATGCATTGCGTGAGCAGCAGCTGCGGCGGATAGTTGGAATATGGACGATGGATGGAGCAAGGGATGATGGGGATGATGTAATGGTGACGAAAACGGATGTGGTGGATGTCCAGGCTGTTGGCCAGAATGCAATACTGGACCAGACATTGTTGCTGGAATAGTCAATGGTGTTGGATTCATCAAATTTAGAGCTGAGTGCGATACCGGTGTATTTGGTTGCACTGGTGAAGCTGAAATTTGCCTTGGCTGAGAAGGGCTTGTCATATGTCTTGAAAACGGAGACGTCGTCGCCGACGGATGTGGATGGCCAGGGGTACCATTGTGGCTGGATTGGCTCTTTATGGGTGTCGGTGTATGTGGACTTTTTACGGGAGGAGCCGTACTTGCAGAATCTGATCCACTTCCTTGACTCGTTGATACTGGCGTTATATGTGGTTGATGCAAGAAATCCTGTTCTTTCTTTATACTTTCAATTCTGGGACCAAGGAAAGCACTTTGCATATTAGAATTTTCATTCTGTGGTTGGCTTGGTGGTCGACTGTTATTTTCTACACTTGAAATGGACTCTCTGTCTCTTTCGGAACTCAGATGTTGGGCGATAGCACTACCTATGGGGTATCCAGGCACTTTGACTTCCTTTAATGATTGCAAAGGATCAGACACATTTTGTGTTGACAGATTAGCTGGCATATTATCCGGAACTTCTTGTTTAATTTTAAGATCTTGTGGCATAGATGAGTCATTTTGATTTGATTGTTGAGCAATAAGACTTGTAGCAGAGTGATTATGTGATGGTGGAACTTGTTGCATTAAAGGCGGCATTGATCCAGGTTTATCTAATCCTGGATGCCCAGGATGTCCAGGATGGCCGTACAATGCGGAGGGCATGAATCCATAAGGCCCTACATTAGACCCACCTCCTACAGATATAAGTGGTCCTGGAGGTAAAAGCCCAGTCATAGATGGTTGACTTAAGGGCGGCGGAGGCATATTTTGAATTGACACTGGTGTATTTGAGGCTTCTGTAGACCTAACACCAAGATTTTCTGGACGTACAGGTGGAGCGAATAGCGGTTGCCGAAGATTTTGGGCATCATGTTTAGATATTTGTTGAGTTTTCAAGTCTGTAGGTTGTTTATCTTCACTATCAGATTCTTGAGTTTTCATTTCTTGTGTGTTTGCAGGCGATATAGGTTCGGTATTCGTATTGGAAGGATGTTCCATATGAGGAGGTGATGAAGCCCTTGGATTTGTAGGTGATGGACTTATCCTTTGCATAGATTCCAATCTAGGTGTACTTGGTGAATCAACTTTGTTGGCTGCTGATATAGTTGCTGTAAATATTTCAGGTGTGTTTTGATTCTTCATTTCACTTGTTTCATCTCGAGGTTCAAGTTTGATGACAGTTTTTAGTGGATTGATGTGAGGATTATGTTTGTTAGGATCACTTGCAAAGTTTATATTAGCTGGGTATGAAAATGGAGGCATACCACTTGTGAAATCTTTCGTATTTCTTATTATAGAACTATCCTTTGACATAGTTGCTGGGTTAAAGATGTTATTTGGAGCACCCTCAATCTTGATGTTGTGATTAAGTTTAGGATTATACATGTGGTTATCTTTAACAAAAAAGTTGGTGTTTTCTAAATTAAGTGGTTTATTTGACTGACTTAAAACATGTCCTGAAAAGTTGTGGGAGAGAGTATCTTTTTGGAATTCCTCCTTCTGTAAATTGAGTGTTTGGTCGTCTGTATCAATTTCTTCCTTTATTTTTATTTTCTCTATAAGCTCTGTAGACATGGGTGTAACTTTAGGTATAATAAGTTCAGTCTTAGGAAACAGTGGCATAGGCCTTGATTCAATGTTTTCTGGAATTTTATTTGCATTGTTGGAATCTGTTTTAAGATCAAGTGCAGTTCGTTCATCTTTCTCAGATATAACTTTGAAGATTGGAGGCAGTATGTCTTTTTCTATTTTAATTGGCGGTTCAGGATTGATTTCTGTCTTTATTTGTGGTTCTATACTCTTTACCGCTTGCTCTGCGTCCGGTTCTTTATTTTGATCAGTGTTTTCTTTGTCTGTTTTACTAAAACTAAAGTCGCAAGCCTCAGCCTCTGGTTCAGGAGCCTCCGAGTCATCCATTGCTGGGAAACTATCATTTGTTAAGCTTTCTGCTGGACTATCAGGGGGTTCGGCAGCTTTCTTCTTCTTCATCTGTACATCACCATCCATAATTCCACCACAACCTTCGGGTTTAGTATCATCAGGAAGACGTTTCTTGACTTTGGAAACATCAACCTTTCCATTAGTTACCTTTTTCTTGGTATCCTTACTTACAGGAGATGATAGTACTTTCTCGGTAATATTATTATTTGTACTTTGTATATTTGGTTTGCTAACTTTCTTAGCTTTTGCATCATTATCACTTTCATCTTGACCCTTTTTACCATTTGGAGTTGTTTGCTCTTTCGATTTATTTCTTGTTCTCATTCTACTAGGTGAATCATCGGGATTTTCAACTCTAGGAGTATCAGGCTTCACTAGATCTCCTGCGTCTCGAGAGTCACTGTCATCTTCCGAGTTCTCATCTTCAGTAACTGAACTCATTTCGCCAGCTTCTTTTGGATTAGGCGAGGGCCGAGAGCCGTTAGTGTCGGGCACAGTTGGAGTAGCCTCTGGTGTTTGCTCTTTAGGTGTGCCAGCACGAGAGTTCCTTGTATTTCTCACACGTCTCAGTGAAGCCTGACGACGTCTCCTATGCGGTCTATTACTACTCGCACCAGGAGTCTTTTTCCATAAATAATAAAACTCTACTAATTCCGCAGTATCTTTGTGTGGTAGTAAATCTTTTTTAATCTTAAAGAAATTCTTACCAAACTGTCTGATACCTTTCACAAAACGTTTTGTTTCTTCTTCAGTCCACTTTTTCTCAATTCCTTTAGGGACGGGACATTTAACAAGAGCTTGTAGTGCTCTGCCGGGATCATAACCTGAGTCGTGTAGAACATCTAAAGCATTGATAGTTGTATCATCACGGCTGGCCGCTACACAGCCGTCATCCGGGGATCCTCCATCACACATACCTGCAAACGCTGCCATCGAGCGAGCAGCTCTTAAGTACATAACAAGATCCCTGTCTGTTGCTTGAGCGGGCAACCATCGCAACTCTTCGCCACCAGAACAAGGTTCATCTGGTCTTAGTGGACCATTAGTTCGCATATCAGGGAGACAAGCATAGATATCTTTATCTTTGACTGGCTGGTTCGGAGTCACTTGTACTTCCCCCTGATTCTGGGCCATCGTAAAATTAACTACTATATACACTGGGTTGTATTCGTTCACTTCATGATAATAAACACTTTGACTTTCACATAGTGTCCAGCAAAAATATCATACAAACACACTGTAGTCTGTTTTTAGAGCTTTCATCGATGGTTCGTAAAGGAGTAAGTATGCCAATATACATAATTATTGCTTATAATGGCCACCATTACACGACGCATTGTGCTTCATATTATTGACTAATAAATCACAAATATAAAACAACAAACATTGTCACTCAGTCATATCACTTAATTGTTTTTATTATATCACTTAAATAATAATTTTCACTTATTAATTACTAAATGCTATCTACATGCTACCCTTTTGTTTAGCTTCACCTTTCTTTTGCTCTTGCCATAGACAAATTAATTTCTTTAAAATGGCCGCGACGATAAGAGTTTTTTTTGAAGATATCCATTACACACAGCTGTTTTGAAAAAAAATTAAATTCTGTTTCCTAAACTAGTTGTTTTAAAAGGTAAGATATGATCTTTTTATTAGGGTCTAATAAACAGAAAATAAAATCATTTTTTTTTCCGTTGAGAAAATTCATTACTTATTTCGGTAATTCTTTCATAGCGTTCACTGGTTATAATAGATTGTAGAACGTAACGTAGTTCGATATTATAAATAGATTCTTTACTTTTTGCTATCATGAAATATAAAACAAATGAAAATAAAAACATATCTATATTAATAAAAATATGAGTAATTAAATTCTTTTCTAAATTAATAAAAATATTAATAGTACAGTTTTCTAAAAATATTTAATTTATGATAACTATTTGATTAACTTTGGCATTGACAGATTGATAGATGTGTATAGGAAACATAAATACTTTTATGTATGCATTTGTTATTGTAGGTACTGATTCGTCTCTCGATACTAAATTAATTGTGTATCATTTATAACAGTTACATATTAAACAAAACCTCCCAATGTCATCCGATGAATCAGATGATGAATCCCTAGCAATTATAGCAGCCTCAAAGAGAATTAAGGTGGAAGAAGACGAATTAAGTAAAGGAAATGAAGAACCTTCCACAAAAAAGGTCAAAGCCACGAAAAAAACTGATCGTAAACTTACCGTTGCCGCTCCAAATGTTATAGAAAGACCTGAGGATGTGTGGTTGTACCTCAAAGACTTGAAACCATCGGGCCCTTACAGCTGCTTACTGTGTGATGATTGGTTTATTAATCGATCTAAAATGATATTGCATTACGCGGTGAATCACAAGAAAGATTTTTGTGGTATATGCAGGTAATAAACATATTAAATTTATTTCTAAATATTGGATTTTAAGTAGAAAACTATCTATGCTAATGTTTTTTTTTGTGATTTAGATACTTCGTACCAAATAGACAGGCCTGGTATGCACATGAGAAATATCATTCTCCATGGCCATGTTCTCAATGTGTGGAAACTTTTGCCTCAGAATTAATGTTGAGAGATCATCTTAATAATGCACATAATCTGGTCCACTGTAGACTGTGCCACTTCAGAGTGTCTGCTGATTTCAATTACAACTCACATTTATTTGAAAAGCACAATGTAACTAATGTATCTTCCAAAAATCAGGATGTTCTTTGGAAAGTAGAAGGTGATACATTTGAATGTTTACTCTGTTCTAAATCAGAAAATACACTATCGACTTTCTTCGGTCACTATATGGGTATTCATCATTTGACTTTAAAGTGTCTCACAACGGTCATAGCCGGCAGAGACACACCATTCACAGTGAAAGGCGCTGATGTTAGTGAGAAATTTATTAACGAGCATCTCAAAAGCCATGTTCGGTTGGGTTATGTTGATTGGGAAACTAAAGATGATAAAACAAGGAATGAATTCGAAAAAGAAAAGGAATTGGAAATTAGTTTCAACAAAATAGAACAAAGTTCTTCTGTGATAGAAATAAAAGAAGAAATTATTAGCGATGCAGAAGAATTAGTTGAGAAAGAAAATGAGATTAATCAGGAAGATGAGCCCGATAGCAGTTGTTATAAATGGGCCGAGGATTTTGATATTACATACATGGAAATTATCATAGTACATAAATCATATTACGACTATATCGACACTTCCCTCAGGGATATAAATTCAAATGTAATGCCACAGAAATCGTATCTCAATTATGACAAAATGAAAGCAGAGATATATATGGACGTTGAATGCGAATTTTGTAAAACAAACTTTGACACAGCTCAGTCTTTTGTTGAACACATGAATAAAATTCATAGTGTTAAATTCGTGCCATTATATTCTTGTAGAGTATGTTGTGCGACATTTGATAATTATCTAGATTTATGTACCCATGTTACCGAGGAGCTAGCGGATTTTGAGGATCTCTGGATTTGTCAGTTTTGTGACAAGGAGTTTGATAATCGTGAAGAAACAAGACATCATCTAACCGAGCATTGGACTGCCTTGGACTATGATAACTGTTTCAGTCCACATTTAGGTTTTAAATGCAAATACTGTCCGACATTATTCTGGAATGAACCAGACAGAGAGACACATCAAATTAGAGTGCATTATGATAAATATAAACATCAGTTCTACAAGTGTGAGACATGTGATATGGAATTTGGTGATAAGGTATATAATGGATATGTTATTTGATGATATATTTACCAAAATATAATTAATTTCTTTCTGGAACTATGGTCTTCAGATACACTATGCACACACATTGTACTATTTCACTGTTAATCTGACATTTCTTTAACTTTACATCAAGACTGACAAGTATAAAATTAAAAATAATTCTATAAATGTGGGTAGTATAGGGGCCGTTCAAGTATTACGTAAGTACTATGGAGGGGTGGGGGGGTCTTTGCTTTGATTATTTTGAATGACATGGGGGTAGGGGGGTCTTGGTACTGATTACGTCATGGTAGTTACTTACTTTTTAATCGTCACATCGAGAAGATCCATAAAAAAATATAATTATAATATTTTTCTGGATTTATATGAAAAAAAAACAATACAGTAATTGAAAATGTTTACGTAACCATGGGGGGAGGGGGTAAGAGCTTTGCTTACTTTTGCTGACAAGGGGGATGGGGGAGTAAATAAGTGTAATAAATCTGTTTACGTAATACTTGAACGGCCCCATATGCGAAAATCTTAGATATCATTTGGTAACTTACTGCAATACATTATGTAAATGCTTGTAAAGCTGTGTTATATCTATTAAAACATGACTAAATATAGACTAATATAGTAAAAATTGTTGATATATCCATAATATTTGATAAATGAGTAAATTGTGATATAATATGAAAAAAATTGTTAATTTGTTCCAGGTTTGGTATGTATACCACCACATAGAAAACCATCAAGACTCAAATACAGTAACTAACTATATCCTAAAGTGTAACATCTGTTGTTCGGTGATGGCAACCATTGAAGAAATGAGGAATCACTTTGCAAGAAATCATCTTGAGTTCAAGAAAGTCTACTGTAATATAGAGCCCTGCTGTTTTAAACCGTTGAATCACCAGAGGTCACTGAAAATACATATTAAGGTGCGTTGTGTGATGATGTAATATAAGAAAAAAAAATTATTACTTTATATAATAAAATATTAGTGTCTTTCATATATATTTTACGAAGCAACCTTATATTGGACCATTTATTCGATTTTTAACAGTTTTTTTTATTGATAGGGTTAAGCATTTTAAAGTGAAAGATAGTAAGATTTTGTCTATAGCCGGCCTTCTATTCTAGTTCATCTTAAGAACAATTTCTGAAAAATAATGTAATGTAGTAACTTTTTCTTATTAATATTGAAGTCCAAAGGTTCTAAATTGTTTGTGCTTATCTTGCATAAACCTTTTTATTATTATTTACATTTAAGAAACTTCCCAATTCCACAAACCAGTTGACCTCTGGCTACCCATCATACTACCAAATAAAAAAAAACAGCGTTTAATTCATACTCCTCTCTACAGAGATAATCTTCCTTCCTACAGAGCAATAATATCCTAAAACCATATTATTCATCAGATGGCGCACAGTATAACCGATTTACCTAAAACTCAGACAGTGGCAAAAGCTAAGAAGAAGGTGTCATGTAATATGTGCAATCGTAACTTCAACAATGCACGCGCGTGCAGCACACACATGGCCCAGGTGCATGGACCTGGGAAGTTCAAATGCAAACTGTGCCGCGAGGTGCTGCAAACTGCTGATGAAAGGTAATAATCTGAAATTTATTAGGGTTTTTTTTTAATTTTTTTTGTAGCGGCCGATGGCTTTCGCAGTGGTTTTAGTGAGTAGGGGCCGGCCCAGGTCGAGTCTCACACAACCCTTCCGGCCCCACCAAGGCCGGTTGGACGGCTCGTAAAAAGAGTTTCCCTGCGACATCAAAAAAAGGGTTTGGTTTTTGGGGTATCGATGAAACAGCAAAGATTTTTCGATCTTTTCGACTAGTTAGGCTTGAGTAGCTAGAAATATTTCGACTAGCTGTTATCTAAATATACTTGGGATAAATATATTTAATTTTTCGGTATATCGTAAGACCATATTAATATTGTAATTTAACTGCATAACTGAATAGTTTTGTAGAGATCGGATCAGTAGTTTTGCGAAAAGGAAATTTTCCACCCATCTCTTGTATGTTTTGTGTAATTATTCATACAAGTAAGTTATACCGCTACTAAAACTGTCTTTGGTGTTGAGAGTATTTGGCTTTGTATTGATTGGTTGATAGTCTAGATTTTATATAATAGTTTTTGAACTAAGTAATGAAGCGTATTATAAAATACCATGGACTATTTGGGCTTGACACATTTTGCTATAAGTTGTAAAACAAATAAAATGAGTATGCAAATCTGGTAAATTTTATCATATTTTTATTTAATACAATTAATTTAATTCAATTAATTTGCCTTAGTTATACAGAAAAGTGTGTATATATAAACAATTCATTGCTTTCACTCTACACACTGCCTTCATTATAGAAGACAGAAAAATCCGCAGAAGAATCTTCTTAATACTTTCTTTTATTCTAGGAAGCTCCACTACCTCTTATGCCACCCTGGCCGGCATCCATTCGAGTGTACCGAGTGCGGGAAATCATTTCAGTACAAATCATCATTGTACATGCACAAACAGGAACATATGCCGAATAAACAGAACTACACTTGCAGTTACTGCAATAAGGTTTTCGCGGTAATTATATTGATGATACATTTATGTGCTAAATAAATAATTTCCAATAAATTAATAAATAAAATGTCAATAATCTAACTTCAAGCTATGTAAACTGCTATTGACGGAAATATTATTTGTTCATAAATAATACTATGGTATATTTGGTTTTATTGGCCAAGATTCTACTTTCCCAAAAATTTACGGCCATTACCATGTTTTAGACACTTTTTTTCTACTCGTAGGCTATAAAAATGTTTTTTCTTAGCCTTTCAAGTAGGGATATAGAAAAAAAAGTTGCTTTATTATAATCTACTTAAGTTTTCGTTTATATGATTACAGAAGAAGGATTCGTATCGTGAACACGTCCAGATACACGAAGGTCCCCGCCACGCGTGCTCATACTGTCCGATGAGATTCGTCCAACGATCAAACATGTTGAGACACGAAAGACGTCACACGGGCGAGAGACCTTACAGATGTCCGCATTGCCCTAGAACCTTCGCTGATAAAGGCGCCTGCACTTCACATTCTAGGTAGAACAAGCATTTGTTGGAATAAATACTGGCTGGATTTAAAATGAGAAAACTTTTAGACTTAAAAAAAATAATAATTTGAAAAAGGATGTATATCTGTTCCATATAATTCAATGACCATCTTAATCAAAAAGGATTTTGGAATAAATAAAAAAATACTGGCTGGATTTAAAATTAGAAAACTTTTAGACTTAAAAAAAAAAACAATTTGAAAAAGGATTTATATCTGTTCCATATAATTCAAAGACCATCTTAACCAAAAAGTATTTTGGAATAAATAAAAAATACTGCCTGTATTTAAAATTAGAAAACGTTTTGATTATAAAAAAAAAAACAATTTGAAAAAGGAAACTATATCTATTCCATATAATGCAAAAAACATCTAAACCAAAAAGGATATATGTACAAGTCATCAGTATACTTTTTAAAAGTCATATTGGATTCTTTTATATGTATTGTATTTTAAAAATCGAATCGATAATAAGTTATTAATATTATTTTCAGGACACATTCGAAAGAATCTTCCTATGCGTGTGTGTACTGCGGTCAGACGTTCGTACAGAAATCGAAACTAACATACCATATCAGGAAACACACGGGAGAAAGTAATTAATAATTAATACAGTGTAGGAAATGATAAACAATTTTGTATTGCTTCCATTGTTTTGTAGATTTGGAGTCGTGTTCCGTTTGTTCGAAGCTATTCACCAGCGCGTGTTCGTTGAGGGAACATATGAAAATACATGTGGAAAAGAAGAAAGTCGTCAAATGTCCTTTATGCGGTAAGTTGATTGTTATGTGGTAAAAATGAAAACAATGGTATTTAAAACATCACGTCTGGGAAACGTCGGGAGTACGTAGTTTTGAAAATAATAAAATACCTAAGTCATAGTTATCCTAACATATTAGTTTCATTTAAATGGATATTCATTATAATTCTAGATCTCTTAAACCATTTGTATTAAAAACTGGGTTTAAATTTACCAATATTTTTTAGCTCTATACAATATTTTTTAAATATGTAGTTTATAATATTCAGAAAAGTATTGATACTATCAAGTTTTTTTTTTAATAATTATTCGTTGTTACTACTAATATATTTTTCTTAAATATTTTCTATAATAAATCATTAATATTTCCAGATAAGGGCTATCAAGACGAGCGGTATATGCTTCGTCACCTCCGCACGCTACATTCCCGTTCACAGTTCTCATGCCCATTGTGCCACAAGCTGCTCTCAAGCGCTGCAGGGCTTCGGCATCACGTCATAACGCACAGCTGCATCAACACTTTCCAGGTGTTAAAAAAACTACTGTTGCCAACCCTATTAATACTATGCCAGATCCTAAAAACTGCTGTCGCCAACCCTATTAATGCTATTCCAGGTCCTAAAAAAACTACTGTCGAAAACCCTATTATTGCTATTCGAGGTCCTAAAAAAACTGCTATTGCCAACCCTATTAATGCTATGCCAGTTCTTAAAAAAACTACTGTCGCCAACCCTATTAATGCTATTCCAAGTCTTAAAAAAACTACCGTTGCCAACCCTATTAATGCTATTCCAGGTCTTAAAAAAACTGCTGCTGCCAACCCTATTAATACTATTTATAAATACAGATAATAAAAGCCATAAGTTTAAACCTTTTTTTGCCTTATACAGAATCATTACCCCAAAAATATTTTTGGTTTATATTTTTATTAACAAATATGATTTTTTCTAGTGTAAATCCTGCACAAAATCCTATGCAGTGAAAAGGACCATGTTGAAGCATTTAAGGAAACGGCACGGTTTGACAGGCAAGGAGTTAAACATAAAGGATTATTACACGAGGTTAGAACCACGCGAGTGTCAATTGGATTTAGATGAGACGACAATGACCAGTATATTCGGACCTCCCAAGAAGAAATCTACGGATATATTGTTCGGTGATTTCGTAACTCTGGCTAAGAAAATCAATGGACCAGAAGAAAATAAACCCGATTTAGATAGCAGTAGCGATGAACCGGTTACAATGATTAAGCAAGAGGTCGAAAATCAAACAGAAATAGAAATAGAACCGACGGATTTCGTTAGTATTAAGATTGAAAGTGTGGACGTTAGTTTTACAGAGTGAAATACATGTGTATATATTTCTTTAATTTATTCTGTTATGGCAGACATGACTTTATAATATTTCTGATAATTGTTCATGTTGATTAACAATTGCTTTTTTTATGAGACTAGCAACACTAAATATTTGCCTTCGAGCTCTTTAAAAATATATGAAAATAGTCATCTTAATGTCATGATTATAGAGTTAACTAAAATACAATAACCCATCTATCTACAAATAAAACATTGATAATTGCAAAATATTCCCAGATGCAAAATATTCACAATTTCCAGTGTGAATGAACCCATAGCATAAAAAAAGTCGTGTACACGATCCTAGTATACATATACCGTAAAGTATTTGGTACGTAATTTCAAATCGAATATAAATTCATTATTCCCTTGTTAGTACCAAAAATATACTTTTGTTTATTGTATTCTTAATTAGTGCCGCATCTGTTAAAAATATGTTTCGTTATTGCAATAACATAATTTATTGTAAGTTTATATTTTTAATTTTCGAAGTTTCTTTCTGTGATTTTTTTTTATATGTTAAGTCTTTACTGTAGTCACATTTAATATTTAAGTTATTAAAAAAGATATCCTTTAACAGGCTTTTACTTATCATTTAGTGTAGAGAGAAGGCAATATACGTATGTACATTGATATTACGAAATAAATAAGGATTTCAATCTATATAGGTTATACTAATACCAAACGAAATTTGTATATTTTTCCTATCCTGGATAAGCATAGTTGGAAATAACTCCTGAATAATAACCTTATACAACATTATGTGATGCCTTAAGAGTGATTTCCCTACTCGTAAGAGACGATTGTTTATTGTTGAGTTTCCCCACTCTTAAAAGAAAAATTCTTATAATTAAGAAGTAAGGACTTCAGTGGTATGACAGACATCTCTCAGTGGAAAATATTAGAGATACGTACGGAAATATGATTAATTATTAGTATTCTAATCCACATTAAAATTTATTTCTTCGACAATTAATAAATAAGTAACAGAAGTTAAAAATCTTAATATTTTGTTTTGTCTTAGCTGATCTTCGAATATTTTGGCATAGAGTGCAATATTTAAACGCTACTCAGCTGTTAGACGTCATTTTGATTTACGTCAAAAACATGAGTTCCATCATTCCATAAACTCTTAGACTTTGGACTTGCGGGCTATGAGAAATAAACAGAGTTTCTAAGTTAAAAACAACATTCAGAATGAAATAACCGTGATTTCTATTCAGATACATATATTTTTTAGTGTAATATTTATCTGTTAAGATGTATAACCCATCGGTAACCGTGCGTCGTATTGATGTTTTGATTCGTATATTAAATGGTCGAAATGTTAATTTAACCCCTAATAATGTTCGAGCATTCTCAAGTGAAGGAACGATAACCATAGGGAATGTGAGCAAAGAAATATCTAAACCAAAGAAAGTAGAATACGTACCTAGAAAATATGGTAAGGTGTTCAAAATAAAAATGTTTTATTATTTAATATTCTGTGATAAAATTTAATAACCCTGAATTATTGTAGTGACGATTAAAGATGGTCAGTTAAATTCTCTTTCACAAAGCAGTCTGCGAAATTTACGATGGATGATGCAAAAAGACATACTTGGTCAGGATATGTTTCTTTTGGGAAGTCCTGGACCCAGCAGGTGATTTGCTTAGTGCCTTCTTTAAATTTGTGCAGTTAAAATATATTTTAAGTCAAATTTAAAGATTCTAATCTTTGATATGTGATATGGTAAAGTAGATAATTTAAATGTGACAGTTAACCTCTATAAATAATTTATTTTAAAATAATGTCTTCACAAAATCTTAATGTTGTACTAAAAATTATCATCAATAGTTGTATTAATACGTCATATCTACTTATATTACTTTTTTGTCTATTTTAGGAGGAAAGTAGCTCTTCAATATTTGGAGTTGACCCAAAGGGAACTTGAGTATGTATCTCTTTCTCGTGACACAACAGAAGCGGACCTCAAACAAAGACGAGAAATTCAGAGTTCCACTGCAAAGTATTTTGACCAGGTAAATAATTTTTAGACAAAATTAAACTAATATATTATTACATTCATATTAAGTAAGTATTGGATTAAACTTTTTATTGTATAATTATTTTGTAGAGTGCAGTAAGAGCCGCTGTTGAAGGACGAGTTCTTGTTATTGAAGGAATTGAGAAAGCCGAGCGCAATGTACTGCCAGTGTTGAATAATTTACTGGAAAATAGAGAGATGCATCTGGAAGATGGAAGGTTCCTGATCCCAGCGTCCAGATATGATAAATTGTTAGAAGTAAGTCAATTGATTTGTATTAGTTAAGAAACAATTTTACATATAGTCTTGAAGCACATAATGAAGATATAACTTAAAGATCATAATTTTATGTTGGACAATTGAATTTTTACTAAAATTCATAGTCCAAATATTCTTTAGTTTTATTTGTTAAAGTTACTTTTTATACATTAAAATACATATTCGTGGTTTGAATGTTGAAGGCTGGAATTTCAAAAACACTTTTGTTATGTTTATTGGAAAACCAAAAGAACCAGGTCATTAAGAATTTGAATATAAGGATTTCATAATAAACAATATTTTATACAGTTTTATTCATTATTTTGAAAATATTACTAAAAGTTAATTTGGTTTAATATGATTTTATTGTCTTCAAATCATTTAACAGGAACATGGTGTGAAAGAAGTAACAAGATGGAAATTGGTGCGAGTTGATGAGAATTTCCGTGTGATAGCACTAGGGCTGCCAGTGCCACGTTATAATGGACAGCCCTTGGACCCACCGCTGAGATCTCGCTTTCAGGCCAGAGATGTCGCTACTATTGGATTTGGGGTGAGTTAGAATACTCTTCATTTAGTTAGTGAACTTTGTTAATAGATGGCGCTAACATTTTTGTTAATTGGTTTACTATACATGAATGTTTTTTTTTGAAAGAGCCTTAATTAAATAAATAAAAGGTATGAATATAAAAAGTAAGGGAATGATTATGTAATATTAACAATTTATTATACTTATATAAGTAAAGTAGGAAATCGTTTATCCCTAAAAGGGATACATAATTATAAATAATTGAGAAACATTTTAGACATAATAAATTTATATCGAAACTCTTACTTGCTATTCTTATAAAGTTCTCATTACTTATTCTTTGAAAGAACGTCATCAAGCGTCATTAAATTTCAATATGATGAAGCTAGAAATAGTACTTGCCTTCACCCAGAAGACTAAAAATATTAATTTCTTAACAAAGAAATTTAAATCTAGATTTGACAATGATATGACGTGATATATTACACAGTTTACAGTAATCTGTATTATTAGGCAGATTTATGTTCATTAGCCTAATGAGTTTGAATAATTGTGGAGAGTAGAATCTTTTTCGTGGATATATCAAATATAATATAAGAGCGTCATAATATTATGTATATTTAGTGGATGAAGCATAATTTACTTTGTATTTTTTAAGATTTATTAGAAACTAGACTTTCGGGAACACTTGCTATATTTGATCCTTTATTAGTCAAAGCCTCCGGCATGAATATATGCACTTGCTTTTTCGTCTTACCAGTATCAGGAATTAATTTCTTGCTGACCATATCGGCGTAGCGTTTTTCAACAGCATTCCTTTCCAATACCATTTTCTGCCTCGTCTCAGCGACACTCGTCCTCATGTCTTTGACCTTTTTGTTTTCTTTTATTTTCGTGTCGTGTCGCGTGATCCTCGTGTTCCGTGACTGTCTCGCATAGTTCTCGATCGTGTTCGCCGATGTCGGTATGTAAGCCTCTTGCCGATCGATAGTACACGTTTTAGTATCCGTCACTTGCTTTGCTTCCTTCGTCCTCAAATCCGTAGCTGTTTTTGATTTAACCATATTCCTTCTTTGTATTTCTGGCCAGCTGTGTCTTTGTTGGGTCATTCTTTCCATGTTTTCTTGTGTTAAAAGACTCTCTTTACCAGCTAGATCCAACCATTGCAGTACTCTGTCAGATAAATCTGTGTTTTCTTTGACTTCAGTTCTTGAAGTGCGATTGCTTTTAACAGCTCTCATGTTATCGGTTTCTAGATTCAATTGAATGTTTTTTATCTCACAAAATGGTTGTGGTGATGTCTTGACTATTAAGTCCTCGTTCGAATCATCCACATCCGATAAGTTCAACCTTTCTATATGGGGTATCCGTGTGTTTTCTTCGTGCCTCTCATTCCTTATGAAGTTGAATTTCCGAAGACATTCACCCAACACTTCCTGATGGCTTAGAGAACTGGGGATGTTTCTATTACTTTTTACGTAACTTGCTGATGAATTAGGTCTGCTTCTTTTAGTGCAGAGTTTGATATAGTGAGGATCGTCGTGGTTTAAAATCACGTGCCGGAATCCGTCCACCCAAATAGTTCTTACGTACATAGGGCGCTGAGATGATTGCCAGAGCGCGGGCATATTACAACCAACTCGGCTTAAATTACTTCCATTCCGGGTACACGGAAAACTTTAATTACTGTAATTACTCGTTTCTTTGCCATAATTGAATTTTATTTACACTCCCACTGCTCTCTGAAATGATAAAAAATAATTTAAACACTGCTTTACAAAAGTATTATTTCTCCAATATATTATTTTATTTGTTTTTATACTTCATCTAGATTATATCTTCTCAATTTTTTTTGCGTTAAAAAAACTAGCCTGTTGATTCTCGTAAACGTTTTTCTTTTTTAAAAACTTTTTATTTCAAATTTCGCCTTGTCACGTTTAAGGTATTTTACTCATACACGTGAGGGGAAGTTTAAAAGCTTTCGAGCTTGTTAGTCACATTAGTGAAATAGATTTCGTTGTTGATGTCCATTTAAAAAATAATTAATAATTGAATGTTTTTCCCCCTCGCGAATACGTAAAATTATGTGGTGAACATTCCTTCTTTGGAATTCACAATTTTTAGTTTTAAATTTAACACTGATGGACTGATTCTTTAATAGATGACACCACATACAATAATAAATCACAATAAGAATATTATTTTCTAAATAAAATAGTATGGTAATAGTAATAACTTTAAAGTTACTTTCATCAGATTTGACATAAAATGAATAATATTGATATTAAAAACATAGTTAATTGCATGATAAAAATAAATAAATTACCTGTACATATGCAAAGACTTCTTATATATAAACAATCTATGATAAATACCCTAATAAGAAAATAAAACAAACAATTCGTCGACAACTAAAATTAAACAAAAATTGTACAAGAATCACAATTACACCACTAAATTGAATGAAACAATTACATGTTTTTTTAGGTATTGTTAAATATTTACTGAATTAGAATTAACCGATACTGTATTATATAAATTTTGAACGTCGCTTCGTGTATCCGTCTTGCGAGTGACTAGCCAACTCCTCGAAGAGCTAAGTTTTGTCCTTACCTTGGAATAAAGGCGCGTTATAATCGAATAAAACATATTTGTTTCATTTTAATAAAATCTGCGATACTTTGAATTAGATCCGGAATTTGTAAGGAAATTTTTCTTTCATATTTGTTTGCAATATGGTAAAAGTATTATTTTATGAGTGAATCTTACTAAAGACAAAGATTTTAGATACGATCTTAATGAAGTCTATATAATCTTTAATTACAGTATTAATTATTATTATAAATGGTATTATTATTCGTATATCTGAACACATTTAAATCTCCTTTATATTTTGTTTTGGTCCAAGGAACTTTGTTCGTTATAACACAGTCCTATCCGTGAATTCGTAATAGTTGAATTACATCATGCAACCCTCCCATTTATTTGAATATTCGCGTCGCGGAACGAGGATAATTATAAGTTCAGAAACTACTTGGTTGTCCTTTTAGATTTGACAATTTAAATCTACACGACGTGGTATTTTTCGTAGCTATTTTTCTTTTTCTTTAAAAGACGAAAACTAATTTTGTGTTCGAATTAATTATATTTCTTGTATGTAGTTAAATATGATAGATGACAAAGATAGAAATTTACAAATATTAGAGTGTAGGAAAATGAAGAATATTTAGAAGAAGAAGAATAGTTATTACTTGTACATATACAATTTACGAGTATGTCTCATTCATTTCTAAGTCTTTGTTTATTTGTAAGTCTTTTTTTATATACATATATATGTATTGTCAAAAGAACTCAGTCCTTCCTCACGGGTTCTTTTAAAGTTCTGATAAAATATTAATACGATTACTTAATTATTTATATCAATCTTATATGTATTAGTCCTGTAACTATCTTGACATCTAACATATACCCGAATGTGGAATAATCGTGACAATCATTTTTCAATTCAACATGTTCCATAGATAATATGCGTTATTTTTCCGCAAAAAAACAAGAATTAGGAATGAACGAACTTAGTTTGAAATGCTGTATATATGTATCGATCATACATTTTAAAATAATATTCTCATCCTAATTTCTATAATTAATCATATTTCTTTAACTTCAAACTGTTACCTTTGAACTCTTTCGTTGCAAAAAAAAAATGGTCTTTAGTAAGAAAATTAATATACATATACAATATACATTATACAAATTCCGCTTTGGACGCTGCTGAAGACCATAGAATAATATTTTTATACGCATACTGATATTGTTATGAAAAAAGCATTGTATATAATGAGACCCGCAAAATATTGCTTTCAAGCCTTGTATAGTAAGACTTACGCTAGGTATTTTCTCAAATGTTTTCTTATACATATATATATTTCACAGTAGCTAGGACGAGGAAATGCGGTAAGGTATTAGGAATTCAATGATTTCGCATAAATTTGTAGAACACAAATTGTTAGATCGCACGAACCATTAAGTTTTATGTTCCTAAATTAGTAGTTCTGGAATGTTCAAAGTTTCTTTTAATAGCAACTTTCTCATTCCGAGATAGGATCTTTTAGTCAGGAAGAAATTAGTTTCGCTAAAATTAGTCTTATCTATGAGTTTTATAACATTTTGGTTGCCCTTGTCTTAAGGCCTTTATTATTTTTATAATTCCAGACTATTAATGTTCTAAGTTATACCATTACATTCGTTTCCGGATTTGGTATAATGTGGCATGGAAAATAACTAGCTGACATTACAATCATTATTTCCTACATGTCGTTACCGTATTCCATCTATTTACTAGAGACCATAAATTTGGAACCAACTGCTTTATGTCTCTGAGTATCAATGATATAATTTATTACATGGAAATTTTTAACCCAACTTTACCCATTAGCAGAATCTAAAATCATTTATATTCCATCTTCAGTTATATTTCAAAGTGAGCGTGACTCTAATTACCGATAAGATCGCTAAATGAAATGTTAACAGCAGTAATAAGTTGTCAGAATTAATACACGGTAGGTAAAGGGTAATAGTTTCTGTGCGGTGTACGATAATGGGCTTCTGACATGAATGAGTGCAGTTCTAATGTACTATCGACGGCTGCGGGTAGTTTAATAGTCTTGTTTCTAATGTAGTTATGTTAATTATTTTTACTTTATAGCTTGTATCATAGTTTTAAATTTTCATCAGACATGCTTTTCTCACGATTTTTTTTTGGTTTTTTACGTTAAATCATTTGAAGGATTTTGGTTGATTTTTTATTATAATGTAATAATGTAGTGTAGCTTAGACATCGGAATAGCATATTTGTTTTGATTTATCACGGAACACCGGGTAGTTCCCGTGAAGAAAGACAATATTATTTTGTATAAAGTTACGTGACACAGACTATGGATATCGCTACAAGTAATCAAATATATTTTTAGCACACTATATTTCCCTCTGAGTCGAATTCTAAAGTTTACGAGGACAAAATTGTTTGCAAAAATTTGATGTATTTGGTTTAAGTGTAAAGATTTGAATATGAATTCCTTCAGATGTATTTTATTAAACTTAATTATATATAACAAACGATTTTCTACATTTTGAGTTTCATTATATTTTTTTAAGTGTTTTATCTTTGTGTGCTATTGATCCGAACATTCCACTAAACCACTGATTCCCAAATTAACAACACATAAATTTCTGTCTATATACTTGTGCCATTTCGTTTCATTCGCGTGTTAAACTTTGAGAAATGTCGACCTATAAATAGTTGAGAACCACTGATATGTGTTGTTTGTTTTGCACTAAGGCAGATTTATGATCTACTTAAAAAGGAAGGCATAAGCTAACATTAATAACAGACTTCTACACAGACTAGAAATTTGTGACAAATTTTGTACCGTTGTTGTAGTAATTCGTCGTAATATAAGTGTTTTTTTTCATTTAATGATTTATTTTTATTAAAAATATAAAATTAATTAAGCCTAAATTCACGGGTCGCAGTTAGTTAAGCTAAAATATTAGCGGGGCTATAATTTTCGTAATTTTATGTCGAGTAATTAATACGCTATGAATGATATTTAATTGTTTCTTCTTTTGCGTGTCCATAAATATTAGGAACTGTAGGTAATTAGAATAATTATGTTATGGGAAAATGAAAAAGTCATCTATATTTTTGTTGTAATAATAAGAAGTAATTTAATTACAGGAACATTTGAACACTCTAAAAGAACACGCTCCTAACGTGGATCCGATTAAGTTGGAGAAACTTCTATCCGCAGCCTACGCTCTGATAAGTCCAGAATTACAACAGATTAGTCTACCAGATTTCCCAGTGGATAATTTATATGCTGCCGCACTCATACTGGTATAAATTTTAATCCTAATTTAAGACATAAACCATTAACTTTATTTGGTAATGTATAATGTAAAATATACATCCCTACTAATATTATAAATGCGAAAGTAACTCTGTCTGTCTGTCTGTTATGCTTTCACGCCTAAACACCTGAACTGATTTTAATGAAATTTGGTACAGACAATGAATTGACCTTGAGAAAGAACATAGGATAGTTTTTATCCCAGACTTTTGAAAGATTCTCTTGGAAACACGATATAACCGAAATCCACGCGGGCGAAGCTGCGGGCAGAAAGCTAGTTAATATATATAAAGAATCGCGTGAGACAGACTTGCCATTATTTTTCATGCAACATTTCGCTATAGTACTTAAAACAAACAAAAAACTACCCTCAAGAGAATCAGTTAAACAGTAATATGAACAGCTGAAAGGTCGTAAATAGATATAACACATAAAGTCGTCTACATGCGTGCTTTATTGTTTATGACCTTGAGTCTACAATAATTCATAGGTTTTCACGCGATCTCCTCATCTGTATGACAAGGTCAAGTTACAAGGTACAGGAGTACCGAATTGTTTGACATCTATGATTTGTTAGCGATTTGCGTTTTGCATTAGTGCTCTTATCATTATTTGTACATACATTACGAAAATTTGACTTCCATATGGTTGTCTTAAAGTTATATCATAACCGTGATTTATGTCTACATTAAAATGACAAAATTTGTTCGAAAAGATGTCTAAATAAAAGGTTTTTTACATTCTTGTTGTGTCAAATAGCAATAAAATTGTATTTGTTCACCTAGTCTTACATGCAGATACAGACGATTTATCTTTTTAGCTTATGTAAAATATAATATATAATAAGTTATTGTCTTTTTCAGGAGCGCAACCCAAACATTCCAGTACACAAATTATTATATATGTTATACCCGTATAACACTTTCCTTACTCGAGATCATATAAAAAACGTCGAAGCAATCTTGCATAATCTTGACATTCAGATAAATCCTAAGTTAGATATTGCTCTACGAAATGTAAAGTTTGTAGAAAATCAAGCGTTAGTAGATATCGATATCAATGGAAATGTATCGCAATTTAGCGTAGCATGTGGAGGAAAAAAAAGTAGGAGCGAAAGGAAAGGGTACGTTAGAACAGAATTTCAAACACAGCTCTTAAATGATTTGCTTCTAAGTCATGCTGTCGGAGATTTTTGTATTGTGGGTAAGTAATAAGACAAGGTTCAAAATAAAATGGGCATTATAGAACATTCTCATAACATAAACTTCGTTACAGGTCCAAAAGGCTGTGGAAAAAGCCTGCTTGTCGAGCAATTAGCGGGTTTATTGGGTTACACAATAGAGCCGATAGTTCTGTACCAAGATATGACGGCAAGGGATTTGATACAGCAAAGAACTACGCTAGAAAACGGAGATACGGTGTGGAGAAATTCAGCTCTAGTAGAAGCTGCGTTGAAAGGACATCTGGCGGTTTTAGATGGACTTCATAGGATACATGCTAGTACATTGGCCGTTTTACATCGGTGAGAAGTTTGAAAGTTTATTTGAAAATTTAATAGTACAATTTTTTATCGATATTCTTCAGGTGTTCTATAAATATAATACTTCCCTACGATTCAATTCTTGAATTTGATTCAAGATCATTTTGAAGATTAGCGCATTGAAACGTTAGTTTATTTGTAATCCTTTTGGATAAAATAAATGATTTTTCTATTTTTACATTCAGATTAGTTCACGACAGAGAATTACAACTTCATGATGGGACGAGATTGTTACGTCATGATAGATATGATGAACTACTTAGTTCAGGTCTCACGGAACAGCAGTTAGAAGACAGCGGCGTAAAGAAAATACACCCTGCTTTTAGGTAATGATGAAATCAATAATTATAGCTATTATTTTCATACCTAATCCCCTTAGATAAATGTGTATATATTCTATTGCATAATTATGTGTAAATATTCTATTGAATAATTTGAGCATTGATTGCTACTTAGATACATAATTCAATATTTATGGTATATGTCCTGAGTTTTACTTAAACATAATATTATTAATTACAGAATAGTAGCATTAGCAGAGCCACCGGTTTTGGGAAGAGGACAGCAATGGCTTTCACCTGAGATTCTTAGCCTATTTATTTTCCATGAAATGAGAAACTTGAGTAAAGATGAAGAAATATTTATTATAAATTCTTTGGTAATACCCTTTATTACAGTAATTCAATAATTCGCTGACATATAACTTAATAAAAATTTGTTCTTATTTCAGTATGGAAATATATCTGCTCCATTGCATTCGATTATAAATCTTGCTGATCAATTGAGAAAATCTGAGGATAGTACATTAAAAAATCTATCGTCTTCTCTATCTACGAGGCAATTGCTGCGAATAGCCAGTCGAATGTCCAAATATCCAACGGATTCCGCGTATGAAACTGTCCAAAGAACTTTCCTAGCCAAATTTTTGCCTAGCCTAGCCAGACGAGCACTAGATGGGGCGAGCCAAAAAATCGGAATCGATGTCCCGAAAAAAATTGGCATATTCAACCGTGAGCCCAAAAAAATAAAATGTTCAGTTACAAATGGTGTCCTAACTATAGGAGATACGAGCTCTAATATATTTAAAACAGATGCTTTAACGAAAGTACCGGATATTTTATTCTATGATGTGCCTCAGCATATACGACTATTGGAGTGGTTATTGCAAGATTTTCTGTTAGGAAACCATTTATTGCTCGTTGGCAACCAAGGAGTCGGAAAGAACAAAATTGCTGATAGACTTCTACAACTATTGAATCGTCCAAGAGAATATATCCAACTTCACAGAGACACGACGGTTCAGTCATTAACAGTGCAACCAACGGTTCAAGATGGCGTCGTTATATATGAAGATTCGCCTCTAGTTAAAGCCTTTAAATATGGCCATGTCTTGGTTGTGGATGAGGCGGATAAAGCACCAACACATGTGACGTGTATTTTAAAAACTTTAGTGGAAAATGGGGAGATGATACTGAGCGATGGTAGAAGAATAGTCCCTAAACACATGTTGGAGAGTTCGGGAGGAAATTTGTCTAGTTTTATTCCCGTTCATGATGACTTTAGAATGATTGTGCTAGCGAACAGACCGGGATTCCCATTTTTGGGAAATGATTTCTTTGCTTCATTGGGTTAGTATTTTTATTTAATTCAATATTTCCAAGTAAAAATATAAAAGTCAGTGGAGGCCAAGTGTTTAAAAGGCTCGCCTCTCATGCACAAGGGGGCGGGTTCGATCCTGACCCGGACAAGTACCAATGTGATTTTTCCGAGTCATATGTACTTTCTGAAAGTATTTAGACATCACTGATTAATGCATACCCAAAAAGGCAGGCGGCCGGATGTCAGGCAGGCGGCCGGTCGTAAAAAAACAATTAACCAAAAACTATTTACATCATGTTCTGTGAAAGTGAACAACGTTGTGCCGACCCTACATAAAGTGGAATCAGGGCAGGAAAAAAAAATCCAAGTAAAAATATAATACCAACAAATTAACGTTATATTTTGAATTCCAGGTGACCTATTCTCTTGTCATGCGGTAGATAATCCATCTATAGAATCTGAATTAGAACTTCTACGTGCTTACGGACCGGATGTTCCTGGGGATGTCATGAAAAAACTGGTTCAAGCCTTTGCATTACTAAGAGATATGGCCGACCAAGGACAACTTACATACCCATATTCTACTAGAGAACTAGTTAATATTGTTAAACATTTACAGGTAATTTTTTTGCTCCAAAAGAACATAAAATTTGCTGTATACTACATTTATAATTCTGAAAAACTATAATAACTCATTCAATAATAACTGAATGACAAATTATTTCCCATTAAAAGCAAGAACGAAGAATATTTATGTATAAGTGATGATTAAAACATTCCAGAAATACCCAAATGAAGATCTGGCAACAGCAATCGGCAATGTGTTTGACTTCGATCGCTACAGTAAAGACGTTTCAGACACTTTATTAGAGGTACTTCACACGAGCGGGCTGCCTACAGAAGGCGTTCTGGTCGGACGTTCTAAGGAGGCCTTACAAAGGTTACAGATGACCATTGATAGGAAAAGCGGGTGAGGATCTAGAGGTTTTATTATTATTAGTGGTTTAGTAGTTATAGATGAAATGATGATATAATTATTATAAATTAGTTACTATAAAAAGTATTATTCAAAGTCGTCATTGTATGTATTTTTATTGTTGTTCACTACACTATGATTTCGGATGTGATTATAATATAATAGCGGCTTCAAAATGAAAGAGTTTTTTCATAGTTAACTCAATAATATTGTGAAAAAGTTATATCAAAAATTTAATTTTATTGCAATTCAATTACACGTAGATTAATGATGTGTTCTAAAAAATGTTTCTAAAGTCTAGATGTTTCATCACCGAAGCACGGTAAGGAGGACCCTGAGAATCAACCCCATGTGGGGGGGAATATTTGGGCAGGCGGAACCGGGGGCAGAGACACTGCTGGCTTGGGGGGGAAGGGAGGACCTTACAGACTGGATAAGGGACACGATGTACACCAGGTTAGAGATATATTGTATTCACATTAAAGAATTATGTTCTGTATTGAACTATTGCATATGGACCAAATTGGAATGTATTTTTTTGTTAAAATATGTATACGTGAGGGAAGATTTGTCACGTTTGATCAATAGTGGCTTTGTTTGTTTTTCCCTTTGTTTAGTAAAATTTTTAATAAATAATTTCTTATTAATAGTTAAATTATGAATGAGTAATTGGTAATATTTAATCTATTTAATATATTTGTTATATAAATTATAATAGCTTAATAACCTTTGAATATTGATATTTATCTATTAGGAGATTATGAAGTATGAACATAATGAAGTTAAATTTTCTTTTAGTAGGATAATAATTTTTTATTGTTAAATATTTCATAGGCACAAAATTAAAAGACAAGAAAAAAATATTTAATAATTCTTACATACTAAATGTATTGTTACAGTTATCAGACGCCGAAAAAGACGATATACCGGAACACGTTAAAAAGGCTGCCAGGGAAATGAACAGGAAAGCTTTTGAGGAGCGCTTGAAAGAAATCAATATGAGTGAATACGATGCTAAGCTGTATGAACAATTCCTCAGAGCTGTGCAACCCCAGGTGAAAAACTTAATTTCTAAATTGTATATGAATTATTTTTTTATCCTAGAAAATAAATCTATACTAATATTATAAAGCTGAAGAGTTTGTTTGTTTGTTTGAAAGCGCTAATCTCCGAAACTACTGGTTCGAATTGAATAATTCTTTTGTATTGGATAGTCCAGTTATCGAGGAAGGCTGTGGGCTATATAATATCACGCTACGACCAATAGGAGCAAAGATATAGTGGTAAATGTTTAAAAAGCGGGAGAAATTATTTCATCTTTGAAGGCTTCCGTTGCGTGCGCCGTAAAAACGGTTCAAGATACACAAAAAATATGTATTAAAGAATAATCTGCTCTTTTAATGATCTAAAAAACAGTCCACGACAGTATATGTCTATCTTTTAAGATTAACTCACAAAAACCGTTTTTATGGTACCTAATTTGGTCGAAATAATTTGTTTAAGTTGTATCAACATAATAATATTAATCTTTATTCAAATAAACAAATAAATATGTTGTTGGTTAAGAGTACTTCATTGTGAATAAAAAAACATAGGTTTTATCCTGAAAATTCTACGGGAACTCGACCATTCCGAAAACCCCGCAAGAACGGGAACTATGTGGGAAGAACCAAAAATCTGCCGGAAGTCACTATTCCACGCGGACGAAGCCGCGGCAAAAGCTAGTATTGTATAGATGTCTTGAGGTCTTCTTAGATTGTAATGCAAAAAATCATTACCAAGTATTCAGATTTCATAATTTTATTATTTAAATTACTTCTTATAAGGAACAAAACATGAAAGTATATATTTTAATTGAAAAAATCCCATTATTTTTATGTTATTCAACGAAATACTATCAGCACATCGTATATAATACTTTTAAATTGAAAAATTTCTCATTTGCATTTTGTTTAACAAAATACTTTTGTAATATAAATATCTGATTTTTAGTTGAACCTTTTTGAATAAGGTATTATTTGTATGTGAATAAATACTCAGATAGAAGATATCTCCTGACATAGCTTGTTATAGAGCAAGTGGAACGCATTTTTTTTAAATTTCGTCTACATTCTATTTCAACTGTATATATTTTCCACTCAATATTTCTATCAAAATGTACTTCAAGTATGTAATTCAACAACATTATAACATTCAAAACGTTATTGTAGATAATATTGTTTTTTCTATACAAATATATATTAATTTTTTAATTTTTATACCTTCAGATAGGAGCATTACGAGGAGTGTTAGCTGAACTTCAAGCTAAGAAGAAGGAAAGACAGTGGTCCAGACATCAGACTAGCGGGGAACTGGATGATGGGAAGATTATTGAAGGTCAGATTATACTTTGGTGATCAACAGATGTTCTTAAATTTTGAAGGGTAGTCCAATATTCAATATAATTTATATTAATTTACATTCATATTAATATCAAAATAGTTGCAGGGAATTAAAAGTGGAGTATATTTGAAGCCATATGTAACATTATATGATATTTTAAATAAAGTTAATGATCCCATTTTGATTCCATGTTAAATCAGACTGCTTAATCCATTCGTAGTTTTAATGATCACTTCAAATACGTTTCAGTGACGTTAGTAAGAATACATAAGCTTAATCCTCTTACTATTTTAGTTTATAAATATAATATTGAATAAATATAGTATTGAAACTATATTAAGACCTGGTTTTATATATTTTATTATCTATTTCCAGGTCTAACAGGTGAAAGATCAATATATCGTCGTCGTCAAGAATTGGAGCCACCTCCAGGTACTCCTCCGGACCAACCGAAACGACTCAGACTGGTTGTAGATGTCTCTGGCAGTATGTATAGGTATATAGATATTCAATATAAAACAAATAAAACTATCTTAGATATCAATAAATAAAAATTTTATAAGTTTTAACTGAAAACTAGGTTGAAAGATTCACATAAATAAACACATTTATGATTTGTATTTTATCATCTCAAAGATGTACATATTAAGTTCTTATATCAATACATGTTATAAAACAAAGTCCCTCGCCGCGTCTGTCTGTCTTTCTGTTCGCAATAAACAGAAAAACTATTGCACCAATTCTGAAGCAGTTTTTACCAATCCATAGTGTGATTCTCGAGGAAGGTTTTAATATATAAATTGTCAAGGTTTTGTATCGATTTATGCGTAAATTAACGATATTTGTTGAAGATGTTGGGAAAAAACGAGCCGTCTGTTGTTAGTTTTTAACGAAAACGCTGCCAAAACCCTTAGATGTATAGCAAAACAATGTATGGTGGAATTATATATTTTATATAGGTCTAAAGAAAAGTCCCTGATGGCATATATCTATCTCTTAAGGATAACAACTATATCTATTTTACTATTTTTAAAAAATTGCATTCATAATTAGTTTATATCAAAGCTATTTACATAATTAAGGTATAAAGTCTTAGCAAAATAAATTACTTCGATTTCAAGCTTGCATCATTATTTATAAATTACTTTTAGAATTATTATATTCGGGTTCAAAATTAAATCCACGCAATAGCTCACTTTTTCACTTAAACACGTCATTAATTGTGTAAACAAAATTTTTGTAATTTTATTTTATTAAAAAACTATTATTAACATAAAAATATACCGTTTTTCTAAGTTCATACTTATATATGTTCATCAAAGAAAGATGATGAAATTTTGTTTGTCCTGATTTAACTGATAAAGAAAGTACGCAACATAGGCTGTTTTATATTTTTTGTAAAGCACCCGTGCGAAGCTAGGGCGGGTACCTAGTTTCTTACAATATATATATATGTTATGTTATTTCTTCAGATTCAATTCATACGACGGTCGTCTAGAACGTTCGATGGAGGCTGTGGTGCTTCTGACAGAGGCTTTGAAGGGTTACGAGGCGAGGATCAGATACGACATGTTCGGACACTCGGGGGAAGAACATGCTTTGGAGCTTATCAGGGTTGATAGACCACCGGAGAATGAGAAGCAGAGGCTTCAGGTGAGACGCAAGATATGATACGACATATGTTAGAAAGAGACAGATATATTTAAGTAGGTGAGATGGAAGATCGATTAAGATATATGTGAGAAAGTGACAGATATTTTTGTGCATATGAAATGGAAAATAGAATAAGTGTGTTAGCAGGAAATGTAAAGGTTTTGTGAGATGGAAGATAGACAACGATACAAATTAGAAAGAGATAGATATAAAGTTTTAACTTGTTTGTATTTAATACGAGTTCGACTCTAAAATGAAACTTTCAATAACTGTTATTCAGTTTTATATAATAGGTAATAGTAATTAAGCTGCTAGTTAAACAGAATAAAACTATAACACAATTATTTTTTAGTTTCCCATTTTTAAACTGATCCTATGCTAGAATTATGAAACTTATAAAGCCCAAGGAATATCCATCGATACATACATAATTGAAATTGTTTCCAAATGACTAACGAATATGTATTCTATCAGATAATCCGTACAATGCACGCGCATGCTCAATTCTGTTGGTCTGGTGACAATACCTTGGCGGGCGCGCACCACGCGATAAAAACACTCACACATGAAGACGCCGATGAAGCTATAGTTGTTATACTATCTGACGCTAATCTACGAAGGTACGAAACTTATTCTATTATTATTGTAGTTTTTGTCCCCAACTTAGTCTACTTCTACCTACTTTTCACTTTTACTATTGCCAATACCACTTTTAATTCTGTTCTTGTCCTTTTCCATACTATCTTTAATCTTACTCACTATGATTCTGAAATTTATAGAGTGTAGCTATATTTAAATTGAAGTGTCTGAAAAATTAATTATCACAGCGAAATCCTCAAATCCTTGGTCTATAAGATATTAAGGCTCTCACGTATATTCTTCTTTCCCATTTAAATGACTGTTTTTTTTATGAAATCTTCGTATCCACAAATATAAATGGTTTTTCAGTATATAATTTTCTACATATAAGTGTATATAAACTAAGATTTTGTGTTTGTTGTCAGATATGGCATAGCCCCGGAACGTTTAGGCTCCATATTGACTTCAGAGCCAAAGGTTCAGGCTCACGTGATATTCATCGGCAGTCTCGGTGACGAGGCTAACATGTAAGTTGTATCAAATTTTCATTAATTTCCTCTTCATATAAATCTTCTTTATAACATATGTCAATGCATTTCAAATATAATATTTTTGAATATTCAACATTATTACTATAGCATTAAGGTACAATTTTCTATGAAACAATAGCAAGATGTTTCACTTTCATATATGTATTTTTTATATTATAGTCTCCTACGTTCCTTGCCCGCTGGTCACGCTCACGTTTGTATGGAAGTTTCTTCGTTGCCTCACATCATGCAGCAGATATTCGCTTCTTCACTTATGCAGAATTCCTAAACGTATACAATTTGTTACTAAGTGACGTCATATTGATGACGTCACATCGTGATTATGCAATTTTATATAGCTAGGGGGATACAAATACTTTTAGTATTTTAATAACGTACTATTTTATGAGTACATATATTATTAATCGGAAGTGAAAATAAAATGTGTATAGTCTAATATTTTTTTATGAGATTTTTGAAATCAACCTATGTATGTAATTAGTTTTAATTTAGAACGCATTAGATGCGAATCTTTTTCTGTAAAGTATATAAGCTGACCAAATAATAATAATTAATGGTATTTAGTTCTACCTCTTAAGTGACAATTATTTCTTGGGCTGTGGCCATATTACATATATCACAATTATTCAATTTTATAAATATATTATTTTGTTAGAAATGTATTTTATTTCATACATTTTCCTTTGAAAGAGAAAATCTTTTACTATTTTGTATATGGTATAGGTTATGATCTCAAACTATTTATCTAGCAAGTTTTAACAATTTGAAATACTTTTTTAAATATTATTTCTTTTATATAAAAAACTTTGGTAAATTATATTGTTGCCTTTAGCCTATCTTAATATTTAACTCATTGTCAAGTTGCCGAAGTGATATCTTTTTGGATAAATTGGAATTAAATTTAAAGATTAAAACAAATTTATGTTCAAAGATCCGTTATATAAGAAACGGGTAATACTTATTCACAATTCTTCTATTTTTGCTGACTGTCAAGAAGTACCCTTTATATTTTAACATTTAGTTGTATTTTAAGGAAGAATATAGTTGTTTTTTTTTATGCTATGACTTCATTCTCACTAGAGTGGTGGAATATTTTGCCAATGCCAACGTTTTTAATTGTTGGGCGAATTATAATCTCGAGTAACTTGCTCTTTATTCTCTTGGACGTCCAAAGCTATACTTATTATAGCTATATTTATTATTATTGCACTGTATTAATTTAATACATTAAATGATGTTCTATAAAACTTATTACAACTGGTTTTCTTTGGCTGCAATAAAGTCCTTTTAACATGGGGGTCCGGTGTAAATAGCTGCACGTACTCTTCTTATGGGAAAGTTTTTCACTAACAGTCATATGGATTGTTTTAGGGATTCCAAATTGTAAAGGTATTTAGAACAATCCTTACTCGTCAATACTGACCATAATTTCATTCTTAGAATAAAAAAACAGCCCTAATAACTACGTTTCAAATTTGGTTAGGTAGTTAGATAGAGGCTCCTTATTCCTACACCTGGGTAGCAAGTCCTAGCCACTGCTGAAGCTTCTTTCTCTGCAATGCAATGGACCCGGCACTCGCATATTGAATCCATGGAACGCTGAGAAGTTTCGTCTCGTTTCTCATCTGGAGGTTTACAACTTGATGGCGGCTAGTCATCAGATCTGATGAAGTCTGGGAAAATCGTTTATAAACAAGATAAAGTGCCTTATTAGGTGGCACTGACTCTTCATGGATGGGTTATCCTTGATAATTGAACATTGTATTGTAAACGGGCGTAGTAAGCTGCAAATTACCATGTTGTTTTAAGGAGGCCTTACTCTAACTAAGGCGACAAAAAGGTACTAAAGAAAGGTATCTTTCACATGTATCTTTAAGGTATCTTTAAGGTATCACATGTATCCTTAATAATTCCATTAATACTGGTATTTATCCTTCCTCCTGGAAAGACGCTCAAATCGTCCCATTACCGAAAAAAGTTAATCCATCGTCCCATAGTGATTTCCGCCCTATATCCATACTTCCTTTTCTCTCAAAAGTCCTGGAGCGCCTTGTTTACCAACAACTGAATTTATTCCTATCCAAAAATAACCTATTTAACCCACTTCAGTCGGGATTCCGAACCTGTCATAGTACGGCTACTGCTTTAGTTAAGATCACCGATGACATCAGATTAGCTATGGATAACCAGGAAGTTACAGTTTTGACATTACTGGATTTCAGTAATGCCTTCAATACTGTTGATTTTGACATATTACTGGCTATTTTAAGTTCTCTTAATATATCTCCTACTGTAATTGACTGGTTTCGTAGTTATGGTTGGTCAATTTTAAATGCCGGTGTGCCTCAAGGCGGAGTGCTTTCACCTCTGCTATTTTCGATTTTTATTAATTCCATAACTCAAAATATATCTTCTCTCTACCACCTGTATGCCGATGATTTTCAGATTTACTGTCACTCTAAGTTAATAGATTTACCACTGACAATACAAAAAATTAACTCAGACTTAAAAAAGATCTTAAGTTGGAGCAATTCATTCGGTCTCAAAATAAATCCACTTAAGTGTCAATCTATTATTATTGGCAGTCCAATATTAATTTCACGAATAGATTTTTCTCTTTTATCACCTATATTATTTGACAATGCCATAATTCCATACAGCGATAAAATTAAAAATCTGGGTATAATATTATACAAAACCCTTTCTTGGAATCCACAAATTAGTGAGGTAAGCAGAAAAATGTTTGTTGCTGTTGGTTCCCTACGTAGATTACGTAACCTCTTACCGACTCCCACCAAAATTGCGTTAGCACAATCTATCCTTTTACCAATTCTTGATTATGCAGATTGTTGTTATCTTGATCTTTGAGAAGATCAATTTAACAAACTTGAGCGCATTCAAAATCTTTGCATCAGGTTCATATTTGGGCTTCGCAAGTATGACCACATTTCCGATTTTCGCAAAAAGCTCGAGTGGCTCCCGATCCGCCTTCGCAGGAATACACACATTCTCTCTCTTCTCTACTGTATACTTTTCAACCCCAATGCCCCTATTTACCTAAAACAGTCCTTCCAATTCCTAAGTGATTCCCATTTCCGCAGTCTTCGCTCTGAACAAAACCTCACACTTAAAACTCCTTCCCATACTTCTTCCTTCTTTACTAAATCCTTCTCTGTCCAAGCAGTACGCTTGTGGAACTCCTTGCCCATAGAAATTAGACGTGCACAATCCGTTTCTGTTTTTAAGAGGCTTTTAAAAGACTATTATCTGTCATTGTAAATCGTTGTACTTTTTTTTTTTTATATAAGTATGTATTTATATGTATTTGAATTTATTTATAAAACATATGTATTATTTTATTTATACACGTATTTATATATTATATATATAATGTATTAATCGTATGTATGTATGTTATGTAAATATGTTATGTATGTGTATGTATGGTTTATTTGAAAATGTACACCTCCGAACCCCTTTCTTTTATTCAATGTCCTATATCCAAAGGTTGTCTGGAAGAGATCGCTCTTTCAGCGATAAGACCGCCTTTTGTACCATGTTTCTTTTTTTGTTATGTTGCTTCTTGTTTTTCTTCTGTTTTGGTGTACAATAAAGTATATTTATCTTTATCTTATCTTTTATCTTGATAAACTTATACAGAAGTTTTATAAACCTTTTAAACAAAAAAAACTTAACCATGAATTCATATTTAACACACTATCGAACATTAAAATCGAATAACATGTAAATAAAAATATAAAATGATTATGAAAATTAAACAAATCATAGCTGCATCCTAATTATAAAAGATATTTGTTGTGGAAATTGTATTTTTACTAAAAGCGACATAAGAATAATAATAAAAAATATTCATTGTTGTATCATTTAGAATTTTAGAATGGGTATTTTTATTTATTAGACCCAATTACCATTTTTGAACTGCAAGTTCATTGTTTATTTATGTTTAATTTGAATGCAACTTAATATATTTATAAATATATTATATCTTTAGTTGGAATCCCGTTCAATAACTATTAAAGTGTAATATCAAAATATACAGAGAATGGACTTTTAATATCAGGAATATCCAATTCACAAAATAAACCTTAATTAAAATGAAACTAATATTTTCGGATTTTACTTCGCGTGATCACGGTTGCTGAAAAGTAGCCGAAACGTCGGGAGTATGTAGTTTCTAATCAAAAATAAAACGCGAAGTAAAATCCGAAAATATTAGTTTCATTTAAATGTGTACTCGCGAAAATCTTAGATCTCACTAAACCTTAATTAATTAGTAAACTTCTCAGATGAAAAATTGTTTTAACACAGTACATATTGTCTGAATTTTAATATCCGTTTTCTAAAGTTACAGCCGTCAGGCATTAAAACTTGATTTTCTAGTTTTTACCTCTTTCAAGTCTTTCGTTTGTCTTAAGAAAGTAATAACAGCCTTTTTTCTTCAGTTGCTTCGATTTCTGATTGTGTAAGCATAGTTTTATTCCTTGACCTATTTAATTATTCCATTTTATAAACAAAATAAACACACCGAATCTCTTACGGATACAATTGCGTTATTAATAAAAGTCCTCTGTAAATGACAGTCATAAAAATAAAATTTTGTATAAATTTCTTTCAAATGTTATTTTCACTTTTCCTTGAATCATCCAAACATAATTTCCTGTCTTTATTTGTATTATATAAAAACTATAGATAATTTTTAATGCAAAAATAAAAAAGTTAAGTTTTAAATAATAAATATCACAGTCCAGAATGTTAATTGCCTATAAATGGTCTTTTGTAATGTGATTCAGTTAAGTGTTCAATTAAAAATACATATATCATAGCATGTAACAACACTTACTCAACAAACTTTACAACTGTACCGTTTTAGTGTGGACGTGTGACAATTCCCTCTGAGATAATAGTGAAACACAGCCTTAATTTAAACTGAGCTACGTTTAAAGGGAATTAAGAGTAATTATATTTTAACATTAAACATTCTTTTCTTATGAAAATAATTTACATTTTTATCGTGAGAGTTGAAAATACCAATAATAATGATAAAAGGATTTTAGTTACATAAATTATGTTTATAATAAAAGTAGCATATTTACCCGTATTACAGAATATTTAAGTATGATATATCATATCTTTTGCAGGCTTTAAAAAGGGGATTAAAAAATGCATAGATTTTTTCGAATACGACTATATTTTTAATTTACATTCTTACTATTATTATCCATAAGTTTCAGGAAAATTTACAGCTAC